AATCAAATCAATCAATATACTCGTACTCTACAGAATCTGTAGATATAGAATGTACTCGTACCCTACAGAATCTGTAGATATAGAATGTACTCGTACTCTACAGAATCTGTAGATATAGAATGTACTCGTACCCTACAGAATCTGTAGATATGGAATGTACTCGTACTCTACAGAATCTGTAGATATAGAATGTACTCTACAGAATCTGTAGATATAGAATGTACTCGTACTCTACAGAATCTGTAGATATAGAATGTACTCTACAGAATCTGTAGATATAGAGTGTACTCGTACTCTACAGAATCTGTAGATATAGAGTGTACTTGTACTCTACAGAATCTGTAGATATAGAATGTACTCGTACTCTACAGAATCTGTAGATGTGAAATGTACTCGTACCCTACAGAATCTGTAGATATGGAATGTACTCGTACCCTACAGAATCTGTAGATATAGAATGTACTCGTACTCTACAGAATCTGTAGATATAGAATGTACTCGTACTCTACAGAATCTGTAGATATAGAATGTACTCGTACCCTACAGAATCTGTAGATATAGAATGTACTCGTACCCTACAGAATCTGTAGATGTGAAATGTACTCGTACCCTACAGAATCTGTAGATGTGAAATGTACTCGTACTCTACAGAATCTGTAGATATAGAATGTACTCGTACCCTACAGAATCTGTAGATATAGAATGTACTCTACAGAATCTGTAGATATAGAATGTACTCGTACTCTACAGAATCTGTAGATATAGAATGTAATCGTACCCTACAGAATCTGTAGATATAGAATGTAATCGTACCCTACAGAATCTGTAGATATAGAATGTACTCATACCCTACAGAATCTGTAGATATGGAATGTACTTGTACTCTACAGAATCTGTAGATATAGAATGTACTCGTACTCTACAGAATCTGTAGATATAGAATGTACTCGTACTCTACAGAATCTGTAGATATAGAATGTATTCGTAATCTACAGAATCTGTAGATATAGAATGTACTCGTACTCTACAGAATCTGTAGATGTGAAATGTACTCGTACCCTACAGAATCTGTAGATGTGAAATGTACTCGTACCCTACAGAATCTGTAGATATAGAATGTACTCGTACTCTACAGAATCTGTAGATATAGAATGTACTCTACAGAATCTGTAGATATAGAATGTACTCTACAGAATCTGTAGATATAGAATGTACTCGTACTCTACAGAATCTGTAGATATAGAATGTACTCGTACCCTACAGAATCTGTAGATATAGAATGTACTCGTACCCTACAGAATCTGTAGATATAGAATGTACTCGTACCCTACAGAATCTGTAGATATAGAATGTACTCGTACCCTACAGAATCTGTAGATATTGAATGTACTCGTACTCTACAGAATCTGTAGATATGGAATGTACTCGTACCCTACAGAATCTGTAGATATAGAATGTACTCGTACTCTACAGAATCTGTAGATATAGAATGTACTCGTACCCTACAGAATCTGTAGATATAGAATGTACTCGTACCCTACAGAATCTGTAGATATAGAATGTACTCGTACTCTACAGAATCTGTAGATATAGAATCGTACCCTACAGAATCTGTAGATATAGAATGTACTCGTACTCTACAGAATCTGTAGATATAGAATGTACTCGTACCCTACAGAATCTGTAGATATAGAATGTACTCGTACCCTACAGAATCTGTAGATATAGAATGTACTCGTACTCTACAGAATCTGTAGATATAGAATGTACTCGTACTCTACAGAATCTGTAGATATAGAATGTACTCGTACTCTACAGAATCTGTAGATATGGAATGTACTCGTACTCTACAGAATCTGTAGATATGGAATGTACTCGTACCCTACAGAATCTGTAGATATAGAATGTACTCGTACCCTACAGAATCTGTAGATATAGAATGTACTCGTACTCTACAGAATCTGTAGATATAGAATGTACTTGTACTCTACAGAATCTGTAGATATGGAATGTACTCGTACCCTACAGAATCTGTAGATATAGAATGTACTCGTACCCTACAGAATCTGTAGATATAGAATGTAATCGTACCCTACAGAATCTGTAGATATAGAATGTACTCGTACCCTACAGAATCTGTAGATATAGAATGTACTCGTACCCTACAGAATCTGTAGATATAGAATGTACTCGTACTCTACAGAATCTGTAGATATAGAATGTACTCGTACCCTACAGAATCTGTAGATATAGAATGTACTCGTACTCTACAGAATCTGTAGATATAGAATGTACTTGTACTCTACAGAATCTGTAGATATAGAATGTACTCGTACCCTACAGAATCTGTAGATATAGAATGTACTCTACAGAATCTGTAGATATAGAATGTACTCGTACTCTACAGAATCTGTAGATATAGAATGTACACGTACCCTACAGAATCTGTAGATATAGAATGTACTCGTACACTACAGAATCTGTAGATATAGAATGTACTCGTACCCTACAGAATCTGTAGATATAGAATGTACTCGTACCCTACAGAATCTGTAGATATGGAATGTACTCGTACCCTACAGAATCTGTAGATATGGAATGTACTCGTACTCTACAGAATCTGTAGATATAGAATGTACTCGTACTCTACAGAATCTGTAGATATAGAATGTACTCGTACTCTACAGAATCTGTAGATATAGAATGTATTCGTACCCTACAGATTCTGTAGATATAGAGTGTACTCGTACTCTACAGAATCTGTAGATATAGAGTGTACTCGTACTCTACAGAATCTGTAGATATAGAATGTACTCGTACTCTACAGAATCTGTAGATATAGAATGTACTCGTACTCTACAGAATCTGTAGATATAGAATGTACTCGTACCCTACAGAATCTGTAGATATAGAATGTACTCGTACCCTACAGAATCTGTAGATATAGAATGTACTCGTACCCTACAGAATCTGTAGATATAGAATGTACTCGTACCCTACAGAATCTGTAGATATAGAATGTAATCGTACCCTACAGAATCTGTAGATATAGAATGTAATCGTACCCTACAGAATCTGTAGATATAGAATGTACTCGTACCCTACAGAATCTGTAGATATAGAATGTACTCGTACTCTACAGAATCTGTAGATATAGAATGTACTCGTACCCTACAGAATCTGTAGATATAGAATGTACTCGTACTCTACAGAATCTGTAGATATAGAATGTACTCTACAGAATCTGTAGATATAGAATGTACTCGTACTCTACAGAATCTGTAGATATAGAATGTACTCGTACTCTACAGAATCTGTAGATATAGAATGTACTCGTACTCTACAGAATCTGTAGATATGAAATGTACTCGTACCCTACAGAATCTGTAGATATAGAATGTAATTGTACCCTACAGAATCTGTAGATATAGAATGTACTCGTACTCTACAGAATCTGTAGATATAGAATGTAATCGTACCCTACAGAATCTGTAGATATGAAATGTACTCGTACTCTACAGAATCTGTAGATATAGAATGTACTCGTACCCTACAGAATCTGTAGATATGAAATGTCATCATTGTACTGTGCAGAATCTACAGACATAGAATATACAGAATGATTCTTTCTGATTGAGAAAGATTGACTTTGTGATCAAACATTGTCATATTTAAGTAAAGTACCATGCTTTTGTGTTTCAGACACGTCAAATCCAGGCTAGCAATTCCAATTGATGAAGTGTTGACTGTTATGCTGAGTCTAAGAGATAACGACGGTGATTACTTAAAGGCATTTCGGAGTATCATCAGTAAGCCTAAAGGCCATTTACTCCTGTCTGGTTTGTTAAAGGGATCACACAGTAAGTACCTGTTACTGTTAAGGTACACTTACCTCCATTGTCTTTTGTATGACACTATAGAACTTATCAAGATAACTCCTTCTGATCATGTGGGTCACTTTTTTATGGAAACAAAAAGTTAACTCAACAGTTTTATTAGGATATGTTTACAAAAGTGTTGTCAGCAAACACAAGTAGGACTTATCCTGCTAAATATGTTGAAATAAAAAAATCAGGAAATACATTACTTGACCATTGTGGTTTGGTGTTAGTGTGCATCCCTGCTGATAGTTTTAGGTGTTTTCTTTCAGCTCAAGTTAGGCACACTTCAATCATTTTTTTTTTTTTTTTTTTTTTTTTTTTTTCTTCAAAATTTGATATGACATGAACTACTTATGCTACCTTGTGTTTTGTAGACCTGGATCATTGTTTATAAATCCTTATCAGTATTTCAGAAAATACCACAGAGATAATTCTCATTTCTCTTACAAGGTTCAGATTGTACAAACGTTGATATGACATTTGCAACCAGTCTAAAACCAAAACAATTAACGGGAAGCCATTTGAAATTTAGAATGTTGAATTTTGCATTGAATGTGTTTCTCAGAAAGTGCTTAATGCAGTGATCAATCAACAAATTATTTTCATGAGTTCTTTTACTGCCAAAAACAACGGGTCCCACAATGGAAAATTTTAAGTATTTCCAGAAGTTGTATGAGTCCCAGGAGTACAGGACTCAGGATTCGCGTGAAGATTGATAACTGTTAATGGATTGTAATTTTGGAATTGATGGAAAACCAACATGGCAATCGTGCAACTATTTTGGATTTTGAGGGGAAAAAAATCCTTATTGTTTAGAGAGTCTGAGAGGAATTTCACAATAGACCTTAGTTCTGTATAATTCTATAGAGAAACCTAGAGGGGTTACTGATGGCCATCTTTGGTTATATTAGTTCAAGTTTTTAACACCGTTTCTCTTGAGAATTCTTTTCACAAGAAAGCTCCACATGGCTCTAAGCTGTCGATACTATTAGAAAAACAAGATGGTTGATAGATCACCATGTTCGATTTTAAGTTTTGCTTTATCAAGAAAATAACTCTATTTCTGGCATTGACAATTAAGGTTTCAGAATATCAAGAAAGAAAAACGCTGAAACGATGTTATTCTCCTTATCTTAAAATTTATTAAATTAATGTTTTATTATAGGAACTTCAGTGCCAAGTGATGGACAACTCATACCAGATGTGGAATCCTTCATTGACAATCTGTTATGTGAACGTAAAAGTTCACCCAGAAAAGTGTACAGAGGAAAGCCCAAGCTTTTTAAACAAGAGAGGGAATGGTGGGTGAATACACGAGATATGGCGATACACAAGTAGTACTGTATTCGTTCCATACAAGGCCGGGAGGACAGGGCAACACAAATGCATTCCCAGCAACGTCACACTGGATAAACTTGCTAGGGTCTGGATGTGAGAAGAAAAGGCCAGCATTGGTCACTGTCTGGCCCAGACAGGGGTTTTTATCCACTCCACTTCCTGGGAATCAAAAAATGTTAGACTCACAACTGATGTGTACATTTTACAGGCTTAATACATGAATGCATATCATACTACAAGAGTACTTCCCACAGTGACGACAACACATTCCAATCCTCTCCAGTTCAGTTACATTTAATAAAACCTGAATTGGAGATGATTGGACTGTGTTGTTGTCACTCTGGGAATTTCATTTTACAAGTTTTAGTGAGGACTCTGTACACTAATATTATCCATGGCCATTCCAGACATATTTCACTGATCTTAACCGACAAAGGGTCAATGTGCCTCCATCCTTCTGCTTTGAAACTATAATTTTATCAAGCTAAAAGCCTATTTTGAAAAAGTAAGTATTTGCATGTGGGGCACCACATATGTGGTTTAAGAAAAGACTTTTTGGCAATTCATTTGGTAGATTATCAGTATCCAGCAAATTAACTAAATACATGCACAGAAAACATGGATTAAGACTAGCAAATACCACCTACACAAGTTAATGACAATATTCCATAATGTGAGATAATTTTCTGCTGAACTTTTTTGTGCCTCTAGTCACTTTCATAATAATTAAATGAGCAAATGTAGGCTTATAAACCATGGAAATATTAAAATCAGACAGTTTATGTGAAACCCTTCATGTCTGTGTAATGTTATCAACCTCGGGTAAGACAGTTTATGTAAAACCCTTCATGTCTGTAATGTTATCAACCTCGGGTAAGACAGTTTATGTAAAACCCTTCATGTCTGTGTAATGTTATCAACCTTGGGTAAGACAGTTTATGTAAAACCCTTCATGTCTGTGTAATGTTATCAACCTCGGGTAAGACAGTTTATGTAAAACCCTTCATGTCTGTGTAATGTTATCAACCTCGGGTAAGACAGTTTATGTAAAACCCTTCATGTCTGTGTAATGTTATCAACCTCGGGTAAGACAGTTTATGTAAAACCCTTCATGTCTGTGTAATGTTATCAACCTCGGGTAAGACAGTTTATGTAAAACCCTTCATGTCTGTGTAATGTTATCAACCTCGGGTAAGACAGTTTATGTAAAACCCTTCATGTCTGTGTAATGTTATCAACCTCGGGTAAGACACTTTATGTAAAACCCTTCATGTCTGTGTAATGTTATCAACCTCGGGTACTTTTATTGGAAACTTTAAAGTTTCATTCATACTTTCTTTTAGTGTCACATAAGTTTATAACACAATTTTAAGAAAGGCCTTTTGAAATTTGTGCAAATTAGCACAAACATCAAATGTTGAAGTTCGTATAACTTTTAATTCTATGAAAGACCTGCAAAAATGAATCATAAATGAAAATATGTGTAAATAAAAATTAGATCTACATTTAAAATTTAAATTCCTAGATCAAGGGTTACTTTCACACACTGGAGATCTGACCTGAGATAACTTTAAGGAAACTCATTAAGTAATTGTCGAGAATTTGTCTGCATATAAAACCTAATACAATAATATATGAGATATTTCTCTGCATGGCCACCATTTCACAGAATAGATTTATTTCTTCATTGAGAATGAGTTCCAAGACCTTACCAATCTCATCACTGGGCAATGTTACAGTTTAGGCTGTAGTATATATATATTACAGAACTTTATCATTTTTTTGCAGCAAATAAAGAATAAAACAATTATGCTATTGTCTTTGTGTGATGGCTCTGTGATATTATGGTGTGATGGGCAAATATTGAATTGTTTAACTAAATTTCATTCGTAATGGACACAGATTTGAATTTGACTAAAAAATTGTCCATGCCTGTGTCCACTACTTCGTCAGTGTGTAAGAGGCCTGTGTCCACTACTTCGTCAGTGTGTCAGGGGCCTGTGTTGGCTGGTGTGGTATTTACCTGTCAGTGTGTCAGGGGCCTGTGTTGGCTGATGTGGTATTTACCTGTCAGTGTGTCAGGGGCCTGTGTTGGCTGGTGTGGTATTTACCTGTCAGTGTGTCAGGGGCCTGTGTTGGCTGGTGTGGTATTTACCTGTCAGTGTGTCAGGGGCCTGTGTCCACTACTTCGTCAGTGTGTCAGGGGCCTGTGTCCACTACTTCGTCAGTGTGTCAGGGGCCTGTGTCCACTACTTCGTCAGTGTGTCAGGGGCCTGTGTTGGCTGGTGTGGTATTTACCTGTCAGTGTGTAAGAGGCCTGTGTTGGCTGATGTGGTATTTACCTGTCAGTGTGTCAGGGGTCTGTGTTGGCTGGCTACTGTGGTATTTACCTGTCTGTGTGTCAGGGGCCGGTATTGGCTGTTGTGGTATTTAACTGTCAGTGTGTCAGGGGCCTGTGTTGGCTGGTGTGGTATTTGCCTTTCAGTGTGTCAGGGGCCTGTGTTGGCTGGTGTGGTATTTACCTGTCAGTGTGTCAGGGGTCTGTGTTGGCTGGTGTGGTATTTACCTGTCAGTGTGTCAGGGGCCTGTGTTGGCTGATGTGGTATTTACCTGTCAGTATGTCAGGGGCCTGTGTTGGCTGGTGTGGTATTTACCTGTCAGTGTGTCAGGGGCCTGTGTTGGCTGATGTGGTATTTACCTGTCAGTGTGTCAGGGGCCTGTGTTGGCTGGTGTGGTATTTACCTGTCTGTGTGTCAGGGGCCTGTGTTGGCTGATGTGGTATTTACCTGTCAGTATGTCAGGGGTCTGTGTTGGCTGGTGTGGTATTTACCTGTCAGGGGCCTGTGATGGCTAATGTGGTATTTACCTGTCAGTATGTCGGGGGCCTGTGTTGGCTACTGTAGTTATTTACCTGTTAGTGTGTTAGGGTCCTGTGTCGGCTGTTGAGTCTGTGTCTGTGAACTGTAAACACATGATTGTCTCGTCTGATCCCACTCCAGTAGTGATGGACAATCAAGCAGATTAGCACTGCCATCAGGAGAACATTCAATAAATTTGTGCTTGTTTCCAGGTACAGGGAAGTATACACTGCCTGTTGCCAGGTTCTGGGGACTGCAGGGATTGGACACCTGGGTTCCAGAAGATATGGTGACTGCTGGCAAGGCTGTTGTCTGCTTCTGTAATGGTTAAATCAATGTTAAACAGAAGGAAAGACATTAGATTATAGAAAGCAATACTATAATGCCAGTACAAAAGACAATCATGTAATATGATGTATTGTGCTCTTACCACATGAGGGAGATATTGAACACTTACCACAGGAGAGAGATATTGAACATTTACCACAGGAGGGAGACATTGAACACTTTCCACAGGAGGGAGACATTGAATACTGTGGTGAGACATTGAACACTTACCACAGGAGGGAGATATTGAACACTTTCCACAGGAGGGAGACATTGAACACTGTGGTGAGACATTGAACACTTACCACAGGAGAGAGATATTGAACACTTTCCACAGGAGGGAGACATTGAACACTGTGGTGAGACATTGAACACTTACCACAGGAGAGAGATATTGAACATTTACCACAGGAGGGAGACATTGAACACTTTCCACAGGAGGGAGACATTGAACACTGTGGTGAGACATTGAACACTTTCCACAGGAGGGAGACATTGAACACTATGGTGAGACATTGAACACTTACCACAGGAGAGAGATATTGAACACTTTCCACAGGAGGGAGACATTGAACACTGTGGTGAGACATTGAACACTTACCACAGGAGAGAGATATTGAACATTTACCACAGGAGGGAGACATTGAACACTTTCCACAGGAGGGAGACATTGAACACTGTGGTGAGACATTGAACACTTTCCACAGGAGGGAGACATTGAACACTATGGTGAGACATTGAACACTTACCACAGGAGAGAGATATTGAACATTTACCACAGGAGGGAGACATTGAACACTTTCCACAGGAGGGAGACATTGAACACTGTGGTGAGACATTGAACACTTACCACAGGAGGGAGATATTGAACACTTTCCACAGGAGGGAGACATTGAACACTTTCCACAGGAGGGAGACATTGAACACTGTAGTGAGACATTGAACACTTACCACAGGAGGGAGATATTGAACACATAGTACAGGAGGGAGACATTGAACACTTTCCACAGGAGGGAGACATTGAACACTGTGGTGAGGCATTGAACACTTACCACAGGAGGGAGATATTGAACATTTACCACAGGAAGGAGACATTGAACACTTTCCACAGGAGAGAGAAATTGAACACTGTGGTGAGACATTGAACACTTACCACAGGAGGGAGACATTGAACACTTTCCACAGGAGGGAGACATTTAACACTGTGGTAAGATATTGAACACTTACCACAGGAGGAAGATATTGAACACTTACCACATGAGGGAGATATTGAACACATAGTACAGGAGGGAGACATTGAACATTTACCACAGGAGGGAGACAATGAACACTTTCCACATGAGGGAGACATTGAACACTGTGGTGAGACATTGAACACTTACCACAGGAGGGAGACATGTTCTTGCATCTTGGCTGTAAACCTCTCCAGTAGGACACTGTACCAGAAACATACGTCCGCCACCACACTGTAGGAACTTGGTGTTGTCAGAGGGATGTGGGTAGTAGCCAATTTTTTCAGTACCAGTACATGGGTTAGTTATTCCAGTTAAGGCATCTACAGCACACAACATGTATACAACACAGGGGCGTGATAATTACTGACAGTCAGTCTACATGTATACAACACAGGGGCATGATAATTACTGACAATCTACATGTATACAACACAGGGGCCTGATAATTACTGACAGTCAGTCTACATGTATACAACACAGGGGCCTGATAATTACTGACAATCTACATGTATACAACACAGGGGCGTGATAATTACTGACAATCTACAACTATATTACACAGGGGTGTGATAATTACTGACAATCTACAACTATATTACACAGGGGCGTGATAATTACTGACAATCTACATGTATACAACACAGGGGCCTGATAATTACTGACAGTCAGTCTACATGTATACAACACAGGGGCGTGATAATTACTGACAATCTACATGTATACTACACGGGCCTGATAATTACTGACAGTCAGTCTACATGTATACTACACAGGGGCCTGATAATTACTGACAGTCAGTCTACATGTATACTACACAGGGGCCTGATAATTACTGACAGTCTACATGTATACTACACAGGGGCCTGATAATTACTGACAGTCAGTCTACATGTATACTACACAGGGGCCTGATAATTACTGACAATCTACATGTATACTACACAGGGGCCTGATAATTACTGACAGTCAGTCTACATGTATACTACACAGGGGCCTGATAATTACTGATGGTGAATTTATTTGATCCTTTGTACACGGGGTATTTTGAAGCTATCTTCTCATCCTCCATAAAAAGGTGACTATATCATATTTAAATCTACTTACCACAATTTGCTCGTGTCTGGGGAGACCCTGAAACAATTAAATCAACAATATAGTATTAATATATATAAATGTTAATATAAACAGTATTTGTTTTACGACAATTGCAAAACAAGTTATATCAACTTATAGTTACCACTCCTGGTGGCCCGGATGTAAGCACGTGAGGAGTCTTACTGTGGGAGGAAACAGGAGTACCACTTGGTCGGACAGGTGACCCCTAGCTTTTTAATGCATTTCAGGAATTGAACCCCGGATGGATATTGAGTGTGTTACCACTGCACCACCGACCATGTACTTGTAATAATTTGTGTACAATATGGTACTATATAAGGTTTTAACATGTTAAATACTCTTTATTGATAGTTACTGAACAATGTCTGACGTTGTTTGCAAGCTTTAAGACTGACGGAATACTACTCCCTGATAATTTTTTATATCAAAAAAGTCAAAAATCCTTTTTCTTACATCAGAAAAGATTGAGATGAGGACATGTTTTTAGGTGCTACGACTTCGCTGTTGATTAGCTGATATCAAAAAATGTACCCGATTTTCTCATATCAAAACATAGATTCATTTGATATCAAGAAAAAAAATTTTTTCTGTAGAATCGGGAGCATCAGAAATCGTGATCACTGAGACAGAAATAAAGGAACATGTTGTACAAATACATATACTATATTGTCATCGGCAGCTAATATAGACTGTAGCAGGGAGCTTAGTTGTAAATTTGGAGAACTGCAAGTTTTAAAATACATGACTTCAAGTTGATAGCTGAAAGTTGAATTGGCGGTCCTTGCCGACCATGTCATGGCAAAATTGAAGGCACAAGCGAAGTAATTTGATTGGTTCCAGGAGAAAAAAAAATGACCAATCACTGGCTCATACGCTCCTTTTGACGATTGCAAAGGAGCGACACCCAACTTCAAAGTTATCAGAATATAGCATTACGAAACCGAGATTCATTTTATGTACATCAAAGGACCAAACTAGATTTTATATCTTGTTCACAAAGTGTCGCACGTGGTACATTCAATTTTGCCGTGGCATGTTTCGGGGTGCAGAGAGCGAAATTGATCGTGACCCCAGGCATGTTACAAAATGACCACCGTGGCCGTCATATCGAAATTTTGACGAGACGAGACATGATAATACTTTGTAAACTTCATTTTCTTAACATCACCACTAGTTTTCAACTCAATGGCAACAGTTACAGTAGATCAAAAGACGTTTAAAATGTGTTTTCAAAATGGCGGCCATATTGGATTGCGGACTGACCTAAACAATAATATCACTCGGCAAGGACCCTCCTAGCATTTGGTATATCAATTTTTTTTTTAAAAATGCGCGGACGGCAGACAAAACACCATGACTCTGTCCTTCTGATCCTTCATTAAAGATAGAACTTTTGATGAGTTTCTATCAGTGATAGTAAGGGGTTACTACTGCGCTACTGTAACTGGAAGACAATACCCTTTATGATCAGTTTAACTGGTAAAATCGGCGGTACTAGCAGCAACAATAGAGAATCATCTGAACTAGTCCTTTTCATCAAATATGTACGAGGCCTCTGGTCGACCGTTATGGCGTTACATATTGGTCACTACTGCGCCAACTGTGAAAAAGGGGTCTGTCCTAATTTCTAACGATAACGGCTTAAGTCGAAGTCAGATCTTGGTCACCTAACCTTTCTTCCAAGTGAATAATCAATCTTATATATAAAAAATACCTCACGTGGTAAATCACCTAAACTGGATGTATCAAAATATACCTAAATATGTTGAAAAAGGAGGATTTGTACCGTAAATCAAGAAATACAGTATTCGCGAAGTTTAAGTGATTTACAGTAATATGCTAGGACAGACAGACAGACAGACAACGTGCCTACGTAAATTATACCACACGTGTACAGTACCGTCACTTACTCGTGACCTTCAATGGATTTGTGACCTTGACCCACAAGCGAATTCATTCATCGTTTTAAATTAGTCATAAGAGATAGTTACCACCTTCCTTATGTTTCAGAAATAAGATTCGCCTTACGGTAAGATTACCCGTTATTACACACATAATGATATTTGAAATTTAACGTCAATATTTTAGCTGATAAAATAGTCTGTATTTCTGTAATATTGCTAAACCCAAATACAATCAATATATTGCGATTCACGGATAAAAACAAATTAATTAAATCAATCAAAATAGAATTGAAAATTCAATACATTTCAATCAAAAAATTAAAATTTCAAATTTAGTTTGACACACGTTATAACTTTAGTCGGGTCAGTGTTGTCTTGACCTTTGACCGAATTTAACATTATAAATCATTCTGTTGGACTCTACTTGCCGACAAGTTTAGGTGCGGGTATTTTCGGGCTTAAATAAATACAAGTCTAGCACGCGACATACACGCCATATCAGTTGGAGGTCGCGCGCATAAATTATCTTAGTAACGATGATTTTTTTATTTAAAATGTTGTACATATTTATGGTTTAAATATAATTTATTTGTTTTAAATTATTGTTCCTACTTTCAGTTACTGGCAGAATTTAAATTAAAGCATTTTACCAAATGATTGAACAGCATCTTTGATGGAAAGTCTTGGAGAGAGAGAAAAAACTTGTGACAAAAGACAAATATTGTTTTCCAATTATTCCAATGACTGGAAACCATTAACAAATGCTTCTTTGTGGATGTGTTCCTTTAAGATATTTGAATGTTTACTTATTTCGGAACCGAACAGCTAACGTGCCTTAGGAGGCGTTTAAGTCAGACTAAAATGAGAAGTACCACTAACGGTGTACGATGAAGTCACGGCAGTTTGTATTGCGGAGCGGACTAGACCACTAAAAAAGATTCACATTGAAAATAAAAATGAGAGAAAAAAATGGAAAATAAAAATGGAAACGTCTCTATAAAAAAATTCAAACGACTTTGAACCCAATTTGGATACTGAAGAAAATATCCTGAACGTGAAAGTATAAAAAAAAAAAAAAAAACAAACAAAAGAAAAAAAACCAAACAAACAAATCAAAAACAAAACAAAAACAAAAAATATTTTTCAAAAAGAGATTTCTGCAAATAATAGGCAGTATGATATCTGAGCAGTATGATATCTGAGCAGTATATCAGCTTGTATCACAATAAACGTCCGTTATGGAATTGGAGGAGCAAGGCAGGGGAGATAGGGAGTGGGGCTGGGTTACGTTACGGACATCGCTTACCTTGACCATTGCTACCCACAGCCAGAACGATTAACACGGTCGTGAAAAGCAACTTCATGATACCTGACACAGCTTCAACGGTTCCAAAGGATTCCTTGGTGTTGACGAATCGTTGGCGCGTGTGTTCCCTGCATCGCTGGTGTGCATTTTATATACAGGTGCACGGTGTTAATCACAGGCTGGGGTTAAAGGTTTCTTGTGAACACCCTCTTTCGCGTGGTATGGTCTCCAACGATTAGAGTGATGCATCTATTTGCACACGTAATAGATATGCTGACACGCGTCAATTAGGTGTGAATTAATTGGTCGTAGCGCGTGTAACGAGGATCGCGCTGCATTTTTTCTAAGTACTTTTTAATAATAATTTGGACTGGATTTAAAGCATCGTAATTGAGTTTTCATTTCATATGAGATTATTTTTGCGTGCATTAGCGAGAAAAAATACAACTTCAAAATAAAATTTAGAAATGATTTTCATAAAATCTCATATGAAACGAAAACACATTTAAGACAGTTTCATCACATAAATCATTAAAGAATTAAATTAAGCAGGCATTCGTTTCGTTGCGATATTTTTTTAAAATACAACGCCATTGTCCAAAATATGACATCATAATCAATTTCTGACAGGTACAGCCAATGAAAACCGTTCTATGGGTGATTTACAGTGGTGATTTATGGGAAATATTATGTGGTGTTTTAGTGGATAACAGACAATTTATGCAAAATGTCACGAGCCAAAAGGAAGCCATAAGCCCGACCATGACCCGAAATATAACCACGAGGCCACATCAAGTCGAAATATACAAGTTTAAAAGATCATAAAAATTTTCGTGAAGCAACATTGCAGGAAAGACTGAAATGTCGTTTCATTATCACCAGTGAAAAGCAATTTATCGGATTACAAATAAAACGAAATTGTCCATTACTGTTCTTTTGTGTACTGAGTAGACACGATGAGAGGATTGGATTTCTGACCTTCGTGTCCCGACACTAGAGACTTACACAACTGACCTAAGATCACTGTACACCAAGGTCACGAAGGTCACATAGATACCAGCAATTCCCTGGGGACAAAATCATGTTCATAAACGTAGGTTTAAGTTGTAATTCATGAAATTTTTCCAATTTTAATAATCAGTAATTGAAAGTTTGTTGTGTGGCGTAATATAGGGTAAGATATTATTGAGTTGTTAACAACGAACGTTTTTTTAACCTGACCTGTCGTTTAAAATCTCCGTACACAATTGTTATATTTGGTGTCTTTGATGACCTAAACAGCTCATTTTAAACCGGATTTTAAAAAATCTTTAATGTATGTTTAATTTTAACGAAATCAAACTTCTTAATTAAAGATGGGCAATATCCTATTGGGAGATTTTGTTTAAATGTTTGGTAGTTTATCAAACGAGACGTCTGTGTTGTTAGTGCTGTAAGTTTACCGAGGCTTTTTATGTCATAGAGATGCAAAACTTTTGACTACAAAGGGTGGAACCCACCGCTAGTGACGTAGAACGTTCGTATGACAGTACACATATATAAAACACGGCCGCGAGACAAAGCTCGTGTGCCGTGCCAACATCATATAGGGGAATAGTTCGCACCGTTTAAATTTCAATTACAAATATGAAAGTGTTGGTATTTATGTTGTGTGTGGCGTTGTCTGTCGCCGTTCCGACGAGAGGTAAGTGTTAAATACCATGTTCGTGTGTATAACAAAATTCAGCTTTATCATAAAATTGAAACATCGAGTCTTTAATTTTTATCTTCGGAGACAGTCTTAACAATTACTTTTTTTTAAATAACCATGAGTGATTGCTGAAATTCGCTTATCATTTTGATAACATCTCGTCATTTTTAAGCTCTTTAACAGTGGACCAGTATACAAAATATAATAAAAACAGACCTTTTTCTATTCAATTTTTTTTCTGTAAAAACCTGCTTTTTCCTGATTAATTTACCACTATCTGTGAATGTTCATTTTTCATTTTGCAAAATTCTGTGAATATTTGTTTAGATTTTCATTTTCATTTTGAGCCTTAAAATGTTTTTTTGAAAGTTTATATCGTGAAAATTGATCATTTATTTCTGTTTGTGCTGTTTATACACTCATACCTCTGTTTTTAAATTTTTACATTACAAATGTTATCTTTAAAGTAAATTGATTTTATTTCAGAAAAGAGACAACTGCCGAACTGTGTCAGTAAGTATACAACTTGTAAAACATAATAAAATGTCATTTGTGATATCGTTATATCATGACAAAATATATGTTCTGGGAACTATTTATGAAGACTAAACCATGTTTTGTTTATCAAGCTATAGCATATGTTGTTTATCAACACTATATCTTTTGTTATTTTTCGAGACTAGTTCAGGTGTTGTTTATCAGGACTACAGTAAGTGTTGTTTAACAGGACTACAGTAAGTGTTGTTTATTGAGACTAGTTCATGTTTTGGTATTCAAATCGCCCTACGCCCGTGGTCCATCTGTCAGTCCGTCCGACCGTAAACAATTTTTGTTATCTCTATTTCTTGAGAAGTAGTGGATGGATCTTTCTCAAGTTTTGATTTTGGGGACTGATCAGAAAACCAAAATGGCCGAAAGGCGGCCATCTTGGACTTTTTCAATATGATTTGTTAACGTTATTTCTTGAAAAGAATTTGACAGATCTCTCTCAATTTCTTATGTAAGTTGTCCTTGGTCTCTAGTTGTGTCCATTTAATTCTGGGACTGATCAGTAAAACAAAATGGCCGACAGGTAGCCGTCTTGAATTTTAACTGAAGTTTTGTTATTGCTCTTTCTTGAGAAAAACTGCAGAGATCTTTCTCAAATTTCATGTATAGGTTCCTCTTGATCCCTAGTTGTGCCTGTATGAGTTTAGGACTGATCAGAAAAGCAAACGAATTGGTCGACAGGCGGCCATCTTGGATTTTGACTTTGATTTCTTGTTATCGCTATTTCTTGAGAAATACTGCATAGATTTTTCTCAAGCTTCATGTATAGTTTGGAACTGATAGAAAAAAACAAAATGGCCGACAGGCAGCGATCTTGGATTTCGCCTAGTAAAGATTGTTATCCGTATTTCTTAAGAAGTACTGAATGGGTTTCTCTCAAATTTCATATGCATGTTCCCTTTGGTCTCTACTTGTGCCCGTTAGAAGAAACAAAATGGCTCCAAGGCGACCGTTTCTGATTTGGCTGGTAAAGATCGGCATCACTATATCTTCAAAGGAATGTTCAAATTTCTTATCATTAAGTGCAAAAACAGAGAAGAGAAAAGAAGGGACATGATCCATTTTTAAAAGAACAAATAAAGATCAAACAATGGTGGTGCCAAGATCCCTCTGGGATCTCTTGTTTATCAAGACTACAAGATATATTATTTCTTGGTGAGATCGTATCAAATGTTGTTTTGATAAATGTATGGTGTGTTGTTTGTGTAAATGGTATCATGTGTTGCTTGTCATTGTTGTTAAGACCATGGTCTGTTGTTTGTCGTTAACAACATTGCACGTGTTGTGTAGATCGCGGAAACAATTGAGAAGATAGTATACTTCTTAGTTTACGCCATAACATGCCTTATTTGTCAATGATATAACAGATGTTATTTGTTGTTTAGTTAGTATCACGTGTTGTTTGTTGTTTAGTTAGTATCACGTGTTGTTTGTTTAGTTAGTATCACGTGCTGTTTGATATGATAGTATCACGTGCTGTTTGTTTAGTTAGTATCACGTGTTGTTTGTTTAGTTAGTATCACGTGCTGTTTGTTGTTTAGGTAGTATCACGTGTTGTTTATTGTTTAGGTAGTATCACGTGTTGTTTATTGTTTAAACCATAGGTGTTTAGCCTAAATCATGTGCTTTTGGACTATATATTGTTTTTGTTTAGCCTGTAGAATACAATGTTGTTTAGGCCATAAGACATATTGTTTTTATACCATATAAGGTGTTATTTAGACTATATTAAGTGTTGTTTCGACCTTTGTATGTGTTGTTTATCCTTTACCAGATAATGTGTTGTATAAACCAAGTGGAGACTAAGCTGATTTAGAACTAAGATTCACGGTTTTGGCTAACTATATTTACTGAGGGAAATTTCTGTGCTCAGATACTTTCCAGAATGTGCCCAATCCTTGCACGTCCAACTCCAACCGAGTGTATTTCCCCCACCCTGGAGACAACACAAAGTTCCTCCAGTGTGACCGATTCGGCAGGATGTACATCGTCCAATGTCCAGCTGGTGAAATTTATAACCAGGCAACAACTTCCTGTATCACGGTAGGTCATCAAATCCAAGAGTTAGTCATCAAATCCAAGGGTTAGTCATCAAATCTATGAGTTAGTCATCAAATCCACGAGCTAGTCATCAAATCCATGAGTTCGATGAGTTCGTCATCACACCCCAGTGTTAGTCATCAAATCCATGAGTTAGTCATCAAATCCTAGAGTTATTCATCAAATCCAAGAGTTAGTCATCAAATCCACGAGTTAGTAATCACATCCAAGAGTTAGTCATCACATCCAAGTGTTAGTCATCAAATCAACGAGTTAGTCATCAAATCAACGAGTTAGTCATCAAATCCATGAGTTAGTCATCAAATATAGAAGTTAGTCATCAAATCCAAGAGTTAGTCATCAAATCCAAGAGTTATTCATCACATCCAAGAGTTAGTCATCACATCCAAGTGTTAGTCATCAAATCAACGAGTTAGTCATCAAATCAACGAGTTAGTCATCAAATCCATGAGTTAGTCATCAAATATAGAAGTTAGTCATCAAATCCAAGAGTTAGTCATCAAATCCAAGAGTTATTCATCAAATCCAAGAGTTAGTCATCAAATCCAAGAGTTAGTCATCAAATCCACGAGTTAGTCATCACATCCAAGTGTTAGTCATCACATCCTAGAGTTATTCATCAAATCCAAGAAATAGTCATCAAATCCAAGAGTTAGTCATCACATCCAAGAGTTAGTCATCAAATCCCAGTGTTAGTCATCAAATCCACGAGTTAGTAGTCACATCCAAGAGTTAGTCATCAAAGCCAAGAGTTAGTCATCACATCCACGAATTAGTAATCACATCCATGAGTAAGTCATCAAATCCAAGGGTTAGTCATCAAATCTATGAGTCTGTCATCACATCCATGAGTTAGTAAGAGTTATTCATCAAATCCAAGAGTAAACCCAAAGGTTAATTATGTGATAAAAGTGTGAGACATCATTACTGGTGACTATTCTAATCATTATTATTAAAAGAACCAATCTTAAGACAATGGAGGTTACATTAGAAATCTGATCTACTCAATACTGATGTATAATACCTATGTTACAGCCAGTTGTAGCCACCACACCAGCTACAGTACAAGTTGTGAACTCTCTTCCTTTAACACTTTGATGTATTATATATTACAGCCAGTTGTAGCCACCACACCAGCTACAGTACAAGTTGTGAACTCTCTTCCTTTAACACTTTGATGTATTATATATTACAGCCAGTTGTAGCCACCACACCAGCTACAGTGCCAGTCGTGAACTCCCAGTGTACTGCTATGAACATAGCCAAAGGAAATCTCTACTTTGCCATCGCTGGCAGTCCAAACCAATTTATCGAGTGTGATCTAAATGGCAATGCTAACATCCTGACTTGCCCATCAATGCTTGTCTGGGATGAGTCGAGACTCTCCTGTGTATATGCCTTCACACAAGTCAACCCAACAGCCAATCCTGGTTCAGGCACAGGTAAGATTCATCCCAACATCTCTAGCTGGTCAAGACTTTGTTAGACAGCATACTATCTGTTTGTTCACACTTAAAGCATTCTTTCATTTATGAGATACCAATGGTATCTGAAGCAGTGAAATTGTCAGGTCATCCAATGTTGTCAGGTTTTATGATATATGGAGTCAAATCCAACATTTTTCACATTTGTAGAAAGACATCTTTCTTCTTTTTGTGTTTGTTAACATGTTGTTTCCAGACGTTATGATTAACACTAAATTATCATCATCATTAAGAGGTCATGATCCATTGATAACAAATTTGTCCTTGACCTTTGTTTCTAGGTAACATGATCACCGGAGCCACCAACCCATGTCAAGGACAAATTGTTACCCCAGCTGGTCTGTTCTTCTCACACCCCGATCCAAACAAATTTATCCAGTGTGACATTGCTGGTGACGCTTATGTCCTCTCATGCCCCTCAGGACTGGTATGGAATGAATACAGCAAGACCTGCGTCTCTCCATACCTGGTGGCTGGCTCAAGTGGATAGGCTCTCTTTACAAGTGGGTGGCCTCCCCTATTTTAGTGGGTGGCCTCCCCCTATTTTAGTGGGTGGCCTCCCCTATTTTAGTGGGTGGTCTCCCCTTTTCTTGTGCCTAGTTCCACTGGTACACTGTTGATCATTCACAATTATATTTATGTCACCAATTAAAAAATCATTACTGTATCTTGTTGTATTTGTCTCTGTATACTTATTTCTTGCTCTTCCCAAGTCCCTACACTCAGATAATTAGGGTACGTATAGCTAACATTGCTCGACAACCTTATTATCTTATTCATCCGAGTGGTAGGTGTTTGTTTGTGAATGATGAAAAATGTTCCTCCCCTTCAGGATAATTACATAATTTAGCACTCCATATTGTTTTGCAATTGTTTTTACTTTTATTTGTGTCATCTCATGAAGTGAATAACTTTCCCTTTCTCTACAAAATCAGCTCAACATTGTATTTCTTGAATCATGCTTTTAGAATTGGGAATGAAATGAGATTTTCACTTTATATGATATTATATAAACAAACCAATGATAACACAACACAGATTTCTAATGTTAATCATAACCATGATTTTTATCAAAATAAAAACCTTTTCCATCAAAATATACAATTAAATAAAGAATAAAGGAATACATGTTAATTTTCACTTTAAAATGTTTCTATCTATATCACTAATTATGTAACAACACTCTCCTTACAATATACAGCTGATAAAATTCCTAACTATATCACAGACAGGAGACATTTAGGTGTAATACTCTGGTGTTGTTAGATATACAATGTCAGTTTCAGTAGGGTCAGATTAGACAATTATTCTGACAGAAAAGCAGACCTCTAGGTCTTATATACTGATAAATTAGATATTACACCAAACAATGTCTTTTACAGCAGTGTCCAGGTTAGACAGTATTCAGTCAAGACAGTGTCCAGGTTAGACAGTATTCAGTCAAGTCAGTGTCCAGGTTAGACAGTATTCAGTCAAGACAGTGTCTAGGTAAGACAGTATTCAGTCAAGTCAGTGTCCAGGTTAGACAGTATTCAGTCAAGTCAGTGTCCAGGTTAGACAGTATTCAGTCATGACAGTGTCCAGGTTAGACAGTATTCAGTCAAGTCAGTGTCCAGGTTAGACAGTATTCAGTCATGACAGTGTCCAGGTTAGACAGTATTCAGTCAAGTCAGTGTCCAGGTTAGACAGTATTCAGTCAAGACAGTGTCCAGGTTAGACAGTATTCAGTCAAGACAGTGTCTAGGTAAGACAGTATTCAGGCAAGACAGTATCCGGGTTAGACAGTATTCAGTCAAGACAGTGTCCAGGTTAGACAGTATTCAGTCAAGACAGTGTCCAGGTTAGAGTGTATTCAGTCAAGACAGTGTCTAGGTAAGACAGTATTCAGTCAAGACAGTATCCGGGTTAGACAGTATTCAGTCAAGACAGTATTCAGTCAAGTCAGTGTCCAGGTTAGACAGTATTCAGTCAAGTCAGTGTCCAGGTTAGACAGTATTCAGTCAAGACAGTGTCCAGGTTAGACAATATTCAGTCAAGACAGTGTCTAGGTAAGACAGTATTCAGTCAAGACAGTATCCGGGTTAGACAGTATTCAGTCAAGACAGTATTCAGTCAAGTCAGTGTCCAGGTTAGACAGTATTCAGTCAAGTCAGTGTCCAGGTTAGACAGTATTCAGTCAAGTCAGTGTCTAGGTAAGACAGTATTCAGTCAAGACAGTGTCCAGGTTAGACAGTATTCAGTCAAGACAGTGTCCAGGTTAGACAGTATTCAGTCAAGACAGTGTCCAGGTTAGACAGTATTCAGTCATGACAGTGTCCAGGTTGGACAGTATTCAGTCAAGACAGTATCCGGGTTAGACAGTATTCAGTCTAGACAGTGTCCAGGTTAGACAGTATTCATTCTAGACAGTATCCAGGTTAGACAGTATTCAGTCAAGACAGTATTCAGTCAAGACAGTATTCAGTCAAGTCAGTGTCTAGGTAAGACAGTATTCAGTCAAGACAGTGTCCAGGTTAGACAGTATTCAGTCAAGACAGTGTCCAGGTTAGACAGTATTCAATCAAGACAGTGTCCAGGTTAGACAGTATTCAGCCAAGACAGTGTCCAGGTTAGACAGTATTCAGTCAAGTCAGTGTCCAGGTTAGACAGTATTCAGTCTAGACAGTGTCCTGGTTAGACAGTATTCAGTCAAGACAGTGTCCAGGTTAGACAGTATTCATTCTAGACAGTGTCCAGGTTAGACAGTATTCATTCTAGACAGTGTCCAGGTTAGACAGTATTCATTCTAGACAGTGCCCTGGTTAGACAGTATTCATTCTAGACAGTGCCCTGGTTAGACAGTATTCATTCTAGACAGTGCCCTGGTTAGACAGTATTCATTTTAGACAGTGCCCTGGTTAGACAGTATTCATTCTAGACAGTGTCCAGGTTAGGAAGTTTACCGGCAGTGTCTATCTTATTGTATAACATTGCTGTGATCCTGATGTATTTAGAAATCTCTCACAGGTTGTGAACAACGTACAAATATAACAGAATCAATGATATGATAACTTAGTAAAAACTTCACTGTGAATTAATCCTACACATACTGGTTCAGTAGTCATCTTCCCAATCATCTTAACTAAATACCAACCAATAATTTATATATCTCTTAATCCCATCTCAAATACCAACCAATACTTTATATATCTCTTAATCCCATCTCAAATACCAACCAATACTTTATATATCTCTTAATCCCATTTCAACGGTGTCCAGACATTTCTTTATAAATTTTTTATAATAAAGGTTTGTTTAAATAACATAAACAGTTTTCTTTTCACACACAAATATGTTCCCATATATTACCTGAAACATACACCATGTAAGGCAATTTAGGCACATAACACTTTCATTATAAGATGTAATTCACATACATAATGAATTGTACATACCATATGATGGTCTTTTCATGCACAAAATGGATATGTACTTTTTGTACATAAAAAAGATGTTGATTTTTTTAAATTTTTGAGATGTGCACATGATATGTTCTTTAAGTATATATATGATCAATCTAAACCTGAGTATGTGAGTTAAAATCCAGCATGATCATCCTATACCGGCGTATTTTATCTATTTATCTGACAACAGCTGATTTGAATACTAATACAGTGAGGTAAACAGATGATTGACAATATCTGTTGATTCAGAGCACTTGAGCTTGTAGTAAAATTTATTAAACAAAATTAAATTCTTTCCAAATGTTTGGATTCATCAATAGATAAAATCTTCACTGAACAACTTGATGTAAACGACAGACTAAAATATCAGAAACAGTTAACAGAACATACACGTTAAACAAGAATCGTTCTATAATTTTTCTTTATGGTCAAAACATGACTTAAAAATTTCTTTTCTAATACCAGGATAATGCATGGTAACATGTAAACAAACCTCATGCGCTCCGCATATTTGAATTTTATATCAACATAACATGAAAAACGGACCTCCACTGTTCGTTGAACTAGTTCATGATGTCTAAGATTCCGAATCAAAATAACAATGTTATTGACTAAAACATAAAAAAAATCCAATAACAAAGCACACACAAGCTTATCTATTTTCCTATAAAGTTTTATCTCTCTCTGGACGGAATGATAATGTAAAATTTATCTTGTACAAAACATATCAACGTGTTCATACATATTCTAATTGTTTAAACAATCTCAAGCATTCTAGATACATTCAAACATTAAATAGATATATGAAAATAGAAGGCGAGATTCGGAGATTCAAGAATATTTCAATTGGTCGCTAGCAGAAACTATCTAGTACATGTACTATGGGTTGCTATAGAAACCAAGGACATGTCTCCTTAATGAGCAGCAACACCAGGCTTTCCCCAGAATTCTTCCTTGCGTTTCCTGGCCCGTTCCAGCGTCTCCGATGCTAAAGAACAGCTGGAGGCGACAGATCGTGCCGAGACCGATAGGACATCATCATCAACATCTGAAAGTAAACAAAATGTGATCGATAATGTTTTATAATTATTAAGATCAAAACCTAAAAAACAGAATGAAATATAACCTAAAGCTAGAAATAATCTTATAATTCTGAGACTATTTCCATTAACCCTCAAACACTACATCCAGAAATCTCCAGGAACTTTTAAAACTACTGGCATGTGATAAATGTGGTAGTTGTGTCCCGAGAGTTTACAATCATCAATTTCTTACACTCAGATACTTCACAGACTCTAGGAAACATCAATTTCTACCACTCAGATATTTCACAGACTCTAGGAAACATCAGTTTCTACCACTCAGATATTTCACAGACTCTAGGAAACATCAGTTTCTACCACTTAGATACTTCACAGACTCTAGGAAACATCACTAGTATGATGTATCTCAGGTCACCTCAAGCTTTATATTGATAACAAGTACATGTCTATATGATAGCCCCCTACAGTATAGATGATACTTGTCTATACTAGTTTTAACTCCCAGTATAGTTGGTGGTATCCATGCTGTGTTTAATTACACTGTAATCACAGTCGGCAAAGATATCGTGAAATTAAATACCAAGTGAAAACATTTTCACGGTGAAACAAATTCTCAGAAAAACTATATTTATATGTAAATATTTACATTCTGTGCTGCATTAGCCTATATACAATGTACCATCAATACACCATTTAGTAGTATATAAAACTGTACAGAAATATACCTATGTATCGCCCAGTTATATCAAAATGGCTGCAGGTCACATTTAGTTTTAATTCATAAATAGATACATTCACAGTTGTTGAACTTAAGAAGCCTTTATAAACATGAAAGCTATGAGATTGTAAAAAAACAAATTTATAGTCAAACACAAAATTTGTCATAAAATCTTCATCATCACACAAAATCACCAAATTTGTCAATGCACTTTTATTCCAAACAAATGAAAATAACTGAAATATTTTACTTGATAGAAACAAATGATTTATACTGTTATACAAACACTCAAGTTAACTTTGTGGCCGTATTTCTGTATTTAAAAGGATTTTTAATAATAATGACTTGAAGATCTACACAATGTTTTTGGATATGACGGTAGTATGAAGCTGTATCAAAACTACCAAATATTAAAAATCTGAAAATAAATCTTTAATCAAACAGGAAAACATTTATGTGAAGCAGATGTGAAGCAAATATAGACTGTCTACTAGCTATATATTTACTCAAGTATGTAATCCACAAAATACTACAACAGAAACAGCTCTAGGCAATGAAAAATATAAGTTTATAGTAGATGGTGAGATTGGTGAGTTTTGAGTGAAAAAAATATCTTTAAAAACTCATCTATTGGTCACTATGCAAGCAGTACCATGCCACACGACATCTGACACACTTACAAGGTGTAGACTTACTCCTGGCCTGACTATACAATGACAGTACCATGCCAAACGACATCTGACACTTTTACAAGGTGTAGACTTACTCCTGGCCTGACTATACAATGGCAGAACCATGCCACACAACATCTGACACACTTACAAGGTGTAGACTTACTCCTGGCCTGACTATACAATGGCAGTACCATGCCACACGACATCTGACACACTTACAAGGTGTAGACTTACTCCTGGCCTGACAATACAATGGCAGTACCATGCCACACAACATCTGACACACTTACAAGGTGTAGACTTACTCCTGACCTGACTATACAATGGCAGTACCATGCCACACGACATCTGACACACTTACAAGGTGTAGACTTACTCCTGACCTGACTATACAATAGCAGTACCATGCCACACAACATCTGACACACTTACAAGGTGTAGACTTACCCTTTGCCTCACTATACGATAGGGCAGGTTGGTTGTAGGTGGAGCCAAACCCCTCCTTTATGGTGGCAGGGATATTAATCCCCCAGGAATTGTTTACTACAACAACACCACAGAAATGGCTGTTCAGATCAAACAATCTCTGGAGCTGCTTTTGTTCACATTTTCATCTTGAAGTGTTGAGATGTATCCTAAAGCATATTAACTTTTCGGTATTTGCTAATTTTTTTCCCACGTATTTTGCCAGTATTTAACCTCTATTAAAACCATGTAACCTACACATAACCTTCAACTTAAGAGACAGGAGTTTAAACTCTGCTGTTTGTTGGTAATTCTACTGAACAACAATTGAATGTGAGGGCTTACATTCTGTTTTTCTGTCTATTGTTAATTAATGAACATAGTTAAAAATATACACATCAATGTTAAATGTTAGAAGAAAACTTTGTTATTTATAATATGTTAAAATATCAGGAAACCACGTACCTTGTTTTTTGAGAGGACTGTGTACATAATTGGTTTGTAGTGGCTGGTCACATGACATGTCATCATCACGTAGGTAGTGTGTGTCGCGTGATGGCATACCGAATGTTGGGGTCGGGTCTATTGGTCCTTTGCTTACATCCACTGGCTGAAATCAAGAATTTAATTCATCTGTACAAACGATCTTGAATTGTACACTGTCCCTAGTGATATCAACATTTTCAGTATAAAGTCGTACCATTAATTGCTAATTCTTTTCACAATTACTTGCACTGATCATATTATTTCCCTCACAATTAAAAGTAAACTATTAAAACTTTTTAATCAGCTAATTATAAAAAACCTTATAATAGAATTTAAACAATGTTTTCACACAGTCTGATAAAGATTTGAAGATTATCTCTTTTCTTTCAATTATTCTTCTTTCCTGATGCTTTTTTTCCTTTTTTTTTTTTTGACTACATTTTTACACCATCCATAATTATAATATGTAACGTACTGAAAGTTCTCTAAAATTATGATAATTTGCTTGCTGACTTTTCCACAAGTCTTTCAGGTTTTGAAAGACATTATATCATAATGGGTTAAAAAATTCTGTCAATTTTTGTCCTTAAATCAAACAGGTTGAAAAGGACACGTCACTTGTGTATATAAATTCAAAGCTACTCCTGTGAAATGTCTTACTGCCAGTTTTACAAGCCTCATACCTTAGTATATGTCTGTCCTGCGATTGGCTTCCTCACAACCTCCTCCACAGGTGCAGCATCATCATCTTCTAAATCTATCAGAAACGAGATGACACAACAAATTTGTAAATAACATCTTTAAAACACCAAATTGATTTCATTTTCTTGTAACAAGGAAAACGACCATTTCCTTTTAAAGACATGTAATTTAATTTTTTTTTTTTTTTCAATTTTACCTATATTTCGACCTAACAGGAAAAATAACTATGAAAGTTTATCATGTGTGTAAACATTAAAAGCAACATATCACCTTGCATGAGCTTGACATAGAATCTAGTGACAGGTTAAAATAAATTCACCTTGAAGAGAAATAGGTTGTGATCTTGAGACAGCCTTCCTGCCTCTGGGGCGTGTCTTCTGAGGTGGTGATGTCAGGATGGCCCCACCCACAGCAGGTGTGGTCAGGTCAAGGTGATGTCGGGCACCAGAGCGCTTGCTGCTCAATTTCTGCTGCCATTTTGGGGTTGGGACACGCCCACCATCTGTCTCTTCTACTGTGCTGGTACTGGGTGCTATAACACTGACCAAAACATCATACAATACTGATGTGTGTCAAAATCTTACCCAATCAGTCAGTTACATGGCATATATCTCTGTATACTAATTCACATGTAGAAATATCATATTTACATTTATTGCAACCCACGAAATGCGAACTTTTCCAATATACTATAGTCTTTCACAGGAGTGTAAAGTTTGATAAAAATCCCTCAGGAAAAAAGGTCGCTGCCTAATCGGTTTTTCTTAAAAGCAGTAACAATGACCCTAAACTTGACCCTAGAACTCTGAACTTATGTTTGCAAATCTTAGGGAGAGATCTGGTTTCTCTAAGTAGATGGCTAGCAAATCAAATTTTCCCATTTTCTTTTAGATGTTTATGACTTTCAGAAAATCAGTTTTTGTTATTAAAATGTATTTTTGAATGTTGTAATAATGTGACATATTTTTTATCAAAGTTTTTATATTTGAAGATTAAGTATGACATCTGGTCCTGAAAATGTGCTGTTCAGTGATGAGAAAGACCATTTTGTCTTCGATAACAAAATAAGGAATTATTTCATTAATAACCACCCAACCCCCCCACCTCCACCCTCCCAACCTCACAACCCCCCCTCAACAGAAGTTGTCAAACAATAAGGAGCCTGTGTAAATTTTGTAGTTTATTAAGCATATCCTGGTATTCCCTGTCAGACAAATTACTTTTTTTCTTCCTTAATTACAAAATGTACACAATAAAGTGATTTCCACATCATCTCTAAACAATTTACAATTTATATTGAGTATATGCTGTGACATACTATACAGAGAGAAAAGTTAACCTTTGACTTCTAATTAATGTCTTACCTCTCATCTTCATCCTGGTTACCCTGCCACGCCAATTTGGCGACACCTGCCTCTGTCTCCAGGTCCTGCTCCTGTACCTGTTCATCTGATGCCATTGTGGCCCTGGCTGAGTCACGTCTGTAACACAAATCACTTGTGTCTATGATATGAAAATAAATAAGTGTTAAGATTTTATACACACTTCATGTTTACTAGACATTCTATATATAGAACCATTCACCAAAGACTTCCTTTATTTCTGGTTTTTTTTATCTCGTCATAAAGATGTAGATTTTTGTCCAGGATTACTAAATTCACAGTAAAATATTTTAAAACAACAAACTTTAATTCTTCCACATTTTATTTTGCATCAAATTGTCAAAAGATGAGTGAGAATTAATTTATGTTAAAAGTTTCCTTTAATCTTTATAGCAATGGAAATAAATTGGGAGATTAAATTTTGATGTTTTAGAAAAAATGTCGTGATTACCGAGTAAATAAACTAAATTCTCACAAAATAGGACAACAATTTTTCCTTTGATAAAATTAATATTTCTCTTACGAAGATTTCAATATTTTCAAAAAATGACGATCACTGTGCTTGTAACCATATCTACAATCAACAAACTAAATGTATCAACCGTTTAGATTGATATTTTAACAAGAGGCTGCATTTCTAAACATTCATCACATATGGCCACATGACCCCTTAAATGAAACTGGAGATGGAGTACCTTAGTACCGCATTATCTGTGTATATTAGTTCTATATGTATAATGGTGTCAGTCACATACCATAGGGACAAAGTAGGCAGACCACTCATCTTATTGACCTAGGTATCATTCTGCCATCATTTATCAAATAACTGTGTCACTGAGGCCAGGTCAAAGGTCATAACCTCTGCCCCTGTGTCACTGTGACCTCTGCGGATCACCAAGACTTACTGGTATACCAGATTTACCTTCTGGATCAAAGTCCACTTACACATGTAGTCTAGATTCTTAAATATTGTAGCTACAGTTTAAATATCATAACTACAGTTTAACTATCATAACCACAGTTTAAATATCATAAATATCATAACCACAGTTTAAATATCATAACTACAGTTTAACTATCATAACTACAGTTTAAATATCATAACTACCATTTAAATATCATAACCACAGTTTAAATATCATAACTACGGTTTAAATATCATAACCACAGTTTAACTATCATAACTACAGTTTAAATATCATAACTACAGTTTAAATATCATAACCACAGTTTAAATATCATAACTACGGTTTAAATATCATAACTACAGTTAACTAATCAATGTAAGGGTGTCAGTCCTTGAAACAAAATTATTTATTTATAATTGATATGCTAGAGAAATGTGTATTTCTTCTTTCTCTTACTTTTATTTGTTGGTTATCGTCATTATGAGCAAAGTCATCATGGGCAAAGTTATGCTCCAGATTTGAAAAAGACGGATTGACAGACGGACAGAAAGATGGACAGAAAGATGGACAGAAAGACGGACAGAAAGATGGACAGATAATGCTATATCTTCATCAATAATCCCAATAAATTTCTTGGTAATAAAGTCTGACTCATATATTTTTTTTAATTTCACAAACAAATTTATGCCAGATCAGTAACAAGGAATAGCCAACCCCCTAGACTTTTATGTGAATTACATGAAATAACCATGTCCCCTGACCTTACGTCACCTACAAGAACTAACCCTGTCCCCAGACCTTACGTCACCTACAAGAACTAACCCTGTCCCAAGACCTAAAGTCACCTACAAGAAATAACCATGCTCCTACACATTAAGTCACTGACAAGGAATAACACTGCTCCCAAACTTCATATCATTAACATGAAATAACCCACCCCCCCAACAATAAGTCACTGACAAGGAATAACCCCACCCCCCAAACAATAAGTCACTGACAAGGAATAACCCCACCCCCCAACAATAAGTCACTGACAAGGAATAACCCCACCCCCCAAACAATAAGTCACTGACAAGGAATAACACTACCCTCAACAATAAGTCACTGACAAGGAATAACACTACCCCCAACAATAAGTCACTGACAAGGAATAACACTACCCCCAACAATAAGTCACTGACAAGGAATAACCCCACCCCCCAACAATAAGTCACTGACAAGGAATAATCCAACCCCCCAACAATAAGTCACTGACAAGGAATAACAAACTTTATATCACTAACATGAAATAACCCCATCCCCCAACAATAAGTCACTGACAAGGAATAGCCCCACACCCCCAACAATAAGTCACTGACAAGGAATAACACTGCCCCCAACAATAAGTCACTGACAAGGAATAACCCCACCCCCCAACAATACGTCACTGACAAGGAATAATCCAACCCCCCAACAATAAGTCACTGACAAGGAATAACCCCACCCCCCAACAATACGTCACTGACAAGGAATAATCCAACCCCCCAACAATAAGTCACTGACAAGGAATAACACTACCCCCAACAATAAGTCACTGACAAGGAATAACACTACCCTCAACAATAAGTCACTGACAAGGAATAAATCTGCTACCAGATTATTAGTCACATCTATGTGTTGGCTTCCTGGGCTTATTACAGAATAAATACAGTATTTATGATGGTGACAGTGTGCTGCCAAATGTTTATCTAACCCCAACATCAGTCTTATTACTACAGAAAGGCAGACAGCAGCCGTATCAGTCTGTTAGACAGTGTACCTGTACACAGGTGAGCTCTGCACTGTTGTCATGGAGCAACCAATCTTTAATCTTAATTGTAGACAGACAACAGCTCTGACAGACAAGTGAAAGCAATTTTACATGTCTACTGTTGTAGTAGTATGGGTGTGTGAAATTCTGCTGCTGTGTGATTCAATTTACTTCTACATACATTACGTAACCAAACAGGTATGATCCATGAACCAGCACTCCCCATCAATTTATTGATTACCTGGTCAACAGGCAACCAGCCAAAGTACCGAGACACCAGAACATTGTGTACCTGGCTCGGCATCCCCACCATATAAAATATAACAGCTGTATAAGAACAGACTGGGTTCCCAGGAATGAAATGATCAGTGTGGCCGGAGTGTTACGACGTCACACATTCCGTTATTTGTGTGTCTGGTTAGTGACCTCTTTGATATATCTCACAGTAACTTGGGAGAGCTAATTAAGGAGATCTGAAGCTGGAAATTATACAAACCTAATACCTCAAGGTGAGATACTAATGGTAAGTAAACATATCTATACAGCATTAATAACCAAGCCAGACAAACCAGATAAGTAAGGAATGCCGTACTAATGGTAAGCTTATCAGAGAATATCCCCACTGTCATTGTCTTTCTCTGACTGGCGTACTAGAAGCACCAGGTGACAAGAGTACGTTAATTAATGTTAAACTTCTCAGTCAACTTCAACTAGTGTGCCCATATCAATGGTAAGTTATTAATGCTGCACATGCCATTTGACTAGGAATAGCCACAATAATGGTAAGATTCACAAAAAGTGCCAGATGGCTAGGCTATGTCATATTAATGGTAAGCCTTTAAGCCATGGTTACTGATGTCGTAACACATATAATTAGTAAAAAGGATACCGTAGGGATAAATAGAGAAATCTTGTAGTCGTAAAAAGGCAAACATAGAGATATTGTATTCAGTACAGGTAAATATCAAAATAAACTGCATGTTAGTTAATAAAGATATATTTCATATCAATACAAGTAATAAATATAGAGATCTTGTATGACAGCAAAGATGGATAAAGAAATACATTGTATGTCGACCTAGGTAAATATTGAGGAATATTGGATGTCATTACAGGTAAATATAGTTACATTATATGTAAGTCATGGTAAATATATAGATATGTTGTATGTAAGTCAGGGTAAATATATAGATATGTTGTATGTAAGTCAGGTTAAATATGTTGTATGTAAGTCAGGGTAAATATATAGATATGTTGTATGGAAGTCATGTTAAATACATAGATATGTTGTATGTAAGTCAGGGTAAATACATAGATATGTTGTATGAAAGTCAGGGTAAATATATAGATATGTTGTATGGAAGTCATGGTAAATATATAGATATGTTGTATGTAAGTCAGGGTAAATACATAGATATGTTGTATGTAAGTCAGGGTAAATATATAGATATGTTGTATGGAAGTCATGGTAAATATATAGATATGTTGTATGTAAGTCAGGGTAAATATATAGATATGTTGTATGGAAGTCATGTTAAATACATATATATGTTGTATGAAAGTCAGGGTAAATATATAGATATGTTGTATGGAAGTCATGATAAATATATAGATATGTTGTATGTAAGTCAGGGTAAATATATAGATATGTTGTATGGAAGTCATGTTAAATACATAGATATGTTGTATGTAAGTCAGGGTAAATACATAGATATGTTGTATGAAAGTCAGGGTAAATATATAGATATGTTGTATGGAAGTCATGGTAAATATATAGATATGTTGTATGTAAGTCATGGTAAATATATATAGATATGTTGTATGTAAGTCATGGTAAATATATAGATATGTTGTATGTAAGTCATGGTAAATATATAGATATGTTGTATGTAAGTCAGGGTAAATATATAGATATGTTGTATGGAAGTCATGGTAAATATATAGATATGTTGTATGTAAGTCAGGGTAAATACATAGATATGTTGTATGTAAGTCAGGGTAAATATATAGATATGTTGTATGTAAGTCATGGTAAATATATAGATATGTTGTATGAAAGTCAGGGTAAATATAGAGAAATATTTGTACAAGTAAATATAGAGATATACTGTCACTACAGGTAAATATAGAGATGCACTGTCACTACAGGTAAATACAGAGATGCACTGTCACTACAGGTAAATATAGAGATATACTGTCACTACAGGTAAATATAGAGATACACTGTCAATACAGTTAAATATAGAGATACACTGTCAATACAGGTAAATATAGAGATACACTGTCACTACAGGTAAATATAGAGATACATTGTCACTACAGGTAAATATAGAGATACATTGTCAATACAGGTAAATATAGAGATACACTGTCACTATAGGTAAATATTGATATACACTGTTGTATATCAGTATATGTAAATATACAGAGATGTACTGTATATCAGTATAGGTAAATATACAGAGATGTACTGTATATCAGTATATGTAAATATACAGAGATGTACTGTATATCAGTATAGGTAAATATACAGAGATGTACTGTATATCAGTATAGGTAAATATAGAGATGTACTGTATATCAGTATAGGTAAATATACAGAGATGTACCGTATATCAGTAGAGGTAAATATACAGAGATGTACTGTATATCAGTAGAGGTAAATATACAGAGATGTACTGTATATCAGTATAGGTAAATATACAGAGATGTACTGTATATCAGTATAGGTAAATATACAGAGATATACTGTATATCAGTATAGGTAAATATACAGAGATGTACTGTATATCAGTATGTATATCAGTATAGGTAAATATACAGAGATGTACTGTATATCAGTATAGGTAAATATACAGAGATGTACTGTATATAAGTATAGGTAAATATACAGAGATGTACTGTATATCAGTATAGGTAAATATAGAGATATACTGTATATATTAGTATAGGTAAAGAAATGATTTATATCTCTGTAGATATGATGAATTCCTTTACTCTGAGACAGAAATTTCATTTCAGTATGTCTGGCTTTACTAAAACCTTACTATTTTTTAAAACTATCTAGATTAACTTCAATCTCGTTACAGAGATTTTTGTCACAAATAATAGACTTCGATATATACATAGGTAGGTTACATTTATTAATCCACAACTGTCAATATATACATGTATCTTACATCAGGTGTAACAGCTGGCCTCAGGCCACTGTCTACAGATCTAGATAGGGTCAACTCTAAGATGAATCACATGTTCTTGTTTTTTTAGGTAAAGCATGAGGACATGTACTTCAGGAATGTTTATGTCCATACCAGCATAGACAACAAACTAAAGATTCCAGAACTCATCTAAGAAACCTTTACTTATACGGTAAACATCTACAGATACAGGAAAACCTCAAAAAATACGGTAAACCTCTACAGATACAGGAAAACCTCAAAAAATACGGTAAACATCTACAGATACAGGAAAACCTCAAAAAATACGGTAAACATCTATTGATACAGGAAAACATCTACAGATACAGGAAAACCTCAAAAAATACGGTAAACATCTATTGATACAGGAAAACATCTACTGATACAGGGAAACCTCTACAGATACAGTAAACATCTACTGTTACAGGAAAACCTCTACAGATACAGGAAAACCTCTACTGTTACAGGAAAACCTCTACATATACAGGAAAACCTCTACTGACACAGGAAAACCTCTACAGACACAGGAAAACCTCTACTGTTACAGGAAAACATCTACTGATACAGGAAAACCTCTACTGATACAGGAAAACCTCTACAGATACAGGAAAACCTCTACTGTTACAGGAAAACCTCTACAGACACAGGAAAACCTCTACAGATACAGGAAAACCTCTACAGACACAGGAAAACCTCTACAGATACAGTAAACATCTACAGTTACAGGAAAACCTCTACAGATACAGTAAACATCTACAGATACAGGAAAACCTCTACATATATAAGAAAACGTCTACAGATACAGGAAAATCTTTACAGATATAGGAAAACATCTACTGATACAGGAAAACCTCTACTGATACAGGAAAACCTCTACAGATCTTATGATTAAAAAAAGCATCTGAAGATAAAAGACAAAAAAACAAAGGATACAGAAAAAAAGTCAAAAGATAGAGGAAAACATTTTCGGATACAGGAATGCTGTCTACGATAAAGAAAATGTTAAAGGATATAGTAAATTGTCCAAACCAGAACAGCAATATTGAGACCTGTTAATTATCAAAGGAAAACCATCATACAGAAACAGATTGGAAATATCAAAAATATTCTTAAGGATACACACAGTCCAAGAAAACAGCTGTTAAAGAGTGGTGATCATGGAAATAAATCTATTTTATTGTGAGATGATTATTGTATAAATACACATGACCTCAGTTTTAGACACAATAAGTTAAGTTTCTCTTCACAATCATACACACAAACAAGGTAATCTGTTAACATGTGAATCAGACTTAGTGTACAGAAGAGATAGCCAGGACCAGGAAACAACTGTGGGTGTATACCACTTCCTCCTGTCTACCATCACTACACAGACAACGTGTACTTATCATCGGTCGCATAACATACAAGGAGTGAGAGATCAGCTAAACAAAACACTGATAGAAACAAAAGGTTGGTGTCAGACACTGTCTTAATCACTCTGGAAACCAGGTTCAGTGATGACTGAATGCTGAAGGAAATTTCTCAGTTGTGACATGAATGCATCTTGTGGAATCTCCAGGAGAGTAACAGTGATACAATTGGAAAAGCCTATACTGAAATTGTGTTTGCATTCAACTAACGACAACATCTTAAACAGCTTGGTTTGGATTAATTTTAGACAGCATCGTGATTTTCTAAAATCGCAGATGATTTAAAAAAACTGCACTTTGAAGAGCACGGGTAACATGAAAGAGATTGTGCTAACAGTTGAGAACTAGCTGGAACAAATCTACACAGCCGTCCAACCCTGAACTAGCTGGAACAAATCTACATAGCCGTCCAACCCTGAACTAGCTGGAACAAATCTACACAGCCGTCCAACCCTGAACTAGCTGGAACAAATCTACATAGCCGTCCAACCCTGACATAAGGAACATTTTTATAGTAATTCTAAGTTTTCACTGCAGCACAGGTATGTTATGTCATAATGATTCCTATCTGACCACTGTCCAGTCCCAGACTGGTACATGTGTACTAGGAAAGGATGTCCAGTCAAACACTGGTACAGGTGTGCATGAAAATGATGTCCAGTCAAACACCAGTACAGGTATGCACGAAAACGATGTCCAGTCAAACATCAGCTCACGTGTGCATGAAAATGGTGTCCAGTCTGAAAATAGCACAAGTGTACTAGGAAACGATGTCCAGTCCGACAACTCTTCAGCTATACTAGGAAACAATTTTCAGTACAACTCCAGTACAGGTGCACTAGAAAACGATGATCAGCCTGATTCCAGCACCCTGCCTGACCCCTGTGGTCCAGTTATGACTTTTGACCTGCTTGGTCCAGTGGGAGAACGTCTTCTTTGTCCCACATGTGTTAGTGTGTCTTTGAGCGGAGAATTTGTGGTCAGTGACACTGACAGTTGTTTTGTGGTAATCTACAGCAGTACAGGACAGTATCTAAGTCACTTCAGCACCATCCCAAAGAGGATGTTTTACATGTTTCTAGATCTAGCTAAATATCGGCCGCAGGATGTAGCCTGGCTCTCATCTAAACGTATAGTATACACCCAGCCAGCAGGCTGTCGGGTTATCATAGCAGACTGGAAAGGTAAATCTACAGTGACCATTGAAGGGAGGCCTCTGTATGAACCATATGGTGTTTGTGTTGACCAGTCAGACAAAATTTACATCACTGATAGGGCTAAGGGGAGAATACTCTGTTACAACTGCGATGGTAAACTTATCAAGAGTTTAGGAGTTTTTGGATCAAGGGAAGTACTATGTCGTCCTCATTATATTTGTGTCGCAAATAATGGGAATATCTGTGTAAATGAACTGAGTAAAGATGAGAGTCGTGTACATGTTTATTCTAAGAGTGGTACTTCTAGTTGTGTGGTAGCAAAGGGAGATAATCACAGCTTGGGGAACATTGCAGTCGATTCCGAAGGCTTTGTGTTACAAGTGGATTTACAGTGTGACCATTTAGTGATGTGTTGTCCACCTAAATTAAATGGATACACTTACAAGACCGCAACAGGAGAAGAGGAACACAAAGGCAAAAACAGCCACTTACTGGTCAGTAGGACCCTGACCTCTGACCTCGGTGGCATAACTTTGACCAACAATGATCACCTAGTGTGTATTGATCGTAAGGAAAAACAAGTCAAGAATTACATTTGGAACAATCACAAGGAAAATTTGATTGCCCTGTAACATAAGGACTTAAAAAATGCTATTTCATACTACATCATTGCAAGATATATTTGAATATACATATTTTCATTTTTTCCGATGAGCAGTGCAGTGAATCCAACACACATGTCAGCTTTCATGAAAATTTTTCCATCTATTATCATTCGTTATATTTTAAATAGAGATTTAATTTATTCAACTTTATACTGACTGAACTACAGTAATATATACCATGTGAGCAATCATCCATGAACACCCAGTGTCAGTGAACCCTCAGTGTCCATGAACACCCAGTGTCAGTGAACCCTCAGTGTCCATGAACACCCAGTGTCAGTGAAACCTCAGTGTCCGTAAATGCCCAGTGTCTGGTAACCCTCAGTGTCCATGAACACCCACTGTCAGTGAACCCTCAGTGTCAGTGAATGCCCAGTGTCAGTGAACTCTCAGTGTCCATGAACACCCAAAGTCAGTGAACCCTCAGTGTCCATATGAACCCCTAGTATCATGACCTCCCAGTGTCGATGAACCCCTAGTGTCCATATGAACCCCTAGTATCCATGAACCCCCAGTGTCCATGAACCCCCAGTATCCATGAACCCCTAGTGTCCATGAACCTCTAGTGTCCATGAAGCTCTAGTGTCCATGAACCTCTAGTGTCCATGAACCCCCAGTGTCCATATGAACCCCCAGTGTCCATGAACCCCCAGTGTCCATATGAACCCCTAGTATCCATGAACCCCTAGTGTCCATGAACCCCTTGTGTCCATGAACCCCCAGTATCCATGAACCCCCAGTGTCCATATGAACCCCTAGTGTCCATGAACCTCCAGTGTCCATGAACCTCCAGTGTCCATGAACCCCCAGTGTCCATATGAACCTCCAGTATCCATATGAACCCCTAGTGTCCATGAACCTCTTGTGTCCATGAACCCCCAGTGTCCATGAACCTCCAGTGTCCATATGAACCCCTAGTGTCCATGAACCTCTTGTGTCCATGAACCCCCAGTGTCCATGAACCTCCAGTGTCCATATGAACCCCTAGTGTCCATGAACCTCCAGTGTCCATGAACCTCCAGTGTCCATATGAACCCCTAGTGTCCATGAACCTCTTGTGTCCATGAACCCCCAGTGTCCATATGAACCCCCAGTGTCCATGAACCCCCAGTGTCCATATGAACCCCTAGTGTCCATGAACCTCCAGTGTCCATATGAACCCCCAGTGTCCATATGAACACCTAGTGTCCATGAACCTCTTGTGTCCATGAACCCCCAGTGTCCATATGAACCCCTAGTATCCATGAACCCCCAGTGTCCATATGAACCCCTAGTGTCCATGAACCTCCAGTGTCCATATGAACCCCCAGTGTCCATATGAACCCCTAGTGTCCATGAACCTCCAGTGTTCATGAACCCCCAGTGTCCATATGAACCCCTAGTGTCCATGAACCTCTAGTATCCATGAACCCCTAGTGTCCATGAACCCCCAGTGTCTAGTGTCCATGAACCTCCAGTGTCCATATGAACCCCCAGTGTCCATATGAACCCCTAGTGTCCATGAACCTCCAGTGTCCATGAACCCCCAGTGTCCATATGAACCCCTAGTGTCCATGAACCTCCAGTGTCCATATGAACCCCTAGTGTCCATGAACCTCTTGTGTCCATGAACCCCCAGTGTCCATATGAACCCCTAGTGTCCATGAACCTCTTGTGTCCATGAACCCCCAGTGTCCATATGAACCCCCAGTATCCATGAACCCCCAGTGTCCATATGAACCCCTAGTGTCCATGAACCTCCAGTGTCCATATGAACCCCTAGTGTCCATGAACCTCCAGTGTCCATGAACCTCCAGTGTCCATATGAACCCCTAGTGTCCATGAACCTCTTGTGTCCATGAACCCCCAGTGTCCATATGAACCCCTAGTGTCCATGAATAACCTCTTCAATATCTTATTTTTAGATAAGTCCCTATTTATGACTGTGTTGAAGTTTTTACTGATCTGTATTTTCAATTTTCAGAATTTCACTGAGTAGAAAAGCAAAACATTTGTCATTTTCACATCCAGTACAGCAAAACATAACATGCAGAACCCACATCGCTGACAATAATAAATACTGAAGTATTTTTGTATCGTCTTATTTAAACAAATTCAAACAATAAACATAAATGTTGATTCCATGTTGTTACATGTACAGATAATTAACCACATCTGCTAAAAAACTGAGGTACATGGTGAACTGTCTATTTCATCCATCTCATCTCACAAATACATGCCATTAAGTATATTGGTTTTACAAAAATAAAACTCCTGTTTTAACAGAAATTGATTTTCTATGTCGACCCAAAATGTAATTTTAAAGTAATTTTTTGATAAAACAATCAAGTTATGTACTCGATGGTGTAGGTGTCCATGCTTACATTAATTAACAGGATATCTGTTTGTCAGACACCTGTATGGATAGGCAAGAGTAATCACAACTGATATGCCAAGTCAGATATTGCTATGTGTACAACAGGTAAATAAACTGTAAGCAGGGCAACAGGAGAAATACAGTGAACTTAAAAGGACAGGATAAAAATGAGTTTGAGAAATCAGGCGTATCTGAAAATTCAACAATAAGGAATATAAAAACAAGAGGCCCATGGGCCTTAACGGTCATCTGACAAAAAGCAAGCCAAACCTAGAAAGTGGGTTGAGGTCATTCATTTGAACAAACTTAGTAGCACTTCATCCCAGCATGTCACAGGCCCAATATCTACACTCTGAGCCTTTTGGTTAATGAGAAGAAGTTGTTTAAAGATTTTAACATATTTGACCCCTGTGACCTTTAAAGTGGGTCAAGGTCATTCATTTGAACTAACTTGGTAGAGCTCCATGCCAGTATCCTCTGTGCCAAGTATTAGCCCCCTAGACCTTCTAGTATTTGAGAAAAAGTTGTTTGAATGAAAAGTTTACGCACGGCGCACTGCGGACGACGACGGACGAAGCACGATGGCTATAGGTCACCCTTTGGGTCAGATCTAAAAAATGTCAGGATCACACATATATATTCAAATAATGGAGGTAGAGTTTTACTGTACTTGAAAAAGAACTTCATATTTATGAGAATTTGAATAAATCAAAGTCAGAAATGTAAAAGCCATGTAACATGGACCACATATACCTTACATAGCAGGAGTCAAATGTGACACATCAACCTCACACATGAAAAGATGGGGAAAAACAGGTGTGGATTGTGACACATATACCTTACATATGTAGAGGTGGGAAAAACAGGAGTCAAATGTGACACATATACCTTACATATGTAGAGGTGGGAAAAACAGGTGTGGAATGTGACACATATACCATACATATGTAGAGGTGGGAAAAACAGGAGTCAAATGTGACACATATACCGTACATATGTAGAGGTGGGAAAAACAGGTGTGGAATGTGACACATATACCATACATATGTAAAGGTGGGAAAAACAGGAGTCAAATGTGACACATATATTTACATATGTAGAGGTGGGAAAAACAGGTGTGGAATGTGACACATATACCATACATATGAAGAGGTGGGAAAAACAGGAGTCAAATGTGACACATATACCTTACATATGTAGAGGTGGGAAAAACAGGAGTCAAATGTGACACATATACTATACATATGTAGAGGTGGGAAAAACAGGTGTGGAATGTGACACATATACCATACATATGTAGAGGTGGGAAAAACAGGAGTCAAATGTGACACATATACCGTACATATGTAGAGGTGGGAAAAACAGGTGTGGAATGTGACACATATACCTTACATATGTAGAGGTGGGAAAAACAGGTGTGGAATGTGACACATATACCTTACATATGTAGAGGTGGGAAAAACAGGTGTGGAATGTGACACATATACCTTACATATGTAGAGGTGGGAGAAACAGGAGCTGGATGTGACAATCCTGTGTTTGTTTGCTTACAACCAAGTAAAATGGTCTTTCATCAATTTTAATGGTGTGTGATTTTTGGCCTCTTCTGGATAAAGTAGTGTATTCTTCTCACTTAATCAGGTATCACTGATTTTCAGTGACCTGATACCGTTTGAGTAATATAATATATAATAAACCCAAGTGGTGATGCCACTTGGGTATGCTGTAAATGAATCTGTATTTAATTTTTCACTTCATTGCCCTACATACCTTTTGGTATCCATACCCCATGCACAGTGTCCCGATGACCAACCCAATGCACAGTGTCCCGATGACCAACCCAATGCACAGTGTCCCGATGACCAACCCAATGCAGTGTCCCGATGACCAACCCAATGCACAGTGTCCCGATGACCAACCCAATGCACAGTGTCCCGATGACCAACCCAATGCACAGTGTCCCGATGACCAACCCAATGCACAGTGTCCCGATGACCAACCCAATGCAGTGTCCCGATGACCAACCCAATGCACAGTGTCCCGATGACCAACCCAATGCACAGTGTCCCGATGACCAACCCAATGCACAGTGTCCCGATGACCAACCCAATGCACAGTGTCCCGATGACCAACCCAATGCACAGTGTCCCGATGACCAACCCAATGCACAGTGTCCCGATGACCAACCCAATGCACAGTGTCCCGATGACCAACCCAATGCACAGTGTCCCGATGACCAACCCAATGCACAGTGTCCCGATGACCAACCCAATGCACAGTGTCCCGATGACCAACCCAATGCACAGTGTCCCGATGACCAACCCAATGCTTTGAACTGAATCCGGCTCTACCTTTTTGTTTATATTGATATTTGTTACTTACAAATTACCAGAGACATTAAACAAAGTGCAGGATGCAGGATTTCTGTTTTGTTTTTAGTTTTAACAAGTAAACCACATAATACTGTCAGTGCATATTTTCACTATTTTCATGATATTGGACTGTTGACTTTTAAGTAAAAAAGAGACATTATATAACTTAAGTTCTTACTCTTCAATGGCAAAATAGGTCAGATTCTAGAATAAGGCATTCCAGTTTCAAAAAATCCTAAATGGCAAAATCTGCAGATAAAGAAACAAACCTGTAATACGTAACTTTGCTACTGTATATTCTGATATTGAGTATAACAGGCAACCAGAAGAATTAATATACCAGATAGCTCAGCATTGTTAGAAAGCTGCTGAACTTTGTATTTATTAATGGTAAACAACCGATCGTTTTGACAGAATTCAGACAACCAATGTGTGAGGTGTCCGTCTGACATTGACTAGATAAGGACTCATGTAGTGAGGAACTGAACTGTGTTTAAACAACCTACAACCATACAATTTTGTCAATGTTTTGACATGAATAGGTAATTTTATCCACAAAGGTTGTTAATACTGTTATAAAGTCTAAAGTTGACCAAACTGACCTTTTTATAGATCATTCCCAGACCGTCAAACTAATGAGAATAATGAAATGAAACATATTTGGATTTTTTATATATATTTTCCAAATATGACAATAATTATATCACTTTTCCAAATTTTGTCCAAATGGATTTCAGTAAAGTACTGTAGATAAACATATTTTAGACCTAATCTTATTTTAGCATTTTCCTGCTGAAAGTATTGTGCTAATATATATGATTGTGCTAAATGAAGTTTCACGAAGCAATGTGGATGTGCAAATTTAGATTTTCATTGAGCTGACTACCAAAAAATGATAATATTAACACTATGAAAGCAGTAATGAATGAAGCAATGTCTGACGTACCGTGATGCTCCATTTCTTGCTGAACCTGTTTCTAGGGACAAGGCAGAAAGTGTACTATGTCCACTCCGGACGGAAGACTGGACATCCCAGGCCTCAGCCTGTTGGGCCATCAACTGGACGGCGTGTTCCCGAGAAAAGTGTGTACCTTGAGCCCTCTTGCGGTACTCCTGGGCCTTCCTCCTCAGTTCTATTACCTCTGCGAACCAGTTGGACAGCGATGGACCTTCTGTGTTTTCTGCAGGCTGGAAACAAGTAGAGCATTTAGTGAAATATTGCCCAATATAAATAGGATGTTAAGTGAGATTGCCATGAGATAATACAAACATATGTTCATTGAAATCATACAGAGCTACATCTCATGCATAACTCAGCTGTTTGTTCAGCTTAATTGGGCCGGAGACAACACATTAAAATAGGCCTGGATGTTCATAGAGTCAGGCCTGGTCTGGAAAACATTTACACATACAAAGTATTATGTTTAGCTAGGATATCGTGTAAGCTTTGGACTGGAAACATCCAATGAATATAAATAGCACTTGTAATGAGTGAGGATCATCTTGGTGGATACAAAATGTTAACATGTACTTAGGGCTGAATAAAACATTGTCATACTGGATGTAAAAATATTAACATTTACTTAAGGCCGAGTGAGCATCACCTTACTAGATACAAAATGATAGCATGTACTAAGGGCCTGAGACAATATATATACATGTAGATAAGACAACATCAATTGTAAATTACATCTAACATACAGGATATACAGGATGTAAGTTCATTTCCTGCAGAAATTTGTGGGTATAAATGACATAACCAAACAAAATCTCTCTCCATTCAGGGACAAAAGAGTTATCTCCCTTCTGAAACACTCTCTCTCAGTTTACAATACAAATGTCTGCTGCTTTTAAGTAAAAAGTCTGAATGGAGAACAAAATAAAAGTTATTCTCTGATTATGATGCTGAAACTCACACTATCATTTCTTATGGTTGTGTTACGTCTCTTTAAAAGTATGTACTTGTATACAGAGAACGAGAAAAACTCACTTAATGAATGTTATATACCTAACCCATACTGATAACATAAAACAATATTATCCTTGAATAAAATCCCTAAATTCTTTTGTTAAAATGATAAAAGCATGTCAAAATAACAGAACCTTCCCTCAAAACTAGCCAGTTTAAACCTGGTGTGTAATTCTACATATGTCACTGTACCAAATACTGACAAGTTCAAAATATTTTAAAATATACAGACCTAACCAAAATACTGATTGTATCAATTATCAACACAATCATATTACCATCTACTGAAACCATTATGCTAAATACTTGCACACTATTATAAATGATACATGATATACATGAGAAATTCAAAATTTATAACAAAATTTTAACTTGTATCAGATTTTGATACTTAACAACACACACACATCCTTACTATAAAGAGGCATGCTAACATATTTAATATGTGGACCGAGAAATAAAATTAGTCACATTGCTTAATTACATACAATACAATACAATACAAAATGGATTTTGAAGCCTATGTTATACAGTGATAGACTACCTCAGGTGCCTGTAGGTGTGGTGGGTTGGCTCCTCTCCATGCTCCCTTAATGTAATCAAAATTGCTGGGAGCCTTAAAGTTATTACGATACTCACTCCTCGATCGTCTGAAACAGTCAAACATTTACAGTATAAAAGTATTTGAAACATGATGTGTTTATGAAACACTATGCTCCTAGTTGCAACAAAATTCTGTACTGTGTAAGGCATGTGCTAATTACATGTACACTTTGTGAAATACTTATGTCTTCATTGTGGTAATGATTTTTTTTTTACTGTCAAATGTAAGTCAAAGGTCACGGCCAAGGTCACAAGGTCAAAATTTTGGTACCACCAGAAAGGACTTGTCAAATGGACCCACACATGCCAATATGAAAGCCCTACCTCTCACGGTGCAATAGTTACGGGCAAGGTTGTAATAACTTGTTTCGCAATTGTTTTCAAATAAATAAAGCTTATAGTTTTTAGACAGAACAAAAACATTAAGCCCTCGTTCTTTCCATCCTTGGGCATAAAAATTTCATACCAGAAATAGTCTATCATCAGCAAGTATTGGGTATCTCTTCTAAATTCATGATCATCACAATTTCTCAAAAATCATTTTTGTGTATCGCATGAAAATCTATAATGAGGTGAAAATGAATAATTGAATGCAAGGGTGAAAGGGTGTTTCCCTGCTAAATATAACACTTGGAATTCTGATTATTCATAAAAAATTATGACTGATTTGTCAAAATCAGAGTTAAAGATATAAGATCAATTTACAGTGCAATGAAATATCATAGGAATCTATGACCACACCCACCTGAGCTGACCATGTGGAATGGGTGGGCGTGGCCGGACCTCTATATCTGGTGTCTCCTTGGTAAGACGTTTGTTATCGGAAGTGATAACAGGACCTGACCCTGCAGCTGCCATCTTGTCTGGTGACAGAGCTGCAAGTTACATAAATTAAAGATTATGTCCCCTGCTTTACTATCACTTATGTTAAAAAATATTGATATTTCTGTTTTAGTTCATATTTTTCATGTGAATTTTTATATAAACATCACACTCATTGGATGATAGTTTTGAACTTTATAACTGAAGGCCTTACATTACTTAAACATTTACAAATAATCATATTTATCATAAACATATTTCTTGAAATTCATATTAAAGAGATCAAACCATCAATTTTCCATAATCAATTGCCACAGAGATTAAAAATAATTAAAATTAATTTCAGTAGTGACTAATACCACAATGAACATTGTCTGATTTGAGGTACAGTGTAGTTAATTGTGAGTGTGGACAGACACTAGCTGTCTGGCTGACTGAAGGTTTGAGGCACAGTGTAATTAATTGTAAGTTTGGACAGACACTGTCTGGCTGACTGAAGGTCTGGGACACAGTGTAATTAATTGTGAGTGTGGACAGACACTAACTGTCTGGTTGACTGAAGGTTTGGGACACAGTGTAATTAATTGTGAGTGTGGACAGACACTGGCTGTCTGGCTGACTGAAGGTTTGGGACACAATGTAATTAATTGTGAGTGTGGACAGACACTGGCTGTCTGGCTGACTGAAGGTTTGGGACACAGTGTAATTAATTGTGAGTGTGGACAGACACTGGCTGTCTGGCTGACTGAAGGTTTGGGACACAGTGTAATTAACTGTGAGTGTGGACAGACAATAACTGTCTGGCTGACTGAAGGTTTGGGACACAGTGTAATTAATTGTGAGTGTGGACAGACACTAACTGTCTGGCTGACTGAAGGTTTGAGGCACAGTGTAATTCATTGTGAGTGTGGACAGACAATAACTGTCGGGCTGACTGAAGGTTTGGGACACAGTGTAATTAATTGTGAGTGTGGACAGACACTAACTGTCTGGCTGACTGAAGGTTTGGGACACAGTGTAATTAATTGTGAGTGTGGACAGACACTAACTGTCTGGCTGACTGAAGGTTTGAGGCACAGTGTAATTAATTGTGAGTGTGGACAGACAATAACTGTCGGGCTGACTGAAGGTTTGGGACACAGTGTAATTAATTGTGAGTGTGGACAGACAATAACTGTCGGGCTGACTGAAGGTTTGGGACACAGTGTAATTAATTGTGAGTGTGGACAGACAATAACTGTCGGGCTGACTGAAGGTTTGGGACACAGTGTAATTAATTGTGAGTGTGGACAGACAATAACTGTCGGGCTGACTGAAGGTTTGGGACACAGTGTAATTAATTGTGAGTGTGGACAGACAATAACTGTCGGGCTGACTGAAGGTTTGGGACACAGTGTAATTAATTGTGAGTGTGGACAGACACTAACTGTCTGGCTGACTGAAGGTTTGAGGCACAGTGTAATTAATTGTGAGTGTGGACAGACAATAACTGTCGGGCTGACTGAAGGTTTGGGACACAGTGTAATTAATTGTGAGTGTGGACAGACAATAACTGTCGGGCTGACTGAAGGTTTGGGACACAGTGTAATTAATTGTGAGTGTGGACAGACAATAACTGTCGGGCTGACTGAAGGTTTGGGACACAGTGTAATTAATTGTGAGTGTGGACAGACACTAACTGTCTGGCTGACTGAAGGTTTGAGGCACAGTGTAATTAATTGTGAGTGTGGACAGACACTGGCTGTCTGGCTGACTGAAGGTTTGGGACACAGTGTAATTCATTGTGAGTGTGGACAGACAATAACTGTCGGGCTGACTGAAGGTCTGGGACACAGTGTAATTCATTGTGAGTGTGGACAGACACTGTCTGGCTGACTGAAGGTTTGGGACACAAAGTAATTAATTGTGAGTGTGGACAGACACTGGCTGTCTGGCTGACTGAAGGTTTGAGGCACAGTGTAATTCATTGTGAGTGTGGACAGACACTGGCTGTCTGGCTGACTGAAGGTTTGGGACACAATGTAATTAATTGTGAGTGTGGACAGACAATAACTGTCTGGCTGACTGAAGGTTTGGGACACAGTGTAATTAATTGTGAGTGTGGACAGACAATAACTGTCTGGCTGACTGAAGGTTTGGGACACAATGTAATTAATTGTGAGTGTGGACAGACAATAACTGTCTGGCTGACTGAAGGTTTGGGACACAGTGTAATTAATTGTGAGTGTGGACAGACAATAACTGTCGGGCTGACTGAAGGTTTAGGACACAGTGTAATTAATTGTGAGTGTGGACAGACAATAACTGTCTGGCTGACTGAAGGTTTAGGACACAGTGTAATTAATTGTGAGTGTGGACAGACACTGGCTGTCTGGCTGACTGAAGGTTTGGGACACAGTGTAATTCATTGTGAGTGTGGACAGACAATAACTGTCGGGCTGACTGAAGGTTTGGGACACAGTGTAATTAATTGTGAGTGTGGACAGACACTAGCTGTCTGGCTGACTGAAGGTTTGGGACACAGTGTAATTCATTGTGAGTGTGGACAGACAATAACTGTCGGGCTGACTGAAGGTTTAGGACACAGTGTAATTAATTGTGAGTGTGGACAGACACTGGCTGTCTGGCTGACTGAAGGTCTGGGACACAGTGTAATTCATTGTGAGTGTGGACAGACACTGTCTGGCTGACTGAAGGTTTAGGACACAGTGTAATTAATTGTGAGTGTGGACAGACACTGGCTGTCTGGCTGACTGAAGGTTTGGGACACAGTGTAATTCATTGTGAGTGTGGACAGACACTGGCTGTCTGGCTGACTGAAGGTTTGGGACACAGTGTAATTCATTGTGAGTGTGGACAGACAATAACTGTCGGGCTGACTGAAGGTTTGGGACACAAAGTAATTAATTGTGAGTGTGGACAGACACTGGCTGTCTGGCTGACTGAAGGTTTGAGGCACAGTGTAATTCATTGTGAGTGTGGACAGACACTGGCTGTCTGGCTGACTGAAGGTTTGGGACACAGTGTAATTCATTGTGAGTGTGGACAGACAATAACTGTCTGGCTGACTGAAGGTTTGGGACACAGTGTAATTCATTGTGAGTGTGGACAGACAATAACTGTCGGGCTGACTGAAGGTTTGGGACACAGTGTAATTAATTGTGAGTGTGGACAGACAATAACTGTCTGGCTGACTGAAGGTTTGGGACACAGTGTAATTCATTGTGAGTGTGGACAGACACTAGCTGTCTGGCTGACTGAAGGTCTGGGACACAATGTAATTAATTGTGAGTGTGGACAGACAATAACTGTCTGGCTGACTGAAGGTTTGGGACACAGTGTAATTAATTGTGAGTGTGGACAGACAATAACTGTCTGGCTGACTGAAGGTTTAGGACACCGTGTAATTAATTGTGAGTGTGGACAGACAATAACTGTCTGGCTGACTGAAGGTTTAGGACACAGTGTAATTAATTGTGAGTGTGGACAGACAATAACTGTCTGGCTGACTGAAGGTTTGGGACACAGTGTAATTAATTGTGAGTGTGGACAGACATTAACTGTCTGGCTGACTGAAGGTTTGAGGCACAGTGTAATTAATTGTGAGTGTGGACAGACAATAACTGTCTGGCTGACTGAAGGTTTAGGACACAGTGTAATTAACTGTGGGTGTGGACAGACACTAGCTGTCTGGCTGACTGAAGGTTTGGGACACAGTGTAATTAACTGTGAGTGTGGACAGACAATAACTGTCTGGCTGACTGGAGGTTTGGGACACAGTGTAATTAATTGTGAGTGTGGACAGACACTGGCTGTCTGGCTGACTGGAGGTTTGGGACACAGTGTAATTAATTGTGGGTGTGGACAGACAGTTACTGGACAGACAGTAATAATTGATCCATATTGAAATCTTACCTCCTGTACTTTTACTTCTCTTGACCTAAAATGATAAAAATTTTATACATTATGAATTGAATTTCAATAGAAATAGTGTAAGGTTTGGTGGTAATTGTCCAATGATTTTGTTATTTAAGTTTCAGTGTTTAGTGATATCTGACTTTTGTGATAACAGATGTTAGAAGTCACTAACCTTTGACCTTTTCTTTGATGGCTTCCCAGCTGCCTGAACAGGCTTATCTTCCACCTCACTCAGCTTCCAGTTCTGGAACTGGACATCATATTCACTCTTCTTAGGGACGACATCCTTCCTGAATGGGGCGACTGCAGGGTTACTGTTATATACAATCTGGAGAGACATGGAATATTCAGCAGGTGTTTTACATGTTGTTTATAAATTGTTAACATGTTGTTTACCTACATGACTATTACTAGTTACCGCCTCTGCCAGTGTAAATACATCTACTTCATGTAATGGTATCATGATATTTAAAATTATCACTAGATCATTGCTGTTAATCGAAACCATTTCATTTTGACATGCAAATGATATTTTTCAGTTTCGTCATATGACATATGAAATCAATATGATATCCAGATAAACTATAAAATATCATCTGATCAGAGCCAGTGGTCAGCATGTAAAATTGACCTCTGATCAGAGCCAGTGGTCAGCATGTAAAATTGACCTCTGATCAGAGCCAGTGGTCAGCATGTAAAATTGACCTCTGATCAGAGCCAGTGGTCAGCATGTAAAATTGACCTCTGATCAGAGCCAGTGGTCAGCATGTAAAATTGACCTCTGATCAGAGCCAGTGGTCAGCATGTAAAATTGACCTCTGATCAGAGCCAGTGGTCAGCATGTAAAATTGACCTCTGATCAGAGCCAGTGGTCAGCATGTAATATTGACCTCTGATCAGAGCCAGTGGTCAGCATGTAAAATTGACCTCTGATCAGAGCCAGTGGTCAGCATGTAAAATTGACCCCTGATCAGAGCCAGTGGTCAGCATGTAAAATTGACCTCTGATCAGAGCCAGTGGTCAGCATGTAAAACTGACCTCTGATCAGAGCCAGTGGTCAGCATGTAAAATTGACCTCTGATCAGAACCAGTGATCAGCATGTAAAATTGACCCCTGATCAGAGCCAGTGGTCAGCATATAAAATTGACCTCTGATCAGAGCCAGTGGTCAGCATGTAAAACTGACACTTTTTTTCAAACAACATATCTGACAAAACCCAGCAACTAAATCTGACATTTGTAAGAATAATATATTCCACTATTTTCTGGTAATTACCTTGTCCTGTTAAAGTATGGAGGTATTTACCTGTTCAGCTGCTAGGAGTGGAGAGGCCTTTCCCCCCACCTTCCAATCAAACGACTTTTGGTACTCAGATACCTTCCTTTTAGGGCGTGGAGGAGCAATTCCTGCCTTGTACTTCAGGGCAAATTCCGCCTGATGATCAAACACATACGAGATACAGGAAATTTATACAATCCATAAAGGTACACAGTGTAAAATCTTACTGATAAACACCAACTGTTTTATCTTCAAAACACATGTAGGTATAGACAACTTACATCATACCTTATCACAACCATTCTGAAATATCGAGTTAAATGGTGAAATGCATAATACAAGACCTCTATGAAAATCATAACAACGTCATCAGGTTCAGATCCTAAATGCTATATGGCCTGTATTGTACAGGGTTATATCTCACACCTCACAAATACTATATGGCCTGTATTGTACAGGGTTATATCTCCTCACAAATACTATATGGCCTGTATTGTACAGGGTTATATCACACACCTCACAAATACTATATGGCCTGTGTAGTACAGGGTTATATCTCACACCTCACAAATACTATATGGCCTGTATTGTACAGGGTTATATCTCACACCTCACAAATACTATATGGCCAGTATTGTACAGGGTTATATCACACACCTCACAAATACTATATGGCCTGTATTGTACAGGGTTATATCACACACCTCACAAATACTATATGGCCTGTATTGTACAGGGTTATATCACACACCTCACAAATACTATATGGCCTGTATTGTACAGGGTTATATCTCACACCTCACAAATACTATATGGCCTGTATTGTACAGGGTTATATCTCCTCACAAATACTATATGGCCTGTATTGTACAGGGTTATATCTCCTCACAAATACTATATGGCCTGTATTGTACTGGGTCATACCACACACCTCAAAAATACTATATAGCCTGTATTGTACAGGGTTATATCACACACCTCACAAATACTATATGGTCTGCATTGTACAGGGTTATATCTCACACCTCACAAATACTATATGGCCTGTGTAGTACAGGGTTATATCTCACACCTCACAAATACTATATGGCCTGTGTAGTACAGGGTTATATCACACACCTCACAAATACTATATGGCCTGTATTGTACAGGGTTATATCACACACCTCACAAATACTATATGGCCTGTATTGTACAGGGTCATATCACACACCTCACAAATACTATATGGTATGTATTGTACAGGGTTATATCTCCTCACAAATACTACCTGGCCTGTATTGTACAGGGTTATATCTCCTCACAAATACTTTATGGTCTGTATTGTACAGGGTTATACCTCACACACCTCACAAATACTATATGGCCTGTATTTAAAACTTACGGGGGCCTCTGGAGCAGACAGAGCTATTCCTTTGTCCATGTTGGTTTGTACAGACTCATTCATGTTATTAATCATTTTGTCCTTGAGGGGCAGTTTGGTCAGAGATTCCTGTTTGTTGGCGACCATATCACTACTGGAGCTTGTCTTCTTGCTGGATTTCACTGGGCTTTTTCTAGATACTTTCGGAGCTTCCAGCTCACTTTTGAGCTGTAATGGAGGCATGCCCTTCATTCCCCTGGGAGCCATGGGTGTGAGGACTTTGGGGCTCTCCTCAGTTTTGGATGGGGCTACAGGTTTTGAATCCTCCTTTGTAGATTTTCGGTAAATTTCAGTGTTCACTACAGGAGCTGGCTTAGGTTTGGAGGTAACTTGTCTGTTTTCTTTCTCTTTCTGAAAAATTAAATTATTGTTTTTAATTTCGCAAAGTCGCTTTAAAATAAATCATATTCTGAATAACTCAAATATAGCGTAAACCTACATACTTGCAAGAACTGTCATCATGTAACAAACAGTCACATTCTGTCATCACGTAACAGTCACATTGTCATCACGTAACAAACAGTCACATTCTGTCATCACGTAACAGTCACATTCTGTCATCACGTAACAAACAGTCACATTCTGTCATCACGTAACAAACAGTCACATTCTGTCATCACGTAACAAACAGTCACATTTTACATATCACTTAGATAAATACATAGCCAGACATTACTATATAGTACTAGACAAATGACATTTAGAAGCTGTTTGAAAATAAAGAGTATTGTAGTCACCTATACAATATTTACTCATTTTACAGGTAAACATACCCTGGTTTGAGCCAGTCACCTATATATATAAACTGATTTTACAGGTAAACATACCCTGGTTTGAGCCAGTCACCTATATATATAAACTGATTTTACAGGTAAACATACCCTGGTTTGAGCCAGTCACCTATATATAAACTGATTTTACAGGTAAACATACCCTGGTTTGAGCCAGTCACCTATACAATGTTTACTGATTTTACAGGTAAACATACCCTGGTTTGAGCCAGTCACCTATATATATAAACTGATTTTACAGGTAAACATACCCTGGTTTGAGCCAGTCACCTATATATATAAACTGATTTTACAGGTAAACATACCCTGGTTTGAGCCAGTCACCTATATATATAAACTGATTTTACAGGTAAACATACCCTGGTTTGAGCCAGTCACCTATACAATGTTTACTGATTTTACAGGTAAACATACCCTGGTTTGAGCCAGTCACCTATACAATGTTTACTGATTTTACAGGTAAACATACCCTGGTTTCAGCCAGTCACCTATATATATAAACTGATTTTACAGGTAAACATACCCTGGTTTGAGCCAGTCACCTATATATATAAACTGATTTTTTAGGTAAACATACCCTGGTTTGAGCAAGTCACCTATATATATAAACTGATTTTACAGGTAAACATACCCTGGTTTGAGCCAGTCACCTATATATATAAACTGATTTTACAGGTAAACATACCCTGGTTTGAGCCAGTCACCTATATATATAAACTGATTTTACAGGTAAACATACCCTGGTTTGAGCCAGTCACCTATACAATGTTTACTGATTTTACAGGTAAACATACCCTGGTTTGAGCCAGTCACCTATATATATAAACTGATTTTACAGGTAAACATACCCTGGTTTCAGCCAGTCACCTATATATATAAACTGATTTTTTAGGTAAACATACCCTGGTTTGAGCAAGTCACCTATATATATAAACTGATTTTACAGGTAAACATACCCTGGTTTGAGCCAGTCACCTATATATATAAACTGATTTTACAGGTAAACATACCCTGGTTTGAGCCAGTCACCTATACAATGTTTACTGATTTTATAGGTAAACATACCCTGGTTTGAGCCAGTCACCTATACCATGTTTACTGATTTTACAGGTAAACATACCCTGGTTTGAGCCAGTCACCTATACCATGTTTACTAATTTTACAGGTAAACATACCCTGGTTTGAGCCAGTTTTTGTTGCTTGGGAGGAGATGCACCACGAGTCTTCGCCTTGTATTTGACATTCTGCATAAACTTATCATTGGCACCTAGAAGAGCGTAATCTTCACTACCTGGTGACTCGAGACCCTGGTTGAAGTTAGTACTAAGACTTGTCATTGGTCCATCCAATCTCTTCTTCCTCTGCATCGGAGGCTCACATGGCACACCTGTGTTGACAATTATAACATGTCCTCGTAACACTTTCTTATAAAGTTAATTAGTACTTATTTAATTAATTAGAAAACATTTAACCACATACATGCTTATTTATATTTGATTTTCAGTATGTTTGTGTTTATATTGTATGTACACAAGATATGCTTTAGAATTGTGTTACATGTATATCATTATAGTTAAATGACAAGGTAAAATTTTACAAGTATTATCAAAGCATGGAAAACACTTCAAATGATGACTTTAGGTAAATATACAAGTTAAATCATGTGTAAATAAGCTTTTGAAGATACTTTTGTATAATTTACATAACTGCCATGTAAGTATGTGTAGCTATTTTGATATCAACATTTTTATCTGAAATAAGAAATTTTCTTTGCAATTGTATAATTTGTCGCAGAATTCTTCAAATTTAAGTTCTATGTATATTAAAGTCAAATTAAAAAAAAAAAAATACATTTTGTAAAATTAATTTCTGATGTTTTAATGTTTAGTGTCTCTACTTCCATGCAGTAAATACCATTGTATACTTGGAGAATTACCATTACAGCTCACCTATACAAATACTCCTATATGGTGTAAGAACAGCCTAATGTTTTCCTGTTTTGTACAATATCTCTCACCAACACATTAAACCTGGTAAATTTGTGAGAAAATCTTATGCTTAACTCTTTAGTTGCTTAAGTCTATAACGAAAGTACATGTAAAAAAAATCCTCCAAAACTTTGATTTCTGTTTTGAATGTATCACACTAATACACCCATTGTTAACTTTAACTATTGACATTAAAAATATTCTTTGAATAGGTGAGCTAAGGTATTTCACATTGATGTAGGTATTGTATATGCATTGCACACAACAAAATTCACACATGCATGCAGGACACTGCAGGTTAACATGCCATTGTGAAAAACAGCCACACATTACTTATATATGAATATGTATACATAGCACATACTTCACATCTGCAGGTGTATGGATGAAATGATAGTGACCACAAGCTGGGTAGGCTAGCTCAATTTTATTTTTCATGAACCAAAACAAAGGACGAGTGAAAAATATTGAAGAATGTGCAATGATGGAAACTTACACTGACATTTGATAGACCTTTCTCATTACAAGTATATTATATAAATATATCACATAGGCTAACAATATATATTATGGAAATTTTTAAGATGAAGATACAATACTATTCGTTACTTTGTTTTTATCATTACTGGTTCTAAATAATCCAGTGTGATTGTAAAGTGATGGGCTTCCTGTAACCAGGATAAGTCAGATTCAATCACAAATGTCTGATATTTATGTACCCTACAGCAAAAATTCTGATTTTTTTTTCATAATTTGCAATTTTCCATGTTTGTTTTCAAGTAAAAAAATTAAAATTAATGAGACAACATCTCAAATCAGCAATAGTGCCATTCTATGGAGTAGTAATATTAATCTGTAATGAAAACAAGTAAAACTTAAAAAACAAACATTCTGATACACCAGAGGATCTATACCTATTTTTGAAGACTGTCGACCAGCTGCTGGTGCAATTTGCTCTGCACTAGGTGAGAATGAAGCACTCTTGTATGATTGGATTGGTTTGTAATGTTCTTTGTATTCTGAGCTCGTCTGTAAAGCATAAGTGATATACAAATATTGTCATAAGTGTAATCCTTGTTAGTCTAGCTACGAGATACAAGATGAGCTATGATCTATAGAAAGCTTCTTCTTTCTTGAGCTGTCACAATCTGAAATATATATTTCACTACCAGGACAAAATTTGTTCTGTTTGCTGTCCCTGTAGTATACTGTACAGCTAAAATGTACAAATACAATTTTCTTAACTCTTTACTTTTTAGGGTTTTTATTAACTTTTCAAAAAATTACATTCCAGTATTATATAACTAATTTTATATTAAGATTTTTTTCAAAATATTACATGGACATAAATACACATTGCTTTCTAATACCAGTAAATTGTTCTCAAGAATAAGCTGGTACCAGCAAACAAACATTATATGTGATCTAGCCAACCATACTTAACAATGTACAGGTATTGCATGTATCATTGTAAACAGGAAGGGATTGAAAATCAACAAAGTAGCTCACAAAAAAAAATAATAATAATTTCTGAAAAACGGTGTTTGAGTTAGACAATGGTCTTACCAAAAAACTGAAGAAATTTGCATTTTAAGAAGCCAAGATAAGGTTAGCCAAATAATATTGGGCAGTACAAGTACTAGCTAGGCTCTAAAACAACATTTTCTTCAACAGCATTCAGACAGAGTACCACATTTGTAGTAGTAGTAGGCAACATGCAAATACTTGTACATGTATTTTATTATCATATAACTTGCATAGGGCATGCTGGGTAATATTGGTCCATCACCATTTCAATGATTCATCATGACAGAAAAACATATGTCACACAAAATTTAACTTCCTTATTTTAAAGAATATATTGCATGTATACAAAAGTCAATCAAAGAGGCAAGAAACAAGCAAACCCAGTAAAATTTTCATATTTCACAAGATTCTGGTTATCCGCGGAAGCTTGACTTTGTGTGACAAATGTTGACAGGCATGCGTAAATTATAGAAATCATGACTATGTGATTTATAGCATGGACGCACTATTTAAACCTAAGTTCACTGAAGAAAGACCCGCTTTAGGTTTTGCCTGCTCTGGTGTAGGACGGAAATTTTTGCTCCTGTATGATTCAAACCACTTGTAGTGGACATTATACTCAGAATTGCCCTGTGGAGAGAAATTAATACAAAACAATTAATGTATGAGATGAAAATATCATACTGATTATATAGATTCAAATTCTGTGGCACAAGATACGTACCAAACCATATAAAACATGTACTAAGCTGGAACTGCCTATGACACCAATATCAGATGTCAGACCTTTTGATGGAAAGAAATCTAGTGAGCGCAAGACAAATATTCAAGAATCCTTAAAATATCTAAATGTCTTATTTAGGGACCACTGGAAATACCAGATCAACATTACTGTACATGATAACAGAAGATTAGTCTACATATTATATGATATACTTGGAGACATATAGATATATGGCCCTGGAGAGCTCTTTTACACAGAAGTATCAGTATGGTGTATGCAGGAGAAGTCATTATGTATTCCAATGCCTCCTATGGGATTCCAACCTGGGACCTGTGATTTAGTAGTCTTGATTTCAATCAATCAAGCTAAAGACAAGTTCTCCTTAGCCAAGCTGTATAATAATTAAAGCTAATGTTTAATGTTATCCGAAGTACATAAATTATACTTGACCCCATCCAGGAATTAATTTGTCTTTAAGTTTCAAGGGATTAAGAGATGCCCAAGGGACAATGCTGAGTATTACTTCCAAGTCCCTTCATGGGCATCAATGTAAAAGATATCATTATTCCAAGGTAAATTTTAAGGATGAAACCTGTAATCCCTGGTTTTCTACTCTCATGCTCAATTGATTGAGCTAAAGAGAAGATATCTCTCCTCAAATGGTATAAAATATCTCTGCTATTTACCAGGGTTACATGTACAAGACTAAACATACAGTCTGGTCACAAGAGTAGCTATACAGTGCTAATTTTACCTTTCACAACATTTAACTTTAGGTAATTATTCATGGATTTTGTCAAACCACTGATCAGATAAATTTATAAAAATGTAAACATTTCAACAGACAGAAATGCTGTAATTTACATTTATCAAATGAGACTTTGTACTACCGCAAACTAGGGTCAAGAATACCAAATATTCCTATTTCCTCAGTTTTCATCAAGTCATTAGCTCCATTGTAGGCTCGCCTAATAGTACAAATTGTATTTAAACGGCTGATTGGCGCTAACGATTGATGGGTCTAAACTTGAATCATACAAAAACCAAAACCAATATTATGGACTAAAAAACTTTTAAAACTCAAATAGTCTACATGATATATTTGCAAAACATATATCAAATGTATTTCACATTGCTGGCAATCGTAATACAACTTGGATTCTGCAGACACAATTACTGGCTGCTTTAAATCACTTTGACCTGGTTTTGTTTACAAATATTCTGCCTCGATGGCCAAAGTTTAAATGCAGTGTTGCAATAACATTGCAAGTTAATTTTCCATATTTTTCTTTTCAATTATTTACCTTGAAATGTACAGGCATCTTTGAAGTCTGGTTTTTCCCCGAATATTTACGAAATTGTCTACAAACAACAATAACACTCCCTCAGCAACAGATCTACTGCACAGTCTCCGCCATAACAGCGTCGTAAGCGACGTAGAAAATTTTCGGAAACGGTTACCGGTGAGAAATTTCCGGTTTGAAGGTGCCGGTACAACATTTATTTTATTTCTTTTTAAATATTTCTTCTGTTTTCAATCGTAATTTTAAATAACCGACATTTTTTATATTTGTTTTATTTTTCAAAGGTATTTTTATTATATTTCATAAATAGCGCCACTCACTCATACACCATTAACATTCATTCTTCATCATTTGTTGAGAGACTACTTGGAATACCGACACAAACATATTTTACAGACAATCAACAAAGTCACAATGTTTTCAATGTTTTTTGAAATAAAAAATCGCAAAATATATGCACTTCAATTGGGGAGGTAATCAAAACTAAAATATCAAAATTATAATTTCTTCAGTCAGAAGTAAGATCAAACATGCCTTCCTTTTCATAATCTTAATATCGATGAAAAAAACAATGATATTGACAATATAATCTATGGATATCCTAAATGAAAATAATTTTTTTTATTAACATTTTCTGAAAATTTTTTTTTTTAAATATTTTGAAGATACTTAAAAAAAAACTGATTTCCATGAATCATTTACAATTACCCATATAATATTTTTTTAACTTTGTCTCTTGATTGCTAACTCACCCAAATAATGACTTCCATTCATAGCCTCTCAGCAGCTAGCTGACCCAATAGATATAGCTACCAGCCTTTCTCTCCTGTTGATTAGCTGACCCAATAGATGACTTCCATTCATAGCCTCTCAGCATCTAGCTGACCCAATAGATATAGCTACCAGCCTTTCTCTCCTGTTGATTAGCTGACCTAATAGATGACTTCCATTCATAGCCTCTCAGCAGCTAGCTGACCCAACAGATATAGCTACCAGCCTTTCTCTCCTGTTTACTAGCTGACCCAATAGATGACTTCCATTCATAGCCTCTCAGCATCTAGCTGACCCAATAGATATAGTTACCAGCCTTTCTCTCCTGTTGACAAGCTGACCCACTAGATGACTTCCAGACTTTCTCTCCTGTTGACAAGCTGACCCACTAGATGACTTCCAGACTTTCTCTCCTGTTGACAAGCTGACCCAATAGATGACTTCTGACAGACCCACTAGATGACTTCCAGACTTTCCCTCCTGTTGACAAGCTGACCCACTAGATGACTTCCAGACTTTCTCTCCTGTTGACAAGCTGACCCACTAGATGACTTCCAGACTTTCCCTCCTGTTGACAAGCTGACCCACTAGATGACTTCCAGACTTTCTCTCCTGTTGACTAGCTGACCCAATAGATGACTTCCAGACTTTCTCTCCTGTTGACTAGCTGACCAAATAGATGACTTCCAGACTTTCTCTCCTGTTGACAAGCTGACCCACTAGATGACTTCCAGACTTTCTCTCCTGTTGACAAGCTGACCCACTAGATGACTTCCAGACTTTCTCTCCTGTTGACAAGCTGACCCACTAGATGACTTCCAGACTTTCCCTCCTGTTGACTAGCTGACCAAATAGATGACTTCCAGACTTTCTCTCCTGTTGACTAGCTGACCAAATAAATGACTTCCAGACTTTCCCTCCTGTTGACTAGCTGACCAAATAGATGACATCCAGACTTTTCCCTCTTTTTGACCAATTGATTCAATAAATATTTTCATACTTAATCTCTTGAAAGCTAGCAGACTCAATAGCTGACATCCAGACTTTGTCTCCTGCAAGTTACCGCCACACTTAACCTCCTGTTGGCTAGCTTAGCCAATAGATTATTTTCAGACTTAATCTCTAGATGGCTAACTAACCCAATAGAGTATTTCCAGAATTGAAAATTAGCCTTCTGATGGCTAGCTGACCTGGTCAGATTCCCTTTGTTAAGCCAAACACAGCCGAGCACTATCATATTACTTCTTTTATAAATGTTAACTGAACTATCCTTAATAATATTCACCCCTGATTTGTCAATGCTGAGAGGGGACTCTGAGAGTGCATTCTATAGAGCATTAGAGTTTCAAAGTGTTGTTTTGTTGATCCCAACTCTAGGCTGTTTGTATCACATGAAGCTGAGATCACAGATCCTCCTGTGTCGTGGTGGTGGTGTCCTTGGGAGGAGAGACTTAGCCTACTGTTGGCTAGCTGATTAAATATTTCCATATTTAACTTCCTGATGGCTACCAATGGGGACTGGGAGACCAGTTTTTACAGCATCAGAGTTCTAAAGTGTGTGGTTTGTTGGTCCCAACTCCAGTCAGTTGGAATCACAGAGAACCAAAATCATATATAATTCTGTGTTGTCGTGGTAATATCCTTGCGAAGACACTTTACACTCATTGATTTTGGTTGTATGTGGCAGGTCTCCCACATGTTGTTCAATGATATAATTACCAGCTGCTGGGATCATAAACCCAGCAAATTATTTGTCTATGCTATCTTCAGTGTACACCATGGAACTGACATATTGTCTTTGCCTCTTTATGCTACTCTCTAACAATGTACCTTTTTTTGACAGCCATTAACTCTGGTTGTTGCATGAAGCCAACTGATCTCTGAAGAATTTATCAATGAAATGACAATACTGTGTTATTCTAATGTTACCAGGCAAACAGAACTATGGAAAAACATTCTTTCATTGAACTCATTATTTTTGTCCTTTGGAAATATTTCAAGAGGAATACCGCATATTTCACATTCACTAGTATATATTTTGTCCATCTTTCCCACATCGCTTGTATAGAATTTGCAAACATGAATACTGACATTGCATTATGATAAAATACATGGAGAGTAAAAATCTGTCCCTAAATGACTCAAAGTCGGAGAAGAGTAACATCTTTGGTATCAATTTAGTGGCTTTCTTCCTTCAGGAATTAGTTTCACATACCTGTGAAGGACCTAATATCACAGACAACGTTGGTTTTTAGGGTTGAAGTGTCAAGTTCAAGTTTACTGTTTTAAGAAAATCCAAATCTGCTCTCTAGTGGCTACATTCATTTTATTTATGGAAAAGTTTTTGTTTAAGGGTTGAAGGGTCATATTCAAGGATTTAGAAAATCTAATCAGTGATCAAGTGACTTCATTTCTTTTGGGATCTGGATCAAACACACATCTGTCACAGTTAAACCATGGGAAGATAAGTATTCTTTGAGAAACATTTTTTCTTTTTTATATTTACTAGTTTGAAGATTTTTATTGAATTGAAATCTCGTTATTTTACTGCTTTTTTCGAGTTTCACATTACGTTTACTATTTCATTTTTTAAGTTTTGTAGTGTTTTCATTTTTTTATATTTACTCCATTTCAAAGAATTCTTCAGAATATCAGTTCATATTTACCATTTTCAAACATGGGCCGTCAGAGATGGGTTATGCTCCTAGAATGGGACAAAATTTAAGTATAAAAATAACAAAGGGCAATAAGTGATTTCTGATTCTTGTACACTGCCCTCCTCCTCAATGAGATCTATCTACCTATGAAGTTTGATATCTGTTATAGTTTTAGTATAATGTTCCGCACAAAATCTAAGTATGAAAAATAACAAAGGGCAGTAACTTCTAATTTATGTAAAATAGAGATAGAGTGATAGTTCTGGTGCAATGTACTTCTCTTTGTTGAGGTTTACATACCTATGAAGTTTCATATTGATACCTCTTATAATTTTTGTGTGATGCTCTGGACAAAATTATGATGGACGGACAAACAGACAAAGTGGCGAAGGGAGTATAAAAAGTTTCATAATATAAATATAGTGTATTACAATTTTAAATTTACACTTTAATGCAATTAACACTCCCCATGTCCACTATCCTTTTTGTTATGTTTCTTCACTTAATATCTTCCTGACATTTAGCTATTTCTAAAATCAATTCTTCTGTAAAAATAATATGGAACATCACAATACTTATGAGAGATGTACTATTAGCTAAAATCTTCTTAATACAAATCTATCCCACCCCAGGATCCCAGTGGTATTTTAGGAGAATCTAATATAAGATTTACACATGGAAACTTATTGTCAGCCAGAATATTGGTGGAATAAGCCTCAATGGAATAAACACAACATAATTTTTTTTCAAAAACATATATTCATACATTTTTTCAAAAACAAAATAAACAATTAAAATTGCTTTTGTTATATTGTAATTGTTTCATGCAGAATTTCCATCAGATGGTCCAGTGTGTGGTTCTGTAACTTTCGTTTTCCCAGCTTGTTGGAGAGTTTTCGGCATTTTCTGCCGCCTTGGATTTTTGAGTGCTAAGTCTTTTTCCCACTTCTGCTTGTACATAGTATAAAGCCTCATGGTAGCTTGTGCATCCTGAATCTGCAACAACAAACATCAAAGTCTGATAAGCCCATGCCTGGTAATAAGCCCATTCACATACACTGTAGTTTTAGTAATACAGTACTAACCAATGCCGTTGTCCTGTAGCCCACCTCCTTATTTTGAGAATTATTGTCAGAGTACAGTATTTATTAAATGTCCGTTAATAACTAAAATCTTTGTTTAATAGATATCAAAATGTTTGTAAGTGATAAAACTGTTCTCTTTGTTTAATCTTTTATCAGACAACTTGTCCGGTGGATGAAATAATGTGAAGTTGATAAAATGAAATGTTTTGTGACAAAATTTTAAGAGAATGACATAAATATATTAAACAAATATAATGACTTTCTATGAATTTTTTATATAAAATGAACTTATCACTAAACACGGATTTTTATCTGGCATCATAGAGTACACATTTATCAAATAACAATTACACATAATATAACCAGGTGATGTAATTCTCAAAATTTATCGTAATTTGTCTATTTTATTTGCTATAAAATATTCAAGATAAATACCAGAGCAAAAAGACAAAATGTTAAACCAAGTAAAACAAAGTAACTGGAGTGCCCTCAAAACTCTGCCTTTCTAAGCAGGGGAAGGATCTGAGCAGTGTACGCTATTATCTTCCGTTGTTTTGACATGTGAATATGTGAGATATTGGTAAAGTTTGAATTTTAGTCAATGAAGTTATATACATAGTTGCTACAGTAAAATACAGTTTAACATTTTCCACTAAAATTTTAACTGAGAATACAAAGTGAAAGTTTTACAATACCAGGTTACCGCACTGCAAGAGAAATGCCATTATGCATAAGATATCACTATAATATCATTTTCTGTATATCATCATTATCAGAGATAATATTTTCTAACATGTGTTATACACGACACATTTGTTTCATACCGAGCTATGTTCTCCTTCCTGTACTGCCACATCCAGAACCTTGGCCGTCAACTTCTTAAGTGATGGAGTCTTACCACAAAACATTTCTCTAAAAGGTTTATACTTGGATGTGTCACGAATCAGCTTTTTAGGGTGACTTAGATAAAGTACCTGTCAAACAAAGATGAGAAAATCAGGTCAGATACAAGACAATAACAAAATCCTATAACATCTAAAACCTGACTTCACTGACACCTGTCTATAACAACATCATGTTACATCCTAGAGGGAAAGGGAAATAAGTCTGTCCTAGAGGGAAAGGGAAATAAGCCTGTCCTAGAGGGAAAGGGAAATAAGTCTGTCCTAGAGGGAAAGGGAATGAGTCTGTCCTAGAGGGAAAGGGAAATAAACCTGTCCTAGAGAGAAACGGAAATAAGTCTGTCCTAGAGGGAAAGGGAAATAAGTCTGTCCTAGAGGGAAAGGGAGATAAGTCTGTCCTAGAGGGAGAGGGAAATAAGCCTGTCCTAGAGGGAAAGGGAAATAAACCTGTCCTAGAGGGAAAGGGAAATAAGTCTGTCCTAGAGGGAAAGGGAAATACGTATGTCCTAGAAAGAAAAGGAAATAAGTCTGTCCTAGAGGGAAAGGGAAATGTGCCTGTCCTAGAAAGAAAAGGAAATAAGCCTGTCCTAGAGGGAAAGGGAAATGTGCCTGTCCTAGAAAGAAAAGGAAATAAGCCTGTCCTAGAGGGAAAGGGAAATGTGCCTGTCCTAGAGGGAAAGGGAAATAAGCCTGTCCTAGAGAGAAATGGAAATAAGTCTGTCCTAGAGGGAAAGGGAATGAGTCTGTCCTAGAGGGAAAGGGAAATAAGCCTGTCCTAGATAGAAAGGGAAATAAGTCTGTCCTAGAGGGAAAGGGAATGAGTCTGTCCTAGAGGGAAAGGGAAATAAACCTACCCTAGAGGGAGAGGGAAATAAGCCAGTCCTAGAGGGAGAGGGAAATAAGTCTGTCCTAGAGGTAAAGGGAAATAAGTCTGTCCTAGAAGGAAAGGGAAATAAGCCTTTCTTAGAGGGAAATGGAAATAAGTCTGTCCTAGAGGGAAAGGGAAATAAATCTGTCCTAGAGGGAAAGGGAAATAAGTCTGTCCTAGAGGGAAAGGGAAATATGTATGTCCTAGAAAGAAAAGGAAATAAGTCTGTCCTAGAGGGAAAGGGAAATGTGCCTGTCCTAGAAAGAAAAGGAAATAAGCCTGTCCTAGAGGGAAAGGAGATTCCACTTATTTTTAAATGACATGATTATATGTCAAATGGAATCTAAAACTTGTGTCAATACAATAGGAAATTATGAAACTCGTTGGTATCAAATTGTTGCAGTGATCATTTTCATATTTCAGTGCCTCTACTAGGATTCGAACCCAGGACCTCTGGTTTACTAGTCTGATGCTCAACCGATCCAGCTAAAGAGAAGTTCTCTTCAGTCCAGTGGTATATTGCAGCTAGTATTTTACCATGGCTACAAAATACTGTGATATGTCATATATAATTTGATATGTCAAGAGCCTTTTGTGCATTAAACTGACATCAGATATGATCCTTTATGTCCAATGAAATGTCACCTGACTTTGAGGACATCTTGTTATTTAATGATAGGATATTTCAACTCTAAAGAATTCTTGCTATATCTAAACCTCAGAATACTGATACATTGTTATATGAGATGGTTCAGTCACTTACGATGTCAATTTTCCTGTACCAGAATATCTTACCTTTAAATCATTCTTTATTGCATGTCCCACCAATATTCTGCCTTTTATCATTTCTGCTAGGTTTTTACAGGCTTCTGAGAATTCAACACCTATAAATAAATAGAGAAATTCTCCAATTGTTAATCGGCTACAAATAAATATCATTTGATACAAGCCTACGACAAGTAAGCTACCACAGATATAATTCACATACAATTGTTGTTATATGAAACAGAGTAAAATACTAAAATGAACTTTCTGTCACAATTTTGTTCTCCAAATTTACCTTAGGTAAATAACAGATCATCTATGAAATCCATTTATTTATTTATTGATTTTATTTGTTTTTTCTTTAATTCACTTAAATGCAAAGGAATCTTTGGTATTTAAGCATAGAACATTTCTAATATTCCGCCCTCAATTATAAACAAGTTTTAGATATTTATGATATAAAACATTCATAATAATAATGATTTCTTTGTCTGGCGTAAAAAAGCTGAAGTTGTGATTTTGTTCACACATTGACAAGGATATAACTACAGAAGATAATTTAACCCCTATACACAAACCTTTTAGCATGTCCTCCTCTCGAACACCACTGACCCAGGTTCTATAATCTGTCACTTGTTCCTGGGGTTTTACAAACGTGTCATAGATACAATGGCCAAAATGATTGACCAGTGAGACTCTGGCCAGCATGTCCTGTTTACTGTTACTGCCCACACCAACAAACTCGCAGTCTAGAGCTACTGCCTTGGTCAAACTGAAAAGTGGTGCAGTGAAACTTTACAGTCTCAGAGTCACAAGAGGTGGACACACCAACAAACTCGCAGTCTAGAGCTACTGCCTTGGTCAAACTGAAAAGTAGTGCAGTGAAACTTTAGAGTCTCCGAGTCACAAGAGGTGGACACACCAACAAACTCGCAGTCTAGAGCTACTGCCTTGGTCAAACTGAAAAGTGGTGCAGTGAAACTTTAGAGTCTCAGAGTCACAAGAGGTAGACACAACACAAACTCTACAGTCTAGAGCTACTGCCTTGGTCAAACTGAAAAGTGGTGCAGTGAAACTTTAGAGTCTCCGAGTCACAAGAGGTAGACACAACACAAACTCTACAGTCTAGAGCTACTGCCTTGGTCAAACTGAAAAGTGGTGCAGTGAAACTTTAGAGTCTCCGAGTCACAAGAGGTGGACACACCAACAAACTCGCAGTCTAGAGCTACTGCCTTGGTCAAACTGAAAAGTGGTGCAGTGAAACTTTAGAGTCTCCGAGTCACAAGAGGTGCCCACACCAACAAACTCGCAGTCTAGAGCTACTGCCTTGGTCAAACTGAAAAGTGGTGCAGTGAAACTTTAGAGTCTCCGAGTCACAAGAGGTGGACACACCAACAAACTCGCAGTCTAGAGCTACTGCCTTGGTCAAACTGAAAAGTGGTGCAGTGAAACTTTAGAGTCTCAGAGTCACAAGAGGTAGACACAACACAAACTCTACAGTCTAGAGCTACTGCCTTGGTCAAACTGAAAAGTGGTGCAGTGAAACTTTAGAGTCTCAGAGTCACAAGAGGTAGACACAACACAAACTCTACAGTCTAGAGCTACTGCCTTGGTCAAACTGAAAAGTGGTGCAGTGAAACTTTAGAGTCTCAGAGTCACAAGAGGTAGACACAACACAAACTCTACAGTCTAGAGCTACTGCCTTGGTCAAACTGAAAAGTGGTGCAGTGAAACTTTAGAGTCTCAGAGTCACAAGAGGTGGACACAACACAAACTCTGGAGCCTCAAGGTAGGGGATTTCATCAACACAAACTCTGGAGCCTCAAGGTAGGGGACTTCATCAACACAAACTCTGGAGCCTCAAGGTAGGGGACTTCATCAACACAAACTCTGGAGCCTCAAGGTAGGGGATTTCATCAACACAAACTCTGGAGCCTCAAGGTAGGGGACTTCATCAACACAAACTCTACAGCTTCTAGGTTGGGGACTTCATCAACACAAACTCTACAGCTTCTAGATTTGGGACATCATTATACAAACTCTACAGCTTCTAGGTTTGGGACATCATTATACAAACTCTACAGTTTCTAGGTTGGGGACATCATTAACACAAACTCTACAGCTTCAACGTTGAAGACTTCATCAACACAAACTCTACAGCTTCTAGGTTGAAGACTTCATCAACACAAACTCTACAGCTTCTAGGTTGAAGACTTCATCAACACAAACTCTACAGTTTCTAGGTTTGGGACATCATTATACAAACTCTACAGTTTCTAGGTTTGGGACATCATTATACAAACTCTACAGCTTCTAGGTTTGGGACATCATTATACAAACTCTACAGTTTCTAGGTTGGGGACTTCATCAACACAAAATCTACAGCTTCTAGGTTGGGGACTTCATCAACACAAACTCTACAGCTTCTAGATTTGGGACATCATTATACAAAATCTACAGCTTCAAGGCTAGGGACATCATTAAACAAACTCCAAATCTTCTAGGTTAGGGACATCATTATACAAACTCTACAGCTTCTAGGTTCCTGACTTCATCAACACAAACTCTACAGCTTCTAGATTGGGGACGTCATTACACAAACTCTACAGTTTCTAGGTTGAGGACATCATTATACAAACTCTACAGTTTCTAGGTTGGGGACTTCATTATACAAACTCCAAATCTTCTAGGTTAGGGACATCATTATACAAACCCTACAGCTTCTAGATTTGGGGACTTCACCAACACAAACTCACAAACATCATTATACTACAGTTTCTAGGTTTGGGACATCATTATACAAAGTCTACAGTTTCTAGGTTTGGGACATCATTATACAAACTCTACAGTTTCTAGGTTGGGGACTTCATTATACAAAATCTACAGCTTCTAGGTTTGGGACATCATTATACAAACTCTACAGTTTCTAGGTTTGGGACATCATTATACAAACTCTACAGCTTCAAGGCTAGGGACATCATTAAACAAACTCCAAATCTTCTAGGTTAGGGACATCATTATACAAACTCTACAGCTTCTAGGTTCCTGACTTCATCAACACAAACTCTACAGCTTCTAGATTTGGGACGTCATTATACAAACTCTACAGTTTCTAGGTTGGGGACATCATTATACAACCTCTACAGTTTCTAGGTTTGGGGACTTCATCAACACAAACTCTACAGCTTCTAGGTTAGGGACATCATTATACAAACTCCAAATCTTCTAGGTTAGGGACATCATTATACAAACTCTACAGTTTCTAGGTTTGGGGACTTCACCAACACAAACTCTACAACTTCTAGGTTTGGGACATCATTATACAAACTCTACAGTTTCTAGGTTGGGGACTTCATCAACACAAACTCTACAACTTCTAGGTTTGAGACATCATTATACAAACTCTACAGTTTCTAGGTTGGGGACTTCATCAACACAAACTCTACAACTTCTAGGTTTGGGACATCATTATACAAACTCTACAGTTTCTAGGTTTGGGACATCATTATACAAAGTCTACAGTTTCTAGGTTTGGGACTTCATTATACAAACTCTACAGCTTCTAGGTTGGGGACTTCATTATACAAACTCTACAGCTTCTAGGTTTGGGACATCATTATACAAACTCTACAGTTTCTAGGTTGGGGTTTCTCATCAACACAAACTCTACAACTTCTAGGTTTGGGACATCATTATACAAACTCTACAGTTTCTAGGTTTGGGACATCATTATACAAAGTCTACAGTTTCTAGGTTTGGGACATCATTATACAAACTCTACAGTTTCTAGGTTGGGGACTTCATTATACAAACTCTACAGCTTCTAGGTTTGGGACATCATTATACAAACTCTACAGTTTCTAGGTTGGGGACTTCACCAACACAAACTCTACAGTTTCTAGGTTGGGGACATCATTATACAAACTCTACAGTTTCTAGGTTTGGGACATCATTATACAAACTCTACAGTTTCTAGGTTTGGGACATCATTATACAAACTCTACAGTTTCTAGGTTGGGGACTTCACCAACACAAACTCTACAGTTTCTAGGTTGGGGACATCATTATACAAACTCTACAGCTTCTAGGTTGGGGACTTCATTATACAAACTCTACAGCTTCTAGGTTTGGGACATCATTATACAAACTCTACAGTTTCTAGGTTGGGGACTTCACCAACACAAACTCTACAGTTTCTAGGTTGTAAACAAACACATGGACTTCATTATAAACAACACATCTACAGCTTAAACAAACACTAGAGTATTAAACAAACACATGTACATTACACAAACTAAACAAACACATGCGTATAAGTAAACAAACACATGTACTGAGATAGGGTAAACAAACACATGTATCAATAAACAAACACATGTACTGAGATAGAGTATAAGTAAACAAACACATGTTGAGATAGAGTGTATCAAAATACAAACATTGTACTACAGTATAACTATCATGTAAAATAGTAAACAAACACATGTACTGAGATAGAGTATTAAACAAACACTATACACAAACACATGTACTGAGATAGAGTATAAGTAAACAAACACATGTACTGAGATAGAGTACACAAGTAAACAAACACATGTACTGAGATAGAGTATAAGTAAACAAACACATGTACTGAGATAGCGTATAACTATACAAACACATGTACTGAGATGTATAAGTAAACAAACACATAAGTAAACACAACTGAGATAGACTAAACAAACACATGTACTGAGATAGAGTATAACAAACAAACACATGTACTGAGATAGAGTATAACTAAACAAACACATGTACTGAGATAGAGTATAAGTAAACAAACACATGTACTGAGATAGAGTATAAGTATAAACAAACACATGTACTGAGATAGAGTATAACTAAACAAACACATGTACTGAGATAGAGTATAAGTAAACAAACACATGTACTGAGATAGAGTATAACTAAACAAACACATGTACTGAGATAGAGTATAACTAAACAAACACATGTACTGAGATAGAGTATAACTAAACAAACACATGTACTGAGATAGAGTATAAGTAAACAAACACATGTACTAAGTATAACTAAACAAACACATGTACTGAGATAGAGTATAACTAAACAAACACATGTACTGAGATAGAGTATAAGTAAACAAACACATGTACTGAGATAGAGTATAAGTAAACAAACACATGTACTGAGATAGAGTATAACTATACAAACACATGTACTGAGATAGAGTATAACTAAACAAACACATGTACTGAGATAGAGTATAAGTAAACAAACACATGTACTGAGATAGAGTATAAGTAAACAAACACATGTACTGAGATAGAGTATAACTAAACAAACACATGTACTGAGATAGAGTATAACTAAACAAACACATGTACTGAGATAGAGTATAACTATACAAACACATGTACTGAGATAGCGTATAACTATACAAACACATGTACTGAGATAGAGTATAAGTAAACAAACACATGTACTGAGATAGAGTATAAGTAAACAAACACATGTACTGAGATAGAGTATAACTAAACAAACACATGAGTATAACTAAACAAACACATGTACTGAGATAGAGTATAAGTAAACAAACACAAACACTGAGATAGTAAACAAACACATGTATAACTAAACAAACACATGTACTGAGAAACAAACACAGTATAAGTAAACAAACACATGTACTGAGATAGAGTATAAGTAAACAAACCATGTACTGAGATAGAGTATAACTAAACAAACACATGTACTGAGATAGAGTATAAGTAAACAAACACATGTACTGAGATAGAGTATAAGTAAACAAACACATGTACTGAGATAGAGTATAAGTAAACAAACACATGTACTGAGATAGACTATAAGTAAACAAACACATGTACTGAGATAGAGTATAAGTAAACAAACACATGTACTGAGATAGAGTATAACTAAACAAACACATGTACTGAGATAGAGAATAACTAAACAAACACATGTACTGAGATAGAGTATAACTATACAAACACATGTACTGAGATAGAGTATAACTAAACAAACACATGTACTGAGATAGAGTATAAGTAAACAAACACATGTACTGAGTATAACTAAACAAACACATGAGTATAACTAAACAAACACATGTACTGAGATAGAGTATAAGTAAACAAACACATGTACTGAGATAGAGTATAACTAAACAAACACATGTACTGAGATAGAGTATAAGTAAACAAACACATGTACTGAGATAGAGTATAAGTAAACAAACACATGTACTGAGATAGAGTATAAGTAAACAAACACATGTACTGAGATAGCGTATAAGTAAACAAACACATGTATAAGTAAACAAACACATGTACTGAGATAGAGTATAAGTAAACAAACACATGTACTGAGATAGAGTATAACTAAACAAACACATGTACTGAGATAGAGTATAACTAAACAAACACATGTACTGAGATAGAGTATAACTAAACAAACACATGTACTGAGATAGAGTATAACTAAACAAACACATGTACTGAGATAGAGTATAAGTATACAAACACATGTACTGAGATAGAGTATAAGTAAACAAACACATGTACTGAGACAGAGTATAAGTAAACAAACACATGTACTGAGATAGAGTATAAGTAAACAAACACATGTACTGAGATAGAGTATAACTATACAAACACATGTACTGAGATAGAGAATAAGTAAACAAACACATGTACTAAACAAACACAGATAGAGTATAAGTAAACAAACACATGTACTGAGATAGAGTATAAGTAAACAAACACATGTACTGAGATAGAGTATAACTAAACAAACATATGTACTGAGATAGAGTATAACTAAACAAACACATGTACTGAGATAGAGTATAACTAAACAAACACACATGTACTGAGATAGAGTATAACTATACAAACACATGTACTGAGATAGAGTATAAGTAAACAAACACATGTACTGAGATAGAGTATAACTATACAAACACATGTACTGAGATAGAGTATAAGTAAACAAACACATGTACTGAGATAGAGTATAAGTAAACAAACACATGTACTGAGATAGAGTATAAGTAAACAAACACATGTACTGAGATAGAGTATAAGTAAACAAACACATGTACTGAGATAGAGTATAAGTAAACAAACACATGTACTGAGATAGAGTATAAGTAAACAAACACATGTACTGAGATAGAGTATAAGTAAACAAACACATGTACTGAGATAGAGTATAAGTAAACAAACACATGTACTGAGATAGAGTATAAGTAAACAAACACATGTACTGAGATAGAGTATAAGTAAACAAACACATGTACTGAGATAGAGTATAAGTAAACAAACACATGTACTGAGATAGAGTATAAGTAAACAAACACATGTACTGAGATAGAGTATAACTATACAAACACATGTACTGAGATAGAGTATAAGTAAACAAACACATGTACTGAGATAGAGTATAAGTAAACAAACACATGTACTGAGATAGAGTATAACTAAACAAACACATGTACTGAGATAGAGTATAAGTAAACAAACACATGTACTGAGATAGCGTATAACTATACAAACACATGTACTGAGATAGAGTATAAGTAAACAAACACATGTACTGAGATAGAGTATAAGTAAACAAACACATGTACTGAGATAGCGTATAACTAAACAAACACATGTACTGAGATAGAGTATAACTAAACAAACACATGTACTGAGATAGAGTATAACTATACAAACACATGTACTGAGATAGAGTATAAGTAAACAAACACATGTACTGAGATAGCGTATAAGTAAACAAACACATGTACTGAGACAGAGTATAAGTAAACAAACACATGTACTGAGATAGAGTATAACTATACAAACACATGTACTGAGATAGAGTATAAGTAAACAAACACATGTACTGAGATAGAGTATAAGTAAACAAACACATGTACTGAGATAGAGTATAAGTAAACAAACACATGTACTGAGATAGAGTATAACTATACAAACACATGTACTGAGATAGAGTATAAGTAAACAAACACATGTACTGAGATAGAGTATAAGTAAACAAACACATGTACTGAGATAGCGTATAAGTAAACAAACACATGTACTGAGATAGCGTATAACTAAACAAACACATGTACTGAGATAGGGTATAAGTAAACAAACACATGTACTGAGACAGAGTATAAGTAAACAAACACATGTACTGAGATAGAGTATAACTATACAAACACATGTACTGAGATAGAGTATAAGTAAACAAACACATGTACTGAGATAGAGTATAACTATACAAACACATGTACTGAGATAGCGTATAACTATACAAACACATGTACTGAGATAGAGTATAAGTAAACAAACACATGTACTGAGATAGAGTATAAGTAAACAAACACATGTACTGAGATAGAGTATAAGTAAACAAACACATGTACTGAGACAGAGTATAAGTAAACAAACACATGTACTGAGATAGAGTATAACTATACAAACACATGTACTGAGATAGAGTATAAGTAAACAAACACATGTACTGAGATAGCGTATAAGTAAACAAACACATGTACTGAGACAGAGTATAAGTAAACAAACACATGTACTGAGATAGAGTATAACTATACAAACACATGTACTGAGATAGAGTATAAGTAAACAAACACATGTACTGAGATAGAGTATAACTATACAAACACATGTACTGAGATAGCGTATAACTATACAAACACATGTACCGAGATAGAGTATAAGTAAACAAACACATGTACTGAGATAGAGTATAAGTAAACAAACACATGTACTGAGATAGAGTATAAGTAAACAAACACATGTACTGAGACAGAGTATAAGTAAACAAACACATGTACTGAGACAGAGTATAACTATACAAACACATGTACTGAGATAGAGTATAAGTAAACAAACACATGTACTGAGACAGAGTATAAGTATACAAACACATGTACTGAGATAGAGTATAACTATACAAACACATGTACTGAGAAAGAGTATAACTATACAAACACATGTACTGAGATAGAGTATAAGTAAACAAACACATGTACTGAGATAGAGTATAACTATACAAACACATGTACTGAGATAGCGTATAAGTAAACAAACACATGTACTGAGATAGAGTATAACTATACAAACACATGTACTGAGATAGAGTATAAGTAAACAAACACATGTACTGAGATAGCGTATAAGTAAACAAACACATGTACTGAGATAGAGTATAAGTAAACAAACACATGTACTGAGATAGAGTATAAGTAAACAAACACATGTACTGAGATAGCGTATAAGTAAACAAACACATGTACTGAGACAGAGTATAAGTAAACAAACACATGTACTGAGATAGAGTATAAGTAAACAAACACATGTACTGAGATAGAGTATAAGTAAACAAACACATGTACTGAGATAGAGTATAAGTAAACAAACACATGTACTGAGACAGAGTATAAGTAAACAAACACATGTACTGAGATAGAGTATAAGTAAACAAACACATGTACTGAGATAGAGTATAAGTAAACAAACACATGTACTGAGATAGAGTATAACTATACAAACACATGTACTGAGATAGAGTATAAGTAAACAAACACATGTACTGAGATAGGGTATAAGTAAACAAACACATGTACTGAGATAGCGTATAACTAAACAAACACATGTACTGAGATAGAGTATAAGTAAACAAACACATGTACTGAGATAGAGTATAAGTAAACAAACACATGTACTGAGATAGAGTATAACTATACAAACACATGTACTGAGATAGAGTATAACTATACAAACACATGTACTGAGATAGAGTATAAGTAAACAAACACATGTACTGAGATAGGGTATAAGTAAACAAACACATGTACTGAGATAGCGTATAACTAAAAACGTTTCAGTTACCCAGTGGAAATGCCCTCCTTCACCAACACACTGGCATCTTGTTTTTTAGTCTTCACAACAGGCCGTTTTGGTTGAACATCTAGTAGTGACTCATCCACATCATCAAACCATATATCTGGTGGTCTGTAAAAAAACAATCAAAGGACTGAAAGTACTGAAACAGGGAAAATAAAAACAGTGTTTAAATACAGTCCACATCCTTAACATCAAACCATATATCTAGTGACCTTAAAACCATAGTAATTTAACACTTGAGTCCACACTCTGAACATCAAACAGTATATCTGGTGAACATAGTCCACTCCAAACAAAATCCTTTGTTAGCACAAATTCTGAATTTTACTTATTGCGACACCTATATTACATTGTAATACATTACATCTGAACTCCTGAATATTCCTCTGCAATGAAATATAGGGTTTTATCTACAGTAAGAGGGTAAGACATATTTTCACTGAGCTTTTGATATTGTCATTTATTTTTGACCAATCAGATCACAGTATTTTGATATTTTCATTTATTTTTGACCAATCAGATCACAGGAACTGCTGTTAAATTATTCAGAATGACAACTTTTGTATTGATAGCCTTATAATGTGGTAGGGAACCTTCAATTCACATGTAATAATCATATTCAACAGAATGTTTCATGTGTTGTATTCATTTATTGTGTGTTAAATATTGTCCAGCTAATTAAAGATAATACAGCATGGATATAACTGACATATTCAAACTGGATTAATGAAAGGTGTGAAAAAATTGTACTGATAGAATATTCCTCGTTTCTTATGCACATTTTTGATGAATATCAAAGTTTCCATTTCACAGGATTAAATATGATATCCTCTTTTTCTGCTGCAATGATTCCTAGAATCAACGTATGATATGTGACTAACCTGTGTACATAAAAATGACATCGCATTTTCAATTTCTTTTCAGAAACTGTGATAAACATGGATAGGTATCTGCTTATTGCAAGGTAAACAATACATTAGAAAATAAGAAAATGTTCTGTATACCATTTGCTTACATTCAAGCACTTTGAGTATATTATACTCACTTTTCTGGTTCAATTTTCACTTCCTTTTTTCTTGAGTTTTGTTTTTTTGGTTTCGCCACTGGTAAAATTTTCTAAAACAGAAAAAGAGGAAACTTTCCACACTTAACAAACAGATGAAAGACATATTTTGCACAGCACAGTGCAACTGTAATGTATAACAAATATCACCTTCTTGAAATAATATATAGCATGATATAACATTCTGTTTGCTGTTCAACAGATAAACTTTAGGATATTTATACTTGAAAATATTTGTGCATTTTGCTCATCAGGAAAGGTACAGATTGATTCTCTGTATGAGTGAACAGGTTTAGTTCATATCTATCAATTTATTCCGAGTTAAAATCAATACACTATGTTATGATAATAAAATACCAGCCAATTTCTACCATACAGAACTCACTAAGGAGTCCTGATGTGACTGAGGTTCTGAGATGAAGGATATTAACTTTTAACTATCTAGGAATAAAGTGGACTCGTTACCTGTTTCAATTGTTCCCAATTAGAAGAGAAATCTTCTGGACGACTTGGAATTAGAGTAGGTTTTTTGTCTGTCTTTAAATGAACACTTGTATTGTTTTTTTCTGTCTCTCCTTTATCTTTTCCTTTCACATTGTTCATCTGTCTTTTTTTCTTTAAAACTTTCATATTTCGTTTTTTTCTATCTTTTTTTCTTTTTGAAGATGTCTGTGTTTTTGATTCCGTCTTATTCTCCCCATGTGACTTCTTTAACTCATGCTTTTTGGCTTCTGACCTTAGGTCACTCTCTGTGTGATTATTTTCCTTCAATGTTTTTGCTGTGTTTGCTATGTCAACTCGCTGCCTTTTCTTGTCACTTTGGATCCTTTTTTCACTTTGAAAATATCCTTCTTCCCTCTTCCTCTTCATCTTTTTGGGCTTTTCCATACCATTAATCTTCAATCGAAAAAAAAAATTAATAAACTAAGTCTATAAATATGAATGAATATATTAAGAATATATGTAGAAATACAAACTGATTCCCACAGTACCTCATTAAAAACACAACCACATATTCCGGTACATCTCAAGTACATATACTTTGTTTTTGCAAGGAATGGGGAAGTGAGTGTAAATTCTAAAATGCAAGCACAAACAAGCACAAATTATCTGTTATAACAACGATATATCCTATTTTTGGAGTTACATGAACAACAACATGGATTCAGTGCATATTTTTGTAAAGTCATCTGTATTGTAAAATTGATAAAAGGCAAAGTGTTCAAATTTTAAGTATACAAAACAATGAAGTAAAACCTAAAATCTGGCTTTTGTGGCTGCAGGAGCATGACCCTAAACAATACTTATTCTTGAAAGCCATGTTGATTAGCTGATCATAGGATTACTACAGGATTATGTATGAGGTGAGGGATTCATGATTAAATAAATGTACTAAGTCTGTGAATTCACTTATCAAATGTTCTAACAGGATCTGGTTTTTAACATTTTACTATGTCTGCCATTAAACTGTTTTGAGATACATGTACCGTTTTGTGTTGAAATATAAAGATGTCCATTTTGTTTCAAATTTGTGAAAGAACTTTGTGTTTCTACTATAAAGCAACCCCGGATTCGAGTAACTAATTACTCAAAGGAGTATATATCCCTCACATGCAGGACTATCACTCATAGACGAGGTTGTGCCCAATATCAGGGAAGTCTATCAACACATAAAAACAGCTCGTGTAGTGATTCCAATGCATTTCTTTTGAGATGATTGAAAAAAAATAACCGAAATACATAAAATAATGAATTAACTGTTACATTTTGTAAATTGACTCTGCACTCTGTCAGCTTGACATAAAAGAAGAGAACCCGAGAAAGAAAATAACTTAAAGATAAATCCCATGTGATACCACACGTACCTTTTCGGATCCTAGGCGCAGACATCTTGAAATCACGGAGAAAATATATCCGAGTTTTTGATTGGCTAATTTTAAACGGGGTACAGTAAATGATAAAATTTAAAGTAGGAAACTTGAGAGAAATCACAATCACACATATTGAACGATAAAAATTTACGTACCCTAGTTTTGACCAGAAGTGATTTATTTTGATCTTAATCAAATAATTAACAATTATTGTCTCAGCATATCAGCCTTATTCAAAACGATATATAGAGTTATATCAGACTTATGAAAATAACTGCAAATTTTGAACAAAATCACTAAATAAATAACAACAGATACTACCAATAACAGAACAGCTATTTCTAAATTATCTCAATTCATGCATGAAGTCCTTTCCTGAAGCAGCTCATCAAATTTCAAATTACAAATTAATTTGACAAGGAAACACGTCACACGTAACTGCTTAGTTATGGATGTGTAAAGATAACAAAATTTATTTAATTGTGGGCCTAGATAGCACCTCCCCATCTAGATCTTGACATATTTAATCACTTTGGATTTTCTTCAGTTGCTTATCAGGTTTTTTTATCTATATACATCAGTTATGGAAGTAACCTGTCAGGTTTGAGAAGGTGACAACTGTTATCAACTCTCCTACTGTACATCTATCTCCATCAGTTATTGAAGTAACCTGTCAGGTTTGAGAAGGTGACAACTGTTATCAACTCTCCTACTGTACATCTATATACATCAGTTATTGAAGTAACCTGTCAGGTTTGAGAAGGTGACAACTGTTATCAACTCTCCCTGTACATCTATATACATCAGTTATTGAAGTAACCTGTCAGGTTTGAGAAGGTGACAACTGTTATCAACTCTCCTACTGTACATCTATATACATCAGTTATTGAAGTAACCTGTCAGGTTTGAGAAGGTGACAACTGTTATCAACTCTATATCCTACTGTGACAACTGTTATCAACTCTCCTACTGTCATCTATATACATCAGTTATTGAAGTAACCTGTCAGGTTTGAGAAGGTGACAACTGTTATCAACTCTCCTACTGTACATCTATATACATCAGTTATTGAAGTAACCTGTCAGGTTTGAGAAGGTGACAACTGTTATCTTCTCTCCTACTGTACATCTATATACATCAGTTATTGAAGTAACCTGTCAGGTTTGAGAAGGTGACAACTGTTATCAACTCTCCTACTGTACATCTATATACATCAGTTATTGAAGTAACCTGTCAGGTTTGAGAAGGTGACAACTGTTATCAACTCTCCTACTGTACATCTATATACATCAGTTATTGAAGTAACCTGTCAGGTTTGAGAAGGTGACAACTGTTATCAACTCTCCTACTGTAGATCTATCTCCATCAGTTATTGAAGTAACTTGTCAGGTTTGAGAAGGTGACAACTGTTATCAACTCTCCAACTGTACATCTATATACATCAGTTATTGAAGTAACCTGTCAGGTTTGAGAAGGTGACAACTGTTATCAACTCTCCTACTGTACATCTATATACATCAGTTATGGAAGTAACCTGTCAGGTTTGAGAAAGTGACAACTGTTCTATAATCTTAAAATGCAAATCTAATGGAACTATTTTACAAGTTCCAACTTTTCAACTGAGAGTCCGGTTTCATCAATTGAGTCCTGCTGGCCCAAATATAACATTGTGTAGACCAGTTTGAAAAGCATTGAAGAATGTTAATGTATGAAACAATAAATATGCAATTAACAATAAAAACACTGAACAGATTGTACTTAAGAGATTTAATCTTTATTTACAAAATTTGTGGTGCAGATGATGAACAAGACTTTGCAGTCAAATGATAATTATGACAACAATGTAAGTAAATTTTCTAGGATTATAATATTTGCTGGTAATTAAAAGTAGATTGACTACATGCAGACCATGTGATGAGATTGTAAGGATGATGTAAATTATCACACGACTGTTTGTTTATATTAAAAAAAAAAGACTAGTCACATTCACAAATTTTCTATTTTTATGCCTGAAAATTAATTGTAAATATATCTAAAACTGGATCTGATACCTGAACTCTCTGAAATTATAGGCTTTTTCTTGCTTGATATAGACATATAAGTATATATGTTAGCTACCTGGGTAGTATACCTGGTTGTTTCTGATTTCTAGGAATGAAATAGAGAAAATTAACTTTATATCCATTGCTAATTACCTTTAGTTAATTATAGTGACTTTGATCAATGTTTAAAACAAAATATTAAAATGGAGATTAATATGTTTATAATGGCAAGACGAAAGTATAAAAATATGACAATGATAGACAATAAATAGGAACCATAAACAATGAGGGGTGTTTAGAGTACCTATATAAGTCAATTAAAATACACATTTCCCTTGCATTTCCCTCGCATTTCCCTCATGGAAAAATGAGTTAAATGCATTATATTAGCAAAGCCAAGGAAGAGAAAATACAGGTCACAGTGACCTACATGCCATATATTGATAAAGTACATAAAATATAGGTCACAGTGACCTACATGCCATATATTGATAAAGTACATAAAATATAGGTCACAGTAACCTACGTGTGATGTAGGGACAGAGCAGTAACCTACATGTTATATATTGACAGAATATATGGAATATAAATCACAGTAACCTACACGTGGTGTACTGACATACTACATCAAATACAGGTCACAACGACCTACATGTGATGTATTAACACAATACATAAAATACAGGTCACAATGACCTACATGTAATGAATTGACACAGAAAGTAAACAGAATATAAGTGATGATTATAAACTTCTTACTTAATCATCAAAGAATGACCGTGTTGAACTTTAATGGAGAACATAACATAAGTTTGTAGATACAGAAAACATTTAAACCACTGACACAGAAAAAAATCCCTGCTAAACTTGTTTAAGAATTAAATGACAGATGACCATTCAACATAAATTGGTAAAACTAATTAAAAATTGCAATGAAATCCCAAGGATATTTTCATGATGAGCCATTATTTAAATACCAATTGGATACATTGGGAAAAAACCTTATTATACACAGGCACAGGTGAGAAACAATATTGCATTGTCTGAATTGACTACAAAACACACATGCAATGTGGACATTTTCTGTATACCAGTGGAACAAAACCCAAATGTCACACATAAACAAAAATAAATGTGGAGATAAAGAAGTGATTCCTGAAGAACTGATGGTTTTGATGCTTAGTATTCACCTGAACCCTGCTAGTTTTATACCGTTACATTTATTTGGAGAGAATATGAGCTGACTTACAAGTACTACACATAAATATAGTATCAATTAAATACAACAAACCTAAAGAGTGGATGACTATATATACCAGTCCCTCTACTATGTATACTAACAGGGAGTACAGAACATTGAAACAACACTCTATTTTGGCCTCACACAAGAACATCTATCTACAAGTATTTCCCCAGTATCTTACACACTAGACAATTGTTGCACCATTCACTGCCACAATACCAGAATGTGATATAGTATACCAAATGAATCAGATTGTGTTGAGTTGTCTCCCTTGATAGAGCTTCCTGAGTGCACAATACAAATTAGAAGATATCTTTGTTTTCTATCAGAATCATTTTCCAGTCAATCATTGACCGCTAAAATTGTTGTTCATTATGTAACCAGATCACTTCTATAAATTATTGATGAATGCATTTTATAAAACAAGACTTTGTCACATTGTAAATATACAAAACAGGACCTTGTCACATTGTAAATATACAAAACAGGACCATGTCACATTGTAAATATACAAAACAGGACCTTGCCACATTGTAAATATACAAAACAGGACCTTGTCACATTGAATATACACAAAACAAGACCTTGTCACATTGTAAACATACAAAACAAGGCCCTGTCACATTGAATATACACAAAACAAGACCTTGTCACCTTGTAAATATACAAAACAAGACCTTGCCACATTGTAAACATACAAAACAAGGCCCTGTCACATTGTATATACACAAAACATGACCCTGTCACATTGTATATACACAAAACAGGACCTTGTCACATTGTAAATATACAAAACAGGACCTTGTCACATTGTAAACATACAAAACAAGGCCCTGTCACATTGTATATACACAAAACATGACCCTGTCACATTGTATATACACAAAACAGGACCTTGTCACATTGTAAATATACAAAACAGGACCTTGTCACATTGTAAATATACAAAACATGGCCATGTTACATTGTAAATATACAAAATAAGACCTTGTCACAATAAATGAGACCTTATTGTTAAAATGTGTATGTATACTATGAAACAGAAATAAAAAATTTAAAAACAATAAAATGGTCTTTCACTATTAATATACTGTAATTACGATTTCACTTGAAAAAAATATCAAAATTTAAATATCTAAAAGATAGCTGGCATTGTTTTTTTTTTATTAATACAAAAAAAATGTCTAAATAATATAAATGATTTTTACAGCTACATATCAGTTGAAATTGTGAACACCTTACCCTAACAAAAACACCTAGATATACAGGTGTAAAGGTGATTTCACATTAAGTTATACTCAAGTCTATCACACCAGCTTGTATAACCATATTGCTACTAATGCATATTTCATTTGCAAATATCTCAAATGTTTTTCAAACATATGGTGACAAAAAAATGAACATCTGGAAACATTTTAGAAACTGTCACCTTCAAAAATGATATATATTAAGGAATCATAATTCAATATTAATTTTTAAAGCTTTTTCAATAACAGAGCTGTATTTGGCATCTATTAATTTTTTTCATCACTTTTCAATTAGAATTTACCATAATCAGCATTAATCTATGGCACTAGAATGTAAAACAAATTACACATCACATCAATTTCTTTATCATTATTTACTTTAAAAATTGAACATTTCACCAACCGTAAATTTATTTGATTTCCCACCTTGTAAAATCATATTTCACTGTGGTAATATTATATAGACACTGAAGTGCTCTGTAATAAGGTTGTACCTAAGCTATCATAAAGTGTCAAGACCACTGTCTTGTTAAATATGTCTCAAATGTTTCCTAGGGTTCCAAGAAACCATGACATTTGTTTAAAGTATAACAGTAAATTGTTATCAATGAAGATTCAGGATTTAAGACCAAGCTAGAAGTTAGTATAAAGGCTTAACACACAAACCTTCACTATAAGGAGGTATTATAGAAATGCTGCCCTAGAAACACAACATGGATTGGAAACAAGTACTCCACATTTATCAACAACAATTATTTCTATAAAAAAAAACAACATTTTTTATGAACACAATGCCACAACACTCCCTTTTTTCATAAAAAAATTCATGATTTTAAAACTGTTTTGAAATTACATTATATATTAATAATTTAAATCTTCATTTTGGAATAAAATTACCAATTCAAGCTTATTTGTTTAGCATGTTTCATAAAGACATCATGAATGACAGAACTGTCAGGCACTTTTTAAAAGGTTGACATTTATTGTAACATAATCACCAATATAATACATCAGTACTGGTACAAAATATAGGGATTAAACATATCCCATTATCTCACTACTGGCAGGATGACCATATATGGGCATTATTACATTACTGGCTGAATGTTACAAAATGCCATTTTCACTTATTTGCTATCACTGAAAAGTGATTTGTTTAGGTATTCAGAGAAATCATCCAGCACAGAGAAAACAGATGATTTTCAAGACCGGGTTTTGAAAAAACAAGAAATGTGTAATCATCAGGAATGTATAGAAAAGTTAATGACTTTGATTTTTATTAATGTGTATATCCTAAAACTGATACAATGTCTTAACTTTCATCGTATTATGAAATGTACACTGCTTAAGCTATAAACTGAATTCATTTTTTCACAAATATATAGATAAAAAACAAAAAAAAAACAAGATTGGCATTGCAGAAAAAACGAGATTGAAATTCCAGAGAAAACAAGATTGAAATTGCAGAATAAAAGAGATGAATGTTGGATAAAAGTACTTCATAAAATTACAAAGATTCTAGTTAATCTCTGGGACCATTTAAGTAACTTTCTTGCAAGAAATGCTGATGTCCTGAAGGGCTTAAACATTACAAAATTAACTGATGGTCTGAAGAATCACAAACTGAACTGATGACTGATAGCACGGAGCAAGTCACAAGCTGCGCACTTAAAGCCTTCATTGGTCATAAGCAATCCCCCTACCAAACATTGTACACACAGCTTGAGCAAAGCTTTCCTCAATCACCTTTTTACTCTCTAATATATACATATAACTTACTCTCTAGTTTGGAACATAAAAACAACTATATCATACATATAACTATGTACAAATGATGACACTTAATGAGTTACCATGGAAACAATCATCAGACCACACTTTCGTTCTTTTGATTGTCTGTGATTTCCTTCAGAACCTCCCATGACGATTTCTTGGGCAGGAGGTTAGTTGTGTCATTATGGACGATGACTGGCGCAGCAGTATCGCTTCCTGAAAGAGACCCTGACTGATGGCCATTGGAATAAGGTCCTGATGACGGAGGACCAGACATGCTGTCCATATTAATTGCATCCATGTAGGATGGTGGCACACGCTGCATTGTCTCTGTCTGTGGCACAGCTGCCATTGCGGCAGGAAAGGCCATGTTGGAGTAAGCCTGATTCACAGCTCCAGGCTGCTGTTGTGGTTGACCTTGAACAACCGGAATACCAGGGTGGCCTACATGTGAGGGAAGATTGTAAGTGAATACTGAACTAGCTATAGAGCCTGTCTCTGTCATAGCAGCCTGTTTCTGCTGATGGTCACCATCTGTCATCGCGCATAACGTATCCCAGTTGGACTTACGGGGTTTGCCGGGAATGTGAGCTGGTTGCATTGGAACATGTCCTTGCTGTGGGACTTGTTGCACTGGGTGGTGTATTGGCTGTCCTGGGAGTGGTTGTCCTGGGATTGGTTGTCCTGGGATTGGTTGTCCTGCCTGAGGTTGCATCATGTAGCCAGTCTGCGGATTGACACTGTATGGAGCTGTGGCATTAGGGTAACCAGCAGGATAGGCCTGAACTGGCATACCTTGTGCTGCCCCAGGATACCCACCAGGAACCATCTGGGGAGGCATTGTTCCTGGGGGCATGTTGTATTGGAGGTAAGGTTGACCTGGTACCTGTGGGGCTGGTACTTGCTTCTCTTCTCGTGGGACAGCTTTATCAGCATGGGACAAATCTTCACGGGATTTGGCTCGTTTTTTCTTTTTCTTCTTTTTACCACTATCAGAGTCTTCCGCTGCAGCGACAGTACTTACTGAGTTTGTTGACTTCCTAGGTTTGGGTTTAGGTTTAGGTTTGGGTTTTTCCACACTGCTCTCTGTTTCTGTCTCTGTCTTCTTCACTCCCTTTGTAGTCTGTGTCCCAACAGCCGACATTGACTTTGATCGTCTCTTTTTCTTCACCACACGTTTTGGCTGCATGATAACCGACTGTTCAAGTCCAGTCTGTGTGGCAGTTTCACGCAGCGTCTGCGTCGATCTTTCTTTTGTATCTCTCCCAAGTTCACCCATTGAACGGAACATTCTCTCCTTATCACGACGACTGATTGGTTGCTCGTAACCATCTGTTTCATCATCATCATCATAGGCCTGTGAGTAGGAACGAGAGTGACGTCCTATTTCCATATCATCGTGGACATACGTTGATGCAACAGACTCGGTGAAGGAACCTTTTCTGCCTCTACGTCGATACAGTGACGAACGTGAAGCGTAGAGAGACTGACGGGATGATGACCGTGTAAGAGCTGAAAAATGAACAAAAGTCACCATTAATATCGTACTGTCAGAGGTAGTCATGTGGGATAACATCTACAGAGGTAGTCATGTGGGATAACATCTACAGAGGTAGTCATGTGGGATAACATCTACAGAGGTAGTCATGTGGGATAACATCTACAGAGGTAGTCATGTGGGATAATATCTACAGAGGTAGCCATGTGGGATAACATCTACAGAGGTAGTCGTGTGGGATAACATCTACAGAGGTAGTCGTGTGGGATAACATCTACAGAGGTAGTCGTGTGGGATAACATCTACAGAGGTAGTCGTGTGGGATAACATCTACAGAGGTAGTCGTGTGGGATAACATCTACAGAGGTAGTCGTGTGGGATAACATCTACAGAGGTAGTCGTGTGGGATAACATCTACAGAGGTAGTCGTGTGGGATAACATCTACAGAGGTAGTCGTGTGGGATAACATCTACAGAGGTAGTCGTGTGGGATAACATCTACAGAGGTAGTCGTGTGGGATAACATCTACAGAGGTAGTCGTGTGGGATAACATCTACAGAGGTAGTCATGTGGGATAACATCTACAGAGGTAGTCATGTGGGATAACATCTACAGAGGTAGCCATGTGGGATAACATCTACAGAGGTAGTCATGTGGGATAACATCTACAGAGGTAGTCATGTGGGATAACATCTACAGAGGTAGTCATGTGGGATAACATCTACAGAGGTAGTCATGTGGGATAACATCTACAGAGGTAGTCATGTGGGATAACATCTACAGAGGTAGTCATGTGGGATAACATCTACAGAGGTAGTCATGTGGGATAACATCTACAGAGGTAGTCATGTGGGATAACATCTACAGAGGTAGTCATGTGGGATAACATTTACAGAGGTAGTCATGTGGGATAACATTTACAGAGGTAGTCATGTGGGATAACATCTACAGAGGTAGTCATGTGGGATAACATCTACAGAGGTAGTCATGTGGGATAACATCTACAGAGGTAGTCATGTGGGATAACATTTACAGAGGTAGTCATGTGGGATAATATCTACAGAGGTAGTCACACATATCTTTTCCACTGTCCTATTATATGCCCAACTATATACATATGAATGTATTTTTAGTTGAAGTAAAGTAAAAATCTATGATATTCTTCAAGAATTAGAACAAACTACATTTCATTACTGATGACAGTGGCCTCAGAATTACATGTGTCATAGAAAAATTTTCAAACCAGTCAGCATTGTCTACAAGGATAACTACTACTGACTTGTATCAGAAGATAACAGACTATAGTTGATATTAATCAGCCTTATTCAAAAGGTTAATAGCAACTGACTTACAAGGTAGGGAATTCAACTTACGAGGTAGTGATTCCAAGTCATACATGCTGTTAGGCGTTCCTGGCCTTGAGTCTTCTCCATCACTCCTGCCTTCACTCTTTCTCCTCCGATGACCAAACCCGTCACCACGGTTACCGAGCCGTGGAGATTTCTGTGCTCTTTTACTGGCCCTTGCGGTATTTTTCTGGAAATTTCCAGATGTGGGTTCATATTCCTCCAGTTTCATGTCTTTTTTGTTTCCCTTTTTCTTGCTTTTGTCAGGTTTCAGGGAATGCTTAGTGTTTGGTCTCTGATCATCCCTACTTGCGGCTGTCTCAGCAGACGAGGGGCCGCTGTCGTCTCTGTTAGCACTTGCTTTAGCTATTTGATTAAACTCTTCCTCAGAAGAAGATGCAGTTCTATAAGCTCTACGGATACTAGCATGATTCCTCCTCTTATTGGTCGGGGATTTGGACACAGGAACAACTGGAAGTGGAGGTGGAGAGTCTCGTGATACACCTGATGACCCTAAAGACGAGGAAGAGGAAATTCTCTTAGCCCTCTCCTCTGCATCTCTGTTATTATATGCGTTTGACGCTTTGAATTTTGCGTTAGATGATAAAGCTGATAAAAATGGAGATTTTGGAGGTCTTTTCATATCTTCAGTCTTATCATACATATCATCATCGTCCTGAAAGTCAATATTCGGCTGTTTACTGTGTTCACTTTGATTTTCCTCAGACTTAGTACTGGAGTGGAAGTTCAGAGTTTTAGGACGGGAACTTGGGCTGCTGGAGCCTTCTGTCTCTGACAAAAGTTTGGTTTTAGCTCTCGGAGATGCCTCATGTGTGTAGCCATTTTGTACAGCATTATTTGTAAATCCTACACTAGTAGATTGTCTCCCCTGCTGATCCAAAGGCTGCTTTGCTTGATTGGCCTTGTATAGAATTTTAGCCTTCTGTGCACGGCGATGGCAACACACAGCCAAGATAGCAATAAAGAGGAGCAAACAGAAGACACCTGCTACTATCCCCACTATCAACCCTACTTCTGATGGGTTAGCATTGTCTCCTGGCAAAACTGGGATGGCTGTAAAATATCAATATAAAAGTCAGCAAAAAGGCATCAAATCAATGGAGTTATTTTTCAATCATTTTCAATGTACTACACCTGCAGCTCAATGATTCCATCAACTTAAGAAAAACTTCTAGTAAAACAAAAGACAAGCATACATCTTATTTTCTTAAGCTGCATATGACAGAGGACATTTTCAAAGCTTATCTATTCAATCACAAGTACTGATTTCATAAATGGAAGTTCAAACATTATTTCTAAATTTAGGACAAATAAAGCACTCAAATTCCAACAAACAGATTTAATGCCACTGATTTATCTAATAATTTCTAGACTTTAAATCCTAGATAAAAATTAATTGTGGGATTGGACATTTCCAAAATATTCTTCCATACTTATTGACATCGAAAGATATTCCAAAATTCTTAAGGGGAAAAAGCGAAAGAACAAAAAAAAAGACAAAAAAGAACGAAAGAAAACATCATCACCATACACCTACAAGCTACATAAAGAAAAGCCTTAGGATCCAAAGTAATTCATTTGATGAATTCTTATCTTGTTCAGGTAAGGTTATTGGACAAGAGTTAAAATCATGTAAAAATGTGCAACACAAGACAAAAGCACATGCATTCTCTATACAGAAGTACTATAAAGTTGTTCATTTTTCACTTCAATTCTAGAGGATTGAAAGGCACTATGTTATCCCCTCAATATAAAATTTTGGCATCAAATCTTTGATTAGGTTAATCAATTGTATAAAAACATCAACCAATTTATTCTGATATTTGTCAAAATATTTATAAGTTCAATTTGATAACAATATTGATCATCATCATACACTACATTATGAAGACCTGACTGATCTCCAGATGACCAACCAATCAAAGTGCTCATTTCTCTCGGCTCTAACCATGGTTGGTAAATATCAAACACATATGAGAAAAGTGTCCGGAATCTCCACCATGCCAAGATGACTACATCCATTTTAAGCTGCCTTCCACCAAAAAATAAGTGTTTTCATTGGATAATGCTTTATCTGCATTCTCATTTTTCATTATCGTAACTAAATCTGAAGGAAATGAAATCAGACTTTATATTTTCATTATCGTAACTAAATCTGAAGGAAATGAAATCAGACTATATATTTTCATTATCGTAACTACCTCTAAAGGAAATGAAATCAGACTTTATATTTTCATTATCATAACTACCTCTAAAGGAAATGAAATCAGACTATATATTTTCATTATCGTAACTACCTCTAAAGGAAATGAAATCAGACTTTATATTTTCATTATCGTAACTAAATCTGAAGGAAATGAAATCAGACTTTATATTTTCATTATCGTAACTAAATCTGAAGGAAATGAAATCAGACTATATATTTTCATTATCGTAACTAAATCTGAAGGAAATGAAATCAGACTTTATATTTTCATTATCGTAACTACCTCTGAAGGAAATGACATCAGACTATATATTTTCATTATCGTAACTACCTTTGAAGGAAATGAAATCAGACTATATATTTTCATTATCGTAACTAAATCTGAAGGAAATGAAATCAGACTTTATATCTTCATTATCGTAACTACCTCTGAAGGAAATGAAATCAGACTTTATATTTTCATTATCGTAACTACCTCTGAAGGAAATGAAATCAGACTATATATTTTCATTATCGTAACTAAATCTGAAGGAAATGAAATCAGACTATATATTTTCATTATCGTAACTAAATCTGAAGGAAATGAAATCAGACTATATATTCATTATCGTAACTAACTCTGAAGGAAATGAAATCAGACTTTATATTTTCATTATCGTAACTAAATCTGAAGGAAATGAAATCAGACTATATATTTTCATTATCGTAACTAAATCTGAAGGAAATGAAATCAGACTTTATATTTTCATTATCGTAACTAAATCTGAAGGAAATGAAATCAGACTTTATATTTTCATTATCGTAACTACCACTGAAGGAAATGAAATCAGACTATATATTTTCATTATCGTAACTAAATCTGAAGGAAATGAAATCAGACTATATATTTTCATTATCGTAACTAAATCTGAAGGAAATGAAATCAGACTTTATATCTTCAACACTGCTTCAACTGGTTGATTCATCAATTCATCTCTTTCCTTCCATTTGCAACACAGCTAAAAAGGCATATGAGAGATGAGTTTTGATTGGCAGAGGAAGTCCTGTTGTATTGTAAACATGTAGGTCATCTTAATGAGACCCTTTACAGGTCACCATCAGATCTTCATAACATACTGTATAATGATTATCTGTACTTTAATAAGATGCTACAATTTTAAAGTTTAATATTTTTTCGTAAATTTAAAAGACTCTGGAATCATTAAAATATAGATCACAACTACATGGTACATAGATAGAAAGGACAACAATTGAAATAACGGGATGTGCTTAATAATGAGCGTGGGCTTATTGCAGGTAAAATACATAAATATATGAAGGATAATATCAAGTGAAACAAACTAAACAAAACGTAAATAAACTGAAGTAAAACTGAGATTTAAACTAAGAATAACCACAACAAGAAGGTCAGAGGTCACCTACATCCATGTGGTCCTGGTACAACAGTTGAAGGAAAAAAATATGTAAACATCACATCAGTACAGGTGTGGAGCTATAAAATTATCTAATAAAACAACATATTCTTACCATAACATATTAATTGTATCTGTTTTGCAAAAAGCCCAGGGAGATAAAGAAATTAAGCCATTATTTCTTAATTACTCAAAGCTAGGGGTGGACCTTATAAAGGAAATGATATGACATTGGTTAAAATGTTACAGAAGAGCACTCTGCAGTACATTAGAGTGGGCTTATTACCAGACATGGGCTTATTACCAGACGTGAGCTTATTGCTGGATAAATACAGTCTGTATAAAAAACACTTTTCAGTGTGATTTTGCTCATTTCAAAAAGTAAATCTTGTATAATGATTGCTTATTATGAGTTCAATAACTTTTTTGTAAGTGGAATACAACAACAAAAGCTTACAAGGTGTTTCAGTACCTTAGGACAGTACCAGTGTCTCTGCAGAATCTAAACTATTACAATATGCTGACAGACAACAAAGGCAGCTAAGATTAAAATTGTATGTTAGTGTGACTCTACAATAAATACAACTATTTTTGTTTGGAATGGAATAAACTAAGAGAAGAAAATTGAAAAAGACTTTCCAGAGAAAATAGGATTACAACACTCTGTCACTTACGTTTTGTGCTTGTAAGGAGGAACTGAAACTTGTACGAGGAGAAATTATCTCCTCGAAGAAAGTTCACCGTCACCTGACGTGTGTTTGTGTATATTTGTCCAGGGTTCTTTGTACCGCACCGAAATGTCTTCTGCAACACAAAAAAAAACATTTACTTCCAGCTGCTATATTCTTACATCAATGAATAATTCACTGCTAACTCACTTTTTACTCATCTCTCTTTATAATATTATTTCTATTTGGTGGAATTTCACTCTCCGAACATAGTATTGTGAGATTTGCATAAACATGGTTATTCTATATGGACAATTCTCCTAAATAAGAAATGCAATGATGTGTATACAATCATCAAAAACATATATATGAGATACTATGTCCTGTCCACCATGAATTAATACTTACTATTTCGGTGCTGTAAATGAAGTTAAGTGTGATGGTACAGTCAATGAGATTAAGTACTGTTAGGTCAATAGTGAGGATATGCTCAGGGTTGGTGGCACGGAAAACAATACTACAGGGATTGGGTACGTCTGTGTTTATCAGAATGCCCCCATTGACCACGACAGGTGCCCCCTCCGGCACATCCAGGAATCCAGCGTAATCACACTTCTCCATGTTGTCTAGCAATTACAAACACATAACATTAAAATTTACTCCAAAGTTTTAATGAGAATCAATAAAATTACTCATGTTTGGTGTGATGGAGGGATCTCATCCCGAAGGAGAAGAATATTAAGTAGGCAAACAAGAAGATATCCAAGTGCTTGAAACTTCATAATCGTTCTTCGATGGCTGAGGTAACCCAATAGCTATCACACCAACCAGGAATTGAATGATTGATTCACTTAACCTTTTGACCTTCTTATGTATGTTTTAATAACTCAAAGCTTTGCATTGTTAATGTGATGTCATAACTTTCGTTAAAATGGGGAATCCTCCTGTCTCAACCCTATGGTTAGACAAGGAAATCCTGAATCACCTGAAGTATGGATATATCTGTCCAGGATGAAACATGAAATTCTCCTACCCTGGACAGGTAAATCCACACTTTTTACCATTGTGAGAATCCTTTGTCTCATCTCTAGGGTTGAGATGGATGATTTTCCTATCAGGACAAAGATACCATGTCACAGTAACAATTCACTGATGTCAAGCAAATGATTTAATTCACATCATCAATCACATCACATCTAGGATGCAAAGCATTGGGACAACAAAAACACATACAAGTAACTAATAAGGCCAGCAGGGTACAAGAAAAATAATCAATAGCCCCCTTGTTGGCAACATTGGGTGACCTCAACCCTCAGGAAAAGATGTTTAAGTTGCAAACTCTCTGCAAGACTTGTGCTTACTAACTTCATCATCTCTAACCAAGGGTTGAGATCCACTGATCTCACCTCCAAGGAGGAGAAAGATTCTATCAATCCCAAACCACTTAAGTATGGATACATCTCAGTCCAGGGTCAGAGATTTAATGCATCTTTGAACACAATACATTACAACATTTTAAATTTTTTCAAGACTTTGTGAAATCACAAAATTATAATTTTAGACAAAAAGATATAATCTTGTTCAATACCTAAACAGACCCCGAGACATGTAAAGATACTTACAGGTGTTGGCCTCTGTGCCCTCCATCAGGAGGAGAGCACAAGTACACAACAGTATCTCCTTCCACATTACAGCCATCAAAAGGTCAGGTGATATCAGGTAAAGTTATCAACATGCTGCTTGAGGTGAATATCAACAGGTGAAAACACTACAGGTAACTCTCACTGTAAAAGTAAAACAAATATCAGGTAATTCAACACATAACTCTCAGTTAATTTACAGTATGGACATGGGTAAACAACATGTTACCCTCAGTTAATTTAAAGTATGGACACATGGGTAAACAACATAATTGTTTATCATTTCTCGGTTCCCAGTGGTGCTACATCCTGTTTATATAAACTTGAGTTGTACCCAAGAATGTTTTAGGCCATAACTATTTAAAAGCTCTTCATTATCCAAGACAGATTCCACAGATTTACTTCTACATGACTGGCCTGTTCTTCTGCCCCCTAAGGCTTAGACCTGGAAGTTTTCTTCACCTAAGGATGCTTCAGACTGACATTCTATCATTTCTGCAAAGGATTTGAGAGAATTTTCTACAATGTAAATGTACCTGGCTCTAGGGGACTCACACTATCCTTCATGCATAGCTGAGTCCATTCAGCCAAGTATTACTCCAGACCATATTAGTCAAAAAGATTTTTTTAAATTTGCCTCTTTTCCTCTGCAGGTGGTCTGATACACTGAATAAAACTAAAAAACCTGAAAGATTTATCAGACCAATATCACTTCGTCAAAATAGCTTTATTCCAAAAGAAGCAGACCCCACCCAAACCCCAAAAGTTGATGAATGGTTGACATTATCATTTGTGCCTGATGAGCTTAATCCAACTCCCTCCCTAAATCCTCATCAAGTTGTTGCAGCTCAAATTTGATCTCTAGAGAACAGCTAACGAGTATATCATATTTATTGTAGATAGCACAGATATACCATGGCCATGATAAAGTGAATCATATAAACACATAAATAGCAAAAAATAGGTCTGGGGTGGGGAAATTTAAGGTGGGGCTGGGGGTTCACTTCACCTTGGCCATGGTAAAGTGAAGCATAACACTATTACCTTACTAATTAACTTTTTTTCATTAATTGTTTTGCAATTCACCCTGATTCAATTATATAAACACATAAATAACAAAAAATAGGTCTTGGTGGGGAAATTTAGGGTGGGGCTGGGGGTTCACTTCACCTTGGCCATGGTAAAGTGAAGCATTACACTATTACCTTACTAATTAACTTTTTTCATCAACTGTTTTGCAATTCGCCCTGATTCAATCATATAAACACATAAATAACAAAAGATAGGTCTTGGTGGGGAAATTTAGGGTGGGTTAACTTCACTTGGTGACTCCAGAGACAACCACAGTCCATGTTTGAAATCTACATGGAAACATTTAAATCTCCTTTAGCTTGAACACTTGGGAGTGGTCAACAGAGTTGTTACAGAAAGGAGTAATGAATAAATTATTGTCACTGCTAGGGTTTGAACTATCAAGTCTTTGGTCTTTAGCCAGACACTACCGCCTGACTAAAGGGAAATTCACACTAGCTAAGGCCAGAGACGTATATATCACATATGTATGTCTCTGCTAAGGCTAATAATTATAAGGCGATCTGTACACTCAACTTCAATATGTCTCTATATAGTTTTCTTAATTTAATTATATATGGGTCAAATATTACCTAAAAGTTAATAATTCATGAATTCCACTATAATTGACAAGTGAATCAGCGATTATGGTCAGTTTGAAACATTGGTGAACTTGTACATACCACATACATTTTTATGAACGAACATGTATATATACGTATGAGCAATGATATATGTATCCAACATAAGTCAGGTATATGTACACCTTCCCAATTAAGTCTCAATAAGGAAATAGAGTACGCGAGCAGAAGTAATACACTTTCTATAAACCAACCAACCCTACATAACCTTTTGAAAACACAATATTACACTTCCGGTTGTTTGAAAAAAATGCGAATTCCGAGATTGTTTATTCCAATTTATCTGATTACAGGTAAATCAAAGTATGGTTGACATATCAAAGGTATGACGATTATTTCTAAAATCTAACTATTATTATGAAATACTTATCAATAACGTATATTTTCAATTAACAGCTTTTCTCTTCACATTACCTGTCTTATTGTTGTTTGGTCAACGACGCCATTTTGGATTCAAGCTAAATTGTGTCATTTTACCTGAGGCGAAAGGTAAAACTAGTCGATAAGACAGGTGGATCAAGTAGTTAATACATTTGATATATTAAGATGAAATGCCGATGTAATATATGGGAAAATAATAAAGAATACGTGTAATGTTAAGCTGTGATATTAGATCAATTTTATGTAAATATCATTTAATTTCTATATTTTAGATCGCGTTACCTGTGTATCGGTTAATCGTGCCTCTTTTGTGATATCATCATTATATATCATCTACATGTTATCAATTAATCATAGGAAACATACCCTGTTTACAGAAATCTTGCAACCTAGCCAGCCACAGATGTAACATATTACTCTATCAGATTATCATAGAAATCTTATTATCGTGCTTTAATGGTATGAAGCTATATATAGACGATATGTCACACTATCTCTTATTCTCTACCTGGGAACGTCATCAGTTGCTGTTTTACCTCGGAACATTCACATGAGAGTACCACGGACTTAGATACCGACATGTACAACCAAGTACACGAGATTATAAAAAGAAATCTTTAAAAAGAGTTCAGTGGCTTAACAGTCCTATCTTGGGTCGCAATTTTCAGCACGATGTCGTCACCATACAACAAATGAAGAAGTGGAGTGGCGGTCTCTAGATCTGTCTGAATCAGACGATAGTGTGTAAATTCATTTAAAAGCTGTTTGTCAGAAAGTGCTGGTGATCTCCGCACTTTATTGTTATACTATTTGAGATAGATACGAAATTAAACTTGGATTTTGACAATTACAGGTTGTTATTGTTGTGTTGTTCAGAGACGTATATATCACAAAGTGAAGATTCATATAGGTACTATAAAATCAATAATTTTCGTGGGCGATTTATTTTCGTTGTTCTGATAATTTATATGTCCACCACCTGTTAAAGCATTTTTTATCGAGCTATATTTATCGAGGATTCGAGTGTCCATCATAACTAAGAGAATACTTGAACTTGAACAATCAGGAAAATAGAGTCCCACGTAGATAAATGACTTTAAAACACTTAGTTTGTTTTAAGGTTTGCACGGAATTGACAATGTTACTGTTAGTGACGTGCGGCTAATCGTCAGTGCCCACTGATTAAACAAAACAGCAAACATAAATTGTTCTGGTTGTAGCCTTCAGTATACGATCGCTTATCTTGTCAGAAGCAATATCAGTTTGATATCTTGTGTCCAAACTCGTCGTATATATTTGATGCGAATAAAATATGTTTAAACTTAAGGCAACTGCCTTTTCTATATCAAGAATAGATAAAATGTAAGAAACTTCGCTTTTCTCCTATAGCAATATCAGTAAGAGAAAATTGTCCTGCGAAAACTGGTGGAATGGAATTGGCTGAGACATTACACGGAATTAAGGTGAAATAGTTATTGAGTATTTCAGTTTTGTCCTTGTCGCTAGAAAGCCGTTACTTGTATAATCTATGGTAGTGCTAGACCGTGATTCAGTATTATTGAAAAAAAGTCTTGTTTTAGCTTTCTATTTCATGATGTTTTATAACTCTATTTCTTTTACATTTGAATTAAGACCAATCATCTTGGCGCTTTGAACTAAATGCATTTTTGCTTTAGTACGTTACATATATGACAATGTTTCGTAGGACTGTTAAACTATGGTTTATCTGAGGGGCTTGAGCAGTTGAAGGTCTGTTTCCTAAAAATCTCCTTTTTCTCTTAAGTTGCCTATTTCATTTTGAGACTGATTGGACTTCGGAAACATCCTGTAATTTTAGGGTCATATGGAAAGAAAATGATGTATTCGCAAAATAATCGATGAGGGTTCTGGGGCCGCTTAAAACTCCAGGACTCCAGTGGGTCCATGGTAAAGGCATGATATATATTAGGTCAAAGACGAGAAACTTCAAACCCAACGCCCTATCACCCACCCCCTTCCCGGGTTAACGCATAGTTCGTGTAGTGACGTGCGCATAATAATGAAATACCCATAATTTCACCTGTTGTCAATATATTATGACGTCACAATTAGCTGACGTCATATTCATTGTATCACGGCGATTTCCCCCATACAACGCGGAGGACAAACTGGTGAGCTGTATAACATTTTTCTAATTAAGGACGATTTATGGCAATTACTGCAAAATATCTCTTAGAGAGAGAGAGAGAGAGAGAGAGAGAGAGAGAGAGAGAGAGAGAGAGAGAGAGAGAGAGAGAGAGAGAGAGAGAGAGAGAGAGAGAGAGAGAGAGAGAGAGAGAGAGAGAGAGAGAGAGAGAGAGAGAGAGAGAGAGAGAGAGAGAGAGAGAGAGAGAGAGAGAGAGAGAGAGAGAGAGAGAGAGAGAGAGAGAGAGAGAGAGAGAGAGAGAGAGAGAGAGAGAGAGAGAGAGAGAGAGAGAGAGAGAGAGAGAGAGAGAGAGAGAGAGAGAGAGAGAGAGAGAGAGAGAGAGAGAGAGAGAGAGAGAGAGAGAGAGAGAGAGAGAGAGAGAGAGAGAGAGAGAGAGAGAGAGAGAGAGAGAGAGAGAGAGAGAGAGAGAGAGAGAGAGAGAGAGAGAGAGAGAGAGAGAGAGAGAGAGAGAGAGAGAGAGAGAGAGAGAGAGAGAGAGAGAGAGAGAGAGAGAGAGAGAGAGAGAGAGAGAGAGAGAGAGAGAGAGAGCATATGTTACTGAAGATTCATGTAGAGGTTTTAAAGTTCAGCTGATTTCGTTAATAGCCCGAGTGGAATTCGGAACTATTGTTTATCTACAAAATAAATCAACACCATTTTTTTTCTTGAAAATCGAGAAATTTGAGCTTCACGAAACCGTGCAATTTTAGAGTATTATCAGTTGGAGAAATAGTCATGCAATTAAATGAAGTTCCTCTATTTCAGATTTTTGGTTGTACGATCAGGTTATATTGCATTTACGTCATGACTCAGCGACGCCACATTGTAGTTGATCCCTCTTCTAAAGATCAAAAGGTATGTTGTCTTCACAATCATCATGGAACGATTTACATAAAATACAAAACAGAAATGTTTGTGTTGTAAATTTGCTTGTTGCTGGCTCCTAACATTGAACGACACAGCGCAATATGAAACGACAACGATAAATACATTTGTATTTTTTAATTGTGCTTCACAAAGACATACGTTTCATTGTTGATAGTACTGCTTCCTGCAGGTTTTCACAATAAAACAGGACTACGTAAATTTGAAGGGGATCTACTCATAAAAGGAAATGTTAAATGTTGTGTCGTATCAAGGGGAAATAATTAAGCATTTCGTACACTTGAGTATAAGAGATTACATAGATGTAACTGCCTTGTGGTATAAACATCCTCAAATTATTCTTAGTTGCAGGACCTTGCGGATGTGGCCAGTCTGGATGGTACAGAAGGGTGCCCAGCTCCACTGTTGGGAAGGTGTTTGTTGGGATGTTACTACTTTTTCAGACCTAGTAAACGACCCATTATTTACGAGATTGACCCAACATTATTCGTGGAGCCCGTTTGGACTGGAGCTCATTCAACTGACGTTCAATCAAACGACGAAGTGGTAATCGACACATTAGTGGAATCTAGGCCACTGCGACTCATGTCTACGATATTCTCCAGCACCTTGGCGCCATCTACCAGCCATCCACAGGTCAAGCTACCAGGTCAGCTACCCGACGAATCGGAATCCCCAGCTGAATTAATTTCGAGGCAGATGTTAGAATCACAAGTTCAGATTAATGAACATACCAAAGGTTCAATATTAGCTAGTTCAGAGAAAAGTGTGCAGGAAACCATGGAACTGCCCGACGTGTCGGCAGCCGATGGCGAAGTAGGTAAACAACAAGCAGTTAAAAAGACCCCGGATGTGTCCGTACACCGATATGAATGGTTCCGATCCACTCTCGGATGGACCAACTCTGTGTAACTATCACAATAGTGATAGCTACAATCATCATAAAATGTTTAAATTGTCTCACCAATACTTTCCAATGTAATTTCTATTTAATGTACCCACAATGCAACGGGTTGTTTGATAGCTTGATCACGTACATGTACATTAGCAACAATCTTGTGCGCACTTTTTGAGTTTTTAAGAAAGTGTTTGTCAAATAAGTCATCAAGTGACCACTGATGTGGTCATCTGGTCAGATGTGAACGGTTGGTTATCATTTCTATCATGTACACAAACCATGATTGCTGTATCCCAATAAAATATTGATGATTGCTGTCTTATCATTCCAATTTATTAATAAATAACAGAGGAACTAGATAGTTTTGAAAAGACGACAACTTCATATAGTTTTTTTTTCAACTTCAAATCACATCGCGCAAAAAAATACGTTCGTGATTGAAAATAGCAAACTGTCATTGAAAGACTTAGTTGAAAGAAGATTTAATTATGTTGGTGTGGTAATATCGCATTTCGTACATTGAATATCATAACATTGAAATTGCAAAAATATCACTGACTTGTTGCTTGGAAATTAAAAACATGATGTTGCAACAACCTAGCAAATGGATTATATAAAACATTGACATATTGACAGCGATCTTAATGGGAAATAAAAGGTGCGAGCTCACCGAATTTCGAGATTTGCTCGGTACTATGTATGTGTTTTGGATTGAAGTGTTGCCACTGGAGTGGTCGTCAAACCACAACACTGATAGGTCACGGGCCTGATCGTCAAACCACAACACTGATAGGTCACGGGCCTGATCGTCAAACCACAACACTGTTAGGTCACACCTGATCGTCAAACCACAACTGTTAGGTCACCGACCTGATCGTCAAACCACAACACGGTTAGGTAACAGATCTGATCGTCAAACCATAACACGGTTAGGTAACAGATCTGATCGTCAAACCATAACACGGTTAGGTAACAGATCTGGCACCGGTTGCTGAAAGCATAGTTAGAGTTGACTGATGGTAAGTGAAGAATTTTAATTGTTGCCACAGACAACAATCAGGACTTTCAGAGCAAAACTAGCACTGAAAATATAAATCTGACCCGTATCAACAAACCTGTCGCTGTGAAATGATACAGAATGTGTCATTGAAAAAATGAAATGACTATTTTCACTAATAACTGGTTAACTCATAACCAAAGATTGAGCAATTGGGACCTGACACACACAGAAGACAGTCACTTCGTCTGCTAATAACTTCAGGGTAAATAAAATCAAAACAAAGACTTGAGGTTAAAGCAATTAGTTTTAATAATTAACAATACTGAATAATTAATAAGATACAATTAGTACTGATATAATGATGGATGAACGTGCAACTGAAAAATATATAATCTGTTCTCTGATACTAATCAGGGTTGGTTAAGATACAACAATTTAACAAGAGAGCACATACTTACAAATACAGTCATACAAAAATCATATCACCAGACAGAGTGACACCATGGCAACAGTTACTACCGAATGAAAGGGGCATCATATAGTTATTGCATTGTATCAGGATCGTCAAAGCAGCAGTGACTACCCGATGATAGGGTCGTCATAGCAACAGTTACTACCGATGATAAGATCGTCATAGCAACAGTTACTACACGATTATAGGATCGTCACAGCAACAGTGACTACCCGATTATAGGATCATCATAGCAATAGTTACTACCCGATTATAGGATCGTCATAGCAACAGTTACTACCCGATAGGGTCGTCATAGCAACTGTGATTCCCGATGATAGGATCGTCATAGCAACAGTTACTACCCGATTATAGGATCGTCATAGCAACAGTTACTACCCGATAGGGTCGTCAGAGCAACAGTTACTTCCCGATGAAAGGGTCGTCATAGCAACAGTTACTACTAGGTGAGAGGGTCGCAGTTACAACAGTTGCTACCATTCGATAGGTTTATCATAACAACAGTTATTACCAGATGAGAGGGTAGTCATGGAAACAGTTACTATATGATGAGAAGGTTGTCATGACAACAATTACTCCCGGTTGGTAAGGTTGCCATGGCAAAAGGTAAAATACATATATGGAAATCATAGCACAGTAACTACTCAATGACATTAACGTCATAGCAACAGTTACAACCAGACGATGATTGACAGGGTTGTCATAGCTACATTTACTACAGGGTGATAAGGTTGTCAAAGGAAAGGTTAATATCAGGCAACAGGATCACCACAGGAACAGTCACTACCAAGTGACTGAGTCGTCATAGGTACAGTCACTACCAAGTGACTGAGTCGTCATATCGTCATAGGTACAGTCACTACCAAGTGACTGAGTCGTCATAGGTACAGTCATTTACAGGAAACAGGATCGTCATAGGTACAGTCATTTACAGGCAACAGGGTCGTCATAGGTACAGTCATTTACAGGCAACAGGGTCGTCATAGGTACAGTCATTTACAGGCAACAGGGTCGTCATAGGTATGATCACTTACAGGTGACAAGGTCGCCATAGAAATGGTCACTTAAAAATGACAAGGTCATTTACAGGTGACAAGGTCGTCATAGCAACTGTTATTAAGAAGCCACATGGTTTTGATAAAACAGCTGTAAATTTGAAACAGCTGACAGAGAGATTATTCATACCAAATTCCTGGAGAGAAATGATGGAAGTGGTTCCTTCCTGGATTTTCAAATTGAAAGCCAACTATGGCTACAAAAATAAGCTAACGAGAACATGGCTTCTACAATAACAAGGACATCTGGTTAAGAGTTATTGGAAAAGAAAATGGAGTTTGTGTCTCCAGAGTTATATCAAAATTAATTATTTGAGGTAGCCTTACTGAAATAGAACTGATTCATAAAGCACAAGGGACGTAAAGGTTCAGAAAACAAGTAACAAAACCTGATTTTGTTGTTTATGAATGGTATCAGTTTTATACCCTGACTTCAGATCTTGTCAGAGTGAAAGATGACAGGGTTGTCATAGCAACAGTTGCTACCATGTGGTAGGGTCATCATAACAGGTACAAACAGATGATAGGGTTTGGGGGTGGATTGAAGTGAGGATTGGAGAGGAGACAGCCAATGGAAAAAGAGTGATTGGGGCTTTGCGAGTTTGGGAGAGGATGGAAGTGAGGATGGATGAGGATGGAAGTGAGGATGGATGAGGAAGGAAGAGAGGATGGATGAGGAGAGCCAATGGAAACAGAGTGCTGGGGGCTTTGTGAGTATGGGGGCGGACTGAAGCAAGGATGGGAGAGGATGAAAGTGAGGATGGATGAGGAGAGTAGCAATGGGAAAAGAGTGCTGGGGGCATTGTGAGTATGGGGGCGGACTGAAGCAAGGATGGGAGAGGATAGAAGTGAGGGTGGATGAGGAGAGTAGCAATGGGAAAAGAGTGCTGGGGGCTTTGTGAGTAAGGGGGAGAATGGAAGTGAGGACAGGAGTAGAGAGAGCAAATTTAAAAAGAGAGTTGAAAGCTTTGTAGGTCTGAGGGAGGATAGGAGAGGAGAGCAGATGGAAAAGAGAGCTGGAAGGGAAATGTTCTCCACAAGAGGAAGGAAAGCAATACATATAAATGACTTCAGCAGTAGATAATACCCATACCAACACTGCAATATATATAGATATCTACACTAAATATTACAATCTGTACTATCATCAAGCAAATCTACAAACATCAACAAAATCAGCCAACACAGTAACAAAAATCATTTGACAGAATTATCAATCTCTTGTATGTGTTATATATGGGGAAATCTTACACTAAACAGGACTGGATAATGGTGTCAGGTGACAACACTGTTGTGTAGTGCTGGAATAGCAAATATACATGATTGATTGGCAATTTGTTTTATCACAATATCAGCATGTAAACAGCATATGTACAACAATCTAACGGAGGTTCGGTATTCTTCCATACTAAGGCTTAAGGGGTTGTCTAAGGCTTTTATTGTGTCTCTTTAAGGGGCTGTCTAAGGCTTTTATTGTGTTTAAGGGGCTGTCTAAGGCTTTTATTGTGTCTCTTTAAGGGGCTGTCTAAGGTTTTTTTGTGTCTGTGTTTAAGGGGCTGTGTAAGCGTTTTTTTTTGTGTCTGTGTTTAAGGGGCTGTGTAAGCGGTTTTTTTTGTGTCTGTGTTTAAGGGGCTGTCTAAGGGTTTTTTTGTGTGTGTTTAACGGTCTGTCTAAGGATTTTTTTTGTGTGTGTTTAAGGGTCTGTCTAAGGATTTTTTGTGTCTGTGTTTAAGGGGCTGTGTAAGCGGGTTTTTTGTGTCTGTGTTTAAGGGGCTGTGTAAGCGGGTTTTTTTGTGTCTGTGTTTAAGGGGCTGTCTAAGGTTTTTTTGTGTCTGTGTTTAAGGGGCTGTCTAAGGTTTTTTTGTGTCTGTGTTTAAAGGGCTGTCTAAGGGTTTTTTTGTGTGTGTTTAAGGGTCTAAGGGTTTTCTTGTGTCTGTGATTAAGGGGCTGTCTAAGGGTTCTTTTAAGTCTTTTTAAGGGGCCATCTAAGGATTTCTTGTGTCCAGTTAGGGGACTGTCTAAGGCTTTTATTGTGTCTGTTTAAGGGTTGACTCTGAGGTTTATTGTGTCTGTTTAAGGGGCTGTCTCTGAGGTTTATTGTGTCTGTTTAAGGGCTGTCTATGAGGTTTATTGTGTCTGTTTAAGGGCTGTCTCTGAGGTTTTTTGTGTCTGTTTAAGGGCTGTCTATGAGGTTTATTGTGTCTGTTTAAGGGTTGACTCTGAGGTTTATTGTGTCTGTTTAAGGGTCTGTCTCTGAGGTTTATTGTGTCTGTTTAAGGGCTGTCTATGAGGTTTATTGTGTCTGTTTAAGGGTTGACTCTGAGGTTTATTGTGTCTGTTTAAGGGCTGTCTATGAGGTTTATTGTGTCTGTTTAAGGGTCTGTCTCTGAGGTTTATTGTGTCTGTTTAAGGGTTGACTCTGAGGTTTATTGTGTCTGTTTAAGGGCTGTCTATGAGGTTTATTGTGTCTGTTTAAGGGTCTGTCTCTGAGGTTTATTGTGTCTGTTTAAGGGCTGTCTATGAGGTTTATTGTGTCTGTTTAAGGGTTGACTCTGAGGTTTATTGTGTCTGTTTAAGGGTCTGTCTCTGAGGTTTATTGTGTCTGTTTAAGGGTTGCCTCTGAGGTTTATTGTGTCTGTTTAAGGGCTGTCTATGAGGTTTATTGTGTCTGTTTAAGGGCTGTCTCTAAGGTTTATTGTGTCTGTTTAAGGGCTGTCTATGAGGTTTATTGTGTCTGTTTAAGGGTCTGTCTCTGAGGTTTATTGTTTCTGTTTAAGGGTTGACTCTGAGGTTTATTGTGTCTGTTCAAGGGCTGTTAAAGGGTTTTCCTATGTATATCGCACACTACAATTTTTTTTAAAATATTCTTATAATAGATAATTTGTCAATATTAAACTCAAGCAAATCTGAAAACATAAAATCAACATGGTCTACCCTGAAAACACATTCACTTCATAATGTATCAACATCATTGACAATGAGAGGTCAAAGGTTAGCCTAACAACTGTAAACAAGCTAAGAAAGCTACTAAACACTACTCAAATCTATGGTAGTTTTCTTATAAAACAAATCTGAGAATGACCCATGGGCTGAGGTCTGTATTGTACAGGTGTACATTCTGATTGATGTGATAACCCTACTTCTGAGGAATATCATTTTAGGGGTAAAAAGAAATAAAGATAAATTGATTTTTGAGGTAAACTTGAACTTCCTTCAATAATCTTATGCTAATATCAGTTTAATAATAATATAATTATTTATTTGTGCCAGAGTTAACACCATTAAAAAGAAATTATCTCCTAAAACAATGGCAAATTAGCAATTAAGGACTGTACAATATAATTCAAATGGATAAATCTCTTCTCTATTCTGTAGTGTTGAGGTAGCTGGGTGAAGTGGATTTCAAAAATATAACAAAGGTTGAACTGATCAAATAAAGGACCAGGTCTGGAGAGGTTAGACTGACCTACCTAAACCTGATTACAGTAACAGACCAGGTCTGGAGTGGTTAGACTGACCTACCTAAACCTGATTACAGTAAAGGACCAGGTCTGGAGTGGTTAGACTGACCTACCTAAACCTGATTACAGTAACAGACCAGGTCTGGAAATGTTAGACTGACCTACCTAAACCTGATTACAGTAACAGACCAGGTCTGGAGAGGTTAGACTGACCTACCTAAACCTGATTACAGTAAAGGACCAGGTCTGGAACAGTTAGACTGACCTACCTAAACCTGATTACAGTAACAGACCAGGTCTGGAAATGTTAGACTGACCTACCTAAACCCGATTACAGTAACAGACCAGGTCTGGAGTGGTTAGACTGACCTACCTAAACCTGATTACAGTAAAGGACCAGGTCTGGAACAGTTAGACTGACCTACCTAAACCTGATCACAGTAAAGGACCAGGTCTGGAGTGGTTAGACTGACCTACCTAAACCTGATTACAGTAAAGGACCAGGTCTGGAGAGGTTAGACTGACCTACCTAAACCTGATTACAGTAAAGGACCAGGTCTGGAGAGGTTAGACTGACCTACCTAAACCTGATTACAGTACCAGACCAGGTCTGGAACAGTTAGACTGACCTACCTAAACCTGATTACAGTAAAGGACCAGGTCTGGAACAGTTAGACTGACCTACCTAAACCTGATTACGGTAAAGGACCAGGTCTGGAGTGGTTAGACTGAATGTTGTGTGTATTTTGTAGATTAAGTGTGAAATATCTTGACCCAATTCTCCATCTGTCATTTTTAAAAATTTATCTGTGGATTTCGACTATATACTACATACAAGACTCTTTCTTACATACCAAGTAAAGCACATTATACTGTGGTCTAGCTACATTGTGATTCTATATATGTAGCTGTGGTTTGTGTCTGGATAAAGAGGTGAATTTCCTCGGAAATTTGACAATTGTTCCTACTGTCATTATTACTTTATTGATCATATATCTTTTCCAGTAATACCCATCCAATGAATATTTGTTTGTTAAGATCCAGCATCAGCATTGCACCATAGATATCACTATGTGTAGATTTGTTGAATTGTAAATGTTCAATGCTAAGATAGATTGTATGTTATATTATTAAGTTGTAAAAGAAAATGTGTTAATTCTAAACTTTATGTTGCTTCTAAAAACTTTGTACAATATAACTCCGTGACATTTCAAGGACAAAACATGTTGATTAAGATAAAAGGTTTTACAAATATCATATGATGTCCAAATTGTATCTTCATTTTTATATCTAAAACAAAATGTGCCATTCATTTTCATTACGGAATATTTGTGATTCTCTCTCTCTCTTTACCTGTTAACAGGAGAGTTGATGAATGAAACTATATGGAAAGGAAAATGCTTTTATGAAAATATTTACACATTACTGAGATAAGCCATAAATATAACTACTGGCATTGGTTACAAATAAATAATCACTGAATACACACTCCAACATGATTGAAAAATGATTAATTATTGATGAGAAACTAAATGTACCCTCGAACAAATCATAATGGTCCCACAGCTAAAACAATAAAAATAACCTGAAATATTTAAACTACTTCATCAGTCTGAGCAATTCTAGCTCCTGGTCATTGTAGATACACAGTATTGCTTGGTCTGTTTACATTCCAGTGTAAAGTAAACTAATGAATCCTCTTCTGTTTCAATTGAGGCAGGTAATCATATTAATAGGTTGTCAAGATCACAGTCTTGTTTTTCATTTCATGAAAAAAATATTTATGAGGGTGAAATGGTTTGTGGGTCGAATCACAGACAATCACCAAAGTAAAACCAACATCAATTCTGAAATCTTCTAATTCAAAACAAAACTAGACTGATACATGTATTTTCATTAGCTTGTCTTACAAGACAGTTGATTGATTTCTAAACCCTCCACATCCTTTTCTTTGAGTACTCTATGTTTGAGGTGAACATAATACATTACCTATAGTAATGGTGAGAGGAAGCTGTTTGACAGTCCCCTCTAGATCCTAGAACTGTACATTATATATTTTTGAAATATTTATCTGTAACACAAACAGTTATTTATCAACCAATCAGCTAATAAACTGTTGTCAAAACCCGTTATTTGCACTTTTCTCTTTGACAAAGGAAACGGCTGTCTCTGAAGGATTGCAAATACAGTTTTCTATTGCTGATTTTGTTTGTAATAAACATAAAACATTTACACCAAACAGACGAATGAAATCTCCTGTGGATAACATGGTTTCACAGGGAAATTAAATTGTGATTTCAACTGTATTTAACTTACCTAACCCCTTAAGAAAAATCTAGGTTTCGTTTAAAAGTCTTTTACAAGCAATCAATATCATAAAATAATTACCATAACTAAGTACAGTTTGTGTCCCTCCTTGTTAAGCATATAAACGACTATAATTATTTTAGACATTTCATCATATCTATTTTAAACCTGATATATTCAAGTGCTCTAACTGCTTGGTGGCTGTAAAATCTTATTTCTTAATATCTTTTGTAAAAGTGATTTATCACGAGACGAACTGAGTGACACATCATCAAATTTATCACTTGATCAACTTCCTCGGCTGTTACGAATAAAATGTCTCTGCGATAAAAACATTAAGTCGAAAAGTAAAAGTGTTAAAAGTATCTATGCTTGTCCAAAATCTTTTGATCAGGACTTGGCAGAAAGCCGTTTGCCTGCCCCAGATAAAATTTTTTGTATTTATATAACACAATATATTGGACATCATGAATGTCCATATCTAATAAAGATAAATGTAAACCTCCACAACATCAAGTCATTCTAACTATTAAAAGTAGCACACATGATTGTTCCAACGTTGACACAGCACCAAATCCACACCAGAGTTACTCCCGTTTGATTGACGGACACGCGATGGGATTTCCTCACAAGTTGTAACAGTTGGTAGTGTACTCTCAGTTTTCTGTCCACATGTTGTTGAGATGGTCCCGATGCACAGCAAATACACAGAAATGTAAACATTAGCACGCAAGATGAAAATAAAAAATATTGATATCAATTCTACATAATACATGGAACCTCATCTTCGTTCATAAGGAACTGTACATCTATCGTTTTCTATACAGATGTCAAAATTTGTAGAAAATATATTTCCCCAGAACCATGTTAAACTGTAACAATGGAAGAAGTGAGAATTCGGCACAGAGCCCGTGTCTACCGAGTCTCATACACGGAAAACACATCTGGATAGAATGTAAAATATCAAAAGAAAAACAACAATGTTATCCATTTATATCCATACACCAAACTTACACCAGCAGGTAACCATCACACCCACACATCCCTATCCCCTCACACACCCACACATCCTCATCCCTTCTCACACACTTACACACACCCTCATCCCCAAACATATACACACATACACACACTTACACACACCCTCATCCCCAAACATATACACACATACACACATACGCTCACATACATTGTGAGGTATCATTTCACGGATCCATTTTTATGCAGTATTTTGGCGTGTACTTTAGAGAGTTCACTGTTATTTGTGTCACTGTCAGATTCAGAAATGGCTTTCAGATTAGTAGATTCACTCTGAAACAAGAGAAACATATATGTAACAATTGACAATGGCTATATCATCAAATATCAGTAAGAAAATAACATTTTCATTCTTCAAATGTTGAATTTTTGTTAATTTTTATACCTTTTTTGATTCCTTCAAGGACCATGAAAAGTTGATACATTGTAAATAAACTTTAGTTTGCTTGAGGAGTTACCTCCCTTTGTAGCCATCTTTTAGTGAAATAGTGAAAGTCATTGAAAATAACTAGACAGCAATGAAGATGCAGTAAGCATTAAACATATTTTGGGGATATAGAGTCAACGCTACAGAATCGTGATAAACTAAGGCTGTCAGGTTCAATTGTAACAAATGTAGGTAGGTAAGTAGCATTGTTGGTAATGTTGACCAGTTTTAACCCAAGCAGAAGGCTTACTCAGGACCCTGTCTATTGAACAGTGGGTAAGGTCAAGAAGAAGCAGACTATTAGGGTGGAAACAGTCTACATCATCAACAAGAGATCCCAGAGAGATCTTCATATGCTCACCATTATTTGGTCTTGATTTGGTCTTTAAAGGGCACAACTAGGGACCAAGGGGAACTTTCAAATGAAATATTAGGAAGTTCCATCCAGTATTTCACAAGAAACTGCTTCCAAAACACTAGTGATAAAAAACATTCACTGTCAAAATCCAACGTGGCTGTCTATCAGCGATTATGTTTCTCTGATCACTTCAAGCAACAAAGGGGCACAACGAGGGACCAAAGGGGACCTACACATAGAATTAGAGAAACATTCATGGAGCACTTCACAAGAGAGAGTGATATAGTTAGAACAGCTTCACAGTTCCATCAAAATCCAATATTGACACTTGTCGCTATCTCTTTTATCAGTCCTTAATTATTTATACATAACCAGAGATCAAGAGAAATCTATTTCTGAAGTTTGGAAATGATCCATGAAGCACTTCTCAAGAAACAGTGATAACAACAATTGCTTAAGGACAGACAGATGAATGGACGACAGACCCGAGATGGAGGGTTACTTGATGATGTAGGCAGTATAATGAGGTGTTACTTGATAACCAGGGCAGTTTAACAAGGTGTAACTTGATCATGAGGGCAGTAAAATAAGGTGTAATTTGATAAAGAGGACAGTTTAATAAGGTGGGACTTTATAAATAAGGCAGTATAACAAGGTCTTGCTTTTTAAGATGGCAGAATAACGACTTGTAATTTTATAAAGAGGGCAGAATAATGAGGTGTTGCTTTATAATAAAGGCAGTATAAACAAGCATTGTTTTTTATGATGGCAGTTTAACTAGGTTTGATAGAAAGGTACCTCTGACACTTTTCTGGCCTGCTTTTCCAGTTTCAGTTCCAGACTGGTGCGTTTGGTTGACTCTCTCTGTGCCCATTCTTGTTTTTTCTGTCGTTCTTTCCTCTCCTCTAGCACCTTGTTCAGTTCTGGTTTTTGTAGCACATTCTTACCCCTGTAAAAATAGGTCCGAGTTTTATTTACAGGAACATCGTCTTTTATACAATATCCCTTTCATTACTCAAGAAGAACCCTGCAGGTTTTTGTATCTATGGCATACACAGTTGATCTACTGGAACCTGAGAGGAGACAATGTCATGTATCTAAGGGTCAGAGTCAGTGATCAAGCTACGCACTAATTACTGCTATTCTTTGTGTTTTTTTTCTTTGAGAAGGCAATAAACACGTTGATTCTCCTCAACCAAGGTAACAATACAGGCCAAACATGGCCTGAGAGAGATATTAATGAAGTTTAATTCCTTTGGGAGAATGTGAAGATTCTAATTTCAATTTTGACCTTTAGATTTCAAAGTTTCTTCCTCGGACTTTATGTCCTGGATTATAAATGGAAAGCTGGTGGTGGACAAAAACTGCATCCTGGCATTAGCTTAGGGGCACTGAAATATCAACTGATCAAAACCTGACCTTAACCTCACTGAAAAACTGGAATGTAATTGATGATGCTTGATTCCTTTGGGAAAAAACTCATGTCTCCAATTTCAACTTTGACCTTCAGATTTCAAATTATTCTTCCTTAGACCTGATGTTATTGTAATCAACCATGCAACAGGTTTTCTGATTTTTGACACCACACGAATGAAAGGTTTAAAAATAATGTGTCTGATACAAAAACCCACAAAGACATGTTTCTCAGTACAGTAATATCTTTAGAAACTCTTTCACTTCACTAAATGTCAAGTACATTATTTGTCCACTGTTAACATTTTCATCAATCTTGTCAAACTGATAGCATGAAAGTTCTCTACCAGCTCCTACTAGTTCTAACTTTACTTCTCTTGATGTGTTCTAGAGATGTGTTATAGAGATGTGTTATAGAGAGATGTATTATAGAGATGTGTTAAAGAGATGTTATAGAGATGTGCTATAGAGACATGTTATAGAGATGTGTTATAGAGATGTGTTTTATAGATGTGTTATATAGATGTGTTATAGAGACGTGTTATAGAGATGTGTTATAGAGATGTGTTATAGAGAGATGTATGATAGAGATGTGTTATAGAGATGTTATAGAGATGTGTTTTATAGATGTGTTTTATAGATGTGTTATAGAGATGTGTTATAGAGACGTGTTATAGAGATGTGCTATAGAGACGTGTTATAGAGATGTGCTATAGAGACGTGTTATAGAGATGTGCTATAGAGACATGTTATAGAGATGTGTTATAGAGATGTGTTATAAAGATGTGTTATAGAGATGTGTTATAAAGAGATGTGTTATATGGAGATGTGTTATATAGAGGTGTTATATAGAGATGTTACAAAGATGTGTTATAGAGATGTGCTATAGAGACATGTTATAGAGATGTGTTTTATAGATGTGTTATATAGATGTGTTATAGAGACGTGTTATAGAGATGTGTTATAGAGATGTGTTATAGAGAGATGTATGATAGAGATGTGTTATAGAGATGTTATAGAGATGTGCTATAGAGATGTGTTATAGAGATGTGTTATAGAGATGTGTTTTATAGATGTGTTTTATAGATGTGTTATATAGATGTGTTATAGAGACGTGTTATAGAGATGTGTTATAGAGATGTGTTATATAGTGATGTTATAGAGATGTGCTATAGAGACATGTTATAGAGATGTGTTATAAAGAGATATTTTATAGAGATGTGTTATAGAGATGTGTTATAGAGATGTGTTATATAGAGATGTGTTATATAGAGATGTGTTATAGAGATGTTACAGAGATGTGTTATAGAGATGTGTTATAGAGATGTGTTATAGAGATGTGTTATATAGAGATGTGTTATAGAGATGTTTTATAGAGATGTTATAGAGATGTGTTATAGAGATGTGTTATAGAGATGTTTTATAGAGATGTGTTATAAAGAGATGTGTTATAGAGATGTGTTATATAGAGATGTGTTATAGTGATATAGAGATGTGTTATATAGAGATGTGTTATAGAGATGTGTTATAGAGATGTGTTATAGAGATGTGTTATATAGAGATGTGTTATAGTGATATAGAGATGTGTTATAGAGATGTGTTATATAGAGATGTGTTATAGTGATATAGAGATGTGTTATATAGAGATGTGTTATAGAGATGTGTTATAGTGATATAGAGATGTGTTATAGAGATGTGTTATATAGAGATGTGTTATAGAGATGTGTTATGAATCCTAGTAAAACAAAGACAGATAAGTTCTGATTCCCTGGGGAGCGAAGGGAGTTGTGTTCTACTTCTTTAGGGAGCTAAGAGATGTGTGGGCCGATTCCCTTTCGGCGAAAACAGATGTCTTCTTTTGCCTTAGGGAGGCAAGAGATATGTTTCATGGTTCTTAAGGGAGAGAGATATGCTTTGATTTCCTGAAGGGAGATATGTAACTTTTCTACAGAGAGACAAGAGAGACATGCTTTGATTCCTGAAGGGAGATATGTACCTTTTCTACAGAGAGATAAGAGAGATATGCTTTGATTTCCTGAAGGGAGATATGTACCTTTTCTACAGAGAGACAAGAGAGAAGTGTTCTATGATTCCCTGAGGGGCCAGGAGAGATGTGTTCTATTTCCCAAGGAAGACAAGAGACAAGTTCTGATTCCCACGGGAGCTGAGAGGCACATGTCTGACTATGTACATGGCTCATTTCATCATTACCGAGGTGTATTGATTTTCTCACTATAACGCATGAGAGTTGAAAGCTAACACAACAATTTTTTGTCTTCTTTCACTAGACACCAATAAATTAATTATGACAAACAATACCTTGTTTCAACAAGCTCTCCAAGTATAAAGATCTGTCACTGAGGTCTGTAGTTTTAGAATCACCTTGTGTAAAGATCTGTCACTGAGGCAGTAGTTCTAGAATCACCTTGTGTAGATAAAGGTCTGTCACTGAGGTCTGTAGTTTTAGAATCACCTTGTGTAGATAAAGATCTGTCACTGAGGTTTGTAGTTTTAGAATCACCTTGTGTAGATAAAGATCTGTCACTGAGGTTTGTAGTTTTAGAATCACCTTGTGTAAAGGTCTGTCACTGAGGTCAGTAGTTTTAGAATCACCTTGTGTAAAGGTCTGTCACTGAGGTCTGTAATTTTAGAATCACCTTGTGTAGATAAAGATCTGTCACTGAGGTCAGTAGTTTTAGAATCACCTTGTGTAAAGGTCTGTCACTGAGGTCTGTAGTTTTAGAATCACCTTGTGTAAAGGTCTGTCACTGAGGTCTGTAATTTTAGAATCACCTTGTGTAGATAAAGATCTGTCACTGAGGTCAGTAGTTTTAGAATCACCTTGTGTAAAGGTCTGTCACTGAGGTCTGTAATTTTAGAATCACCTTGTGTAGATAAAGGTCTGTCACTGAGGTCTGTAGTTTTAGAATCACCTTGTGTAGATAAAGATCTGTCACTGAGGTCAGTAGTTTTAGAATCACCTTGTGTAAAGGTCTGTCACTGAGGTCAGTAGTTTTAGAATCACCTTGTGTAAAGGTCTGTCACTGAGGTCTGTAATTTTAGAATCACCTTGTGTAGATAAAGGTCTGTCACTGAGGTCTGTAGTTTTAGAATCACCTTGTGTAAAGATCTGTCACTGAGGTCTGTACTTTTAGAATCACCTTGTGTAAAGATCTGTCACTGAGGTCAGTAGTTTTAGAATCACCTTGTGTAGATAAAGGTCTGTCACTGAGGTCTGTACTTTTAGAATTACCTGGTGTAGATAAAGATCTGTCACTGAGGTCAGTAGTTTTAGAATCACCTTGTGTAAAGGTCTGTCACTGAGGTCAGTAGTTTTAGAATCACCTTGTGTAAAGGTCTGTCACTGAGGTCTGTAATTTTAGAATCACCTTGTGTAGATAAAGGTCTGTCACTGAGGTCTGTAGTTTTAGAATCACCTTGTGTAAAGATCTGTCACTGAGGTCTGTACTTTTAGAATCACCTTGTGTAAAGATCTGTCACTGAGGTCAGTAGTTTTAGAATCACCTTGTGTAGATAAAGGTCTGTCACTGAGGTCTGTACTTTTAGAATTACCTTGTGTAGATAAAGATCTGTCACTGAGGTCTGTAGTTTTAGAATCACCTTGTGTAAAGATCTGTAAAGATCTGTCACTGACGCAGTAGTTTTAGAATCACCTTGTGTAAAGATCTGTCACTGAGGCAGTAGTTTTAGAATCACCTTGTGTAAAGGTCTGTCACTGAGGCAGTAGTTTTAGAATCACCTTGTGTAAAGGTCTGTCACTGAGGTCTGTACTTTTAGAATCACCTTGTGTAGATAAAGATCTGTCACTGAGGTCTGTAGTTTTAGAATCACCTTGTGTAGATAAAGATCTGTCACTGAGGTTTGTAGTTTTAGAATCACCTTGTGTAAAGATCTGTCACTGAGGTCTGTAGTTTTAGGGTCACCTTGTGTAGATAAAGGTCTGTCACTGAGGTCTGTAGTTTTAGAATCACCTTGTGTAGATAAAGATCTGTCACTGAGGTTTGTAGTTTTAGAATCACCTTGTGTAAAGATCTGTCACTGAGGTCTGTAGTTTTAGGGTCACCTTGTGTAGATAAAGGTCTGTCACTGAGGCAGTAGTTTTAGAATCACCTTATGTAAAGATCTGTCACTGAGGTCTGTAGTTTTAGAATCACCTTGTGTAAAGATCTGTCACTGAGGCAGTAGTTTTAGAATCACCTTGTGTAAAGATCTGTCACTGACGCAGTAGTTTTAGAATCACCTTGTGTAAAGATCTGTCACTGAGGCAGTAGTTTTAGAATCACCTTGTGTAGATAAAGATCTGTCACTGAGGTCTGTAGTTTTAGAATCACCTTGTGTAGATAAAGATCTGTCACTGAGGTCTGTAGTTTTAGAATCACCTTGTGTAGATAAAGATCTGTCACTGAGGTCTGTAGTTTTAGAATCACCTTGTGTAGATAAAGATCTGTCACTGAGGTCTGTAGTTTTAGAATCACCTTGTGTAGATAAAGATCTGTCACTGAGGTCTGTAGTTTTAGGGTCACCTTGTGTAGATAAAGATCTGTCACTGAGGTCTGTAGTTTTAGAATCACCTTGTGTAGATAAAGATCTGTCACTGAGGTCTGTAGTTTTAGGGTCACCTTGTGTAGATAAAGATCTGTCACTGAGGTCAGTAGTTTTAGAATCACCTTGTGTAGATAAAGATCTGTCACTGAGGTCTGTAGTTTTAGGGTCACCTTGTGTAGATAAAGATCTGTCACTGAGGTCTGTAGTTTTAGGGTCACCTTGTGTAGATAAAGATCTGTCACTGAGGTCTGTAGTTTTAGAATCACCTTGTGTAGATAAAGATCTGTCACTGAGGTCTGTAGTTTTAGAATCACCTTGTGTAGATAAAGATCTGTCACTGAGGTCTGTAGTTTTAGGGTCACCTTGTGTAGATAAAGATCTGTCACTGAGGTCTGTAGTTTTAGAATCACCTTGTGTAGATAAAGATCTGTCACTGAGGTCTGTAGTTCTAGAATCACCTTGTGTAGATAAAGATCTGTCACTGAGGTCTGTAGTTTTAGAATCACCTTGTGTAGATAAAGATCTGTCACTGAGGTCTGTAGTTTTAGAGGTCTGTAGTTTTAGAATCACCTTGTGTAGATAAAGATCTGTCACTGAGGTCTGTAGTTTTAGAATCACCTTGTGTAGATAAAGATCTGTCACTGAGGTCTGTAGTTTTAGGGTCACCTTGTGTAGATAAAGATCTGTCACTGAGGTCTGTAGTTTTAGAATCACCTTGTGTAGATAAAGATCTGATCGTACAGGTCCAACATTAGATTCATTTTGATCAATGTCACATAAGATACAGTGAATGCTGTGAAAAATTTACGTTTCTAAAAAACCTAACACCGAAGTGACTCACAAAATGATGTCGGCAGTTTTTGAACATGAAAATATAACCTTTAACAAATCTAATTTCAAATGTCATTTCAGGATGATTTAGGTACTACATTGTATAGAAATGCCATTTTCTGACCCTGTACAGGACATACATCAGATAGCATTAGTTTGTGGCTGTGACAATCCTTGTATCAAACAGGCTTTAGATAATAGAAGACTGCAAATATCTCCCAATACCTGGAATCAATGTCAGTGGTCACCGATTACTGTTACATCATCCTTACATTTTGTCCTCTTTTCATAAATCACAACATCAACACATTTCCATGAGAACCTAACCTTTTCTATCACAAAAAGATGTTATGCTTTAAAAAACAAAACCATATTAATGAATATTTATGGAAAATTGACTAAGAGCTTTGGTTTCCAGTTTAAATCAAAATGTGGGATAAAGAAAGGGTCGAGATTAAATGAGTAAACCTTTTGAAAAAATTAACAATGCAATTTTTTCCTGGAACAATTCCAGGAGGTAGATTTCAGTATAAATATTACTTGTTTTACTCATCACAAATAGCCGTACTAAACCTCTGACCAAAAGAAATTAAAACAATTGTAAAGTAAAAGGTTCTTTAAAACACTTAGCATAAAATCTGATAGCAATTTCAAAGCATGCCAAAATATAAAGACTTGAGTGTATGCCAGAACCACACAGTCACTGTGTGTATAGACAACAATACTAAAGGTAGACAGAATATAAACACTAGACTGCCAGAATTACAGTACCAGGACAGAAAATTCATACATTTTATAGTTCATGAGCAGCTCCTTGTGTAAATCCATCCTGGGTTTTGACTCCAAGCAAGGATTCACCAGTCGTTTCGGCTGTATGAGTGCCGACTCGTCCCCATCTGATGGTGGTCGGTCAGACAAGGAAGAAGGTCGATCACGTATGATCACTGGCTCCAGGCGGTTCTGAAGGTCGGAGATGGATGATGAATCTGGAGTTTTCACAGGACCATCAAGTACATCATCATCGTAGTCTGGCTCTGGTTCTGGTACATCCAGATATTGGTCATCTGTGTGTAACAAAAACATAGTTTACTGACTCACACATAATTACAGTATCATTGTACAATACATGTCTGTTAAAACCAGCATTAAGGATACCTGTCCTTTTTACTTTAGTCACAGATCTGTAAAATCAGCATTAAGGATACCTGTCCTTTTTACTTCCAGCATTAAGGATACCTGTCCTTTTTACTTTCAGCATTAAGGATACCTGTCCTTTTTACTTTCAGCATTAAGGATACCTGTCCTTTTCACTTTCAGCATTAAGGATACCTGTCCTTTTCACTTTCAGCATTAAGGATACCTGTCCTTTTTACTTTCAGCATTAAGGATACCTGTCCTTTTCACTTTCAGCATTAAGGATACCGATCCTTTTCACTTTCAGCATTAAGGATACCTGTCCTTTTCACTTCCAGCATTAAGGATACCTGTCCTTTTTACTTCCAGTAATAAGGATACCTGTCCTTTTCACTTTCAGCATTAAGGATACCTGTCCTTTTTACTTCCAGCATTAAGGATACCTGTCCTTTTTACTTTCAGCATTAAGGATACCTGTCCTTTTTACTTTAGTCATAGATCTGTAAAATCAATTCCCTGTTACAGTCTGTATTATCAAAAAACATCATATTTATCTTTGTCCTAAAAATAGATGATAAAAAAAATTGAAAATTTTGATTCCAGGAAGAACATCACATCTTTGAAGTAAAGATTCCAATACCATTTAATTAATCAACATTTGATGAAGGTATATGCCCTATGGAAGATACCTGTTTCTTATTTATTTACTATATATATATACATATTTTTTTTAACATGACAGGTAAATGTAGATTTTCAAATTTGTTTTCATTTCATAAGAGACTTTATATAACGAAAAAACAAATCTTAAAAGTTTTCCTTTTGCTTTGAACTTTGAGATTAGTTTCGTAAAATCTCATATGACATGAAAACATATTAAAGACACTTTTCATCACATAGCACAGAAAAGTTACATTTGGCAGGTTATTCATCACAATGTAGAGAACTAATTCAAAAAGAGGTGGCAATTTTGTAGCATCATTTTCAATTCTATATGTAACACAATATTATCACATTACAGTTGATTATTGGCTGGTGCCCTGGGTATATAACTCTATAAAGTTACATATGTAAAACTATCAATATTATTGGCTGGTACCCCAGGGTATATAACACTATAAAGTTACATATGTAAAACTATCAATATTATTGGCTGGTACCCCAGGGTATATAACACTATAAAGTTACATATGTAAAACTATCACTATTATTGGCTGGTACCCCAGGGTATATAACACTATAAAGTTACATATGTAAAACTATCAATATTATTGGCTGGTGTTCCTGGGTATATAACACTATAAAGTTACATATGTAAAACTATCAATATTATTGGCTGGTACCCCTGGGTATATAACACTATAAAGTTACATATGTAAAACTATCAATATTATTGGCTGGTACCCCAGGGTATATAACACTATAAAGTTACATATGTAAAACTATCAATATTATTGGCTGGTACCCCAGGGTATATAACACTATAAAGTTACATATGTCAAACTATCAATATTATTGGCTGGTGCCCTGGGTATATAACACTATAAAGTTACATATGTAAAACTATCAATATTATTGGCTGGTACCCCAGGGTATATAACACTAAAAAGTTACATATGTAAAACTATCAATATTATTGGCTGGTGTTCCTGGGTATATAACACTATAAAGTTACATATGTAAAACTATCAATATTATTGGCTGGTGCCCTGGGTATATAACACTATAAAGTTACATATGTAAAACTATCAATATTATTGGCTGGTACCCCAGGGTATATAACACTATAAAGTTACATATGTAAAACTATCAATATTATTGGCTGGTGTTCCTGGGTATATAACACTATAAAGTTACATATGTAAAACTATCAATATTATTGGCTGGTACCCCAGGGTATATAACACTATAAAGTTACATATGTAAAACTATCAATATTATTGGCTGGTACCCCAGGGTATATAACACTATAAAGTTACATATGTAAAACTATCAATATTATTGGCTGGTGTTCCTGGGTATATAACACTATAAAGTTACATATGTAAAACTATCAATATTATTGGCTGGTACCCTGGGTATATAACACTATAAAGTTACATATGTAAAACTATCAATATTATTGGCTGGTGCCCTGGGTATATAACACTATAAAGTTACATATGTAAAACTATCAATATTATTGGCTGGTGCCCCTGGGTATATAACACTATAAAGTTACATATGTAAAACTATCAATATTATTGGCTGGTGTTCCTGGGTATATAACACTATAAAGTTACATATGTAAAACTATCAATATTATTGGCTGGTGTTCCTGGGTATATAACACTATAAAGTTACATATGTAAAACTATCAATATTATTGGCTGGTGCCCTGGGTATATAACACTATAAAGTTACATATGTAAAACTATCAATATTATTGGCTGGTACCCCAGGGTATATAACACTATAAAGTTACATATGTAAAACTATCAATATTATTGGCTGGTACCCCTGGGTATATAACACTATAAGGTTACATATGTAAAACTATCAATATTATTGGCTGGTACCCCAGGGTATATAACACTATAAGGTTACATATGTAAAACTATCAATATTATTGGCTGGTGTTCCTGGGTATATAACACTATAAAGTTACATATGTAAAACTATCAATATTATTGGCTGGTACCCCAGGGTATATAACACTATAAGGTTACATATGTAAAACTATCAATATTATTGGCTGGTACCCCAGGGTATATAACACTATAAAGTTACATATGTAAAACTATCAATATTATTGGCTGGTACCCCAGGGTATATAACACTATAAAGTTACATATGTAAAACTATCAATATTATTGGCTGGTGCCCTGGGTATATAACACTATAAAGTTACATATGTAAAACTATCAATATTATTGGCTGGTACCCCAGGGTATATAACACTATAAAGTTACATATGTAAAACTATCAATATTATTGGCTGGTGTTCCTGGGTATATAACACTATAAAGTTACATATGTAAAACTATCAATATTATTGGCTGGTGTTCCTGGGTATATAACACTATAAGGTTACATATGTAAAACTATCAATATTATTGGCTGGTACCCCAGGGTATATAACACTATAAGGTTACATATGTAAAACTATCAATAAGGTGATTGTGTTAACTGTCGCATATGTGATAAAAATATTTAAATGATAAATTTTCAAACAAAACCTGTCATCAACAACATTTCCATGTTCTGATATTATCCCTTGGTGATACAAACACGTATTTATCAGAAAAACAACAAAGTTTTGTATAAACAGATCTGAATCTGTCCTTTCAATATCTTACTAAAATCATCAAAGTCATAAAACAAGGGACTTTTCTAAGCTGTTGGTAATATAAGGTAATTCAATTAGTCCTACAGAGTCCTAATATAGACATGTTTATATCTACATACTTAGCTATTACATTCCTGTTGATGGAACGACATAATACTACGTGCCTACAAGGTAACGTTATTAGAACAGTTGTTCATATCTTTTAATTCAGGTATTATTGTTGTTATTTTTGTGGAGAAATCTGATAGCATGTATTTTACTGGATAGAATTGTCACATCGTTTGTGACATCCAAGTTAAACTGAAAATAATAACATCACAGTGTATATATATATGATACAGAGACTGTATATATATAAAACACAGGTACAAATTTCAACAGGAGAATCAAATCACTATATATGATGCACTGTGTTAATTATTGAATTTGAAAAGGGTAACACAACTGATGAATGACAATTTTTTGGCCTTATGTGGGCCGCAAACTCACAATTTATGGCACCAAATTGCCTTGCCAAGAAATTAGACAACGGCCTTACCAACTACACCACACCAACATCCCCAAAAAAGGATGTTTGGAAGTAGTAGTGATGGAAACTTGGAAATTCTTGACATGATCATAGTGGCAAATTGTCTATTATGTTGTGATATGAATGCCTGGATCACTATGTATATATATATATATAGATACATCACTATCTGTCAGTGTAAATATAAGTGAAAAAGGACAAAAATTGACAACATTAATATATATATATTAAAGACCATTAAGAAAGCAGTCAAACTCCGCACCATATTTTCGATATCTATAGGTAATAAAAGTTTTGATATAAGATTCAGTCCACTGAGTCAGATTTATACACTTTATAGAAATATTAGTTCTACATACGGAAACAAATAAATATATAAACACACACACACAAACATAAGGCCCAGGGGCCTAAATGGTTACCTGAGTGAACTCGCAAACGAAAACAATTGGAATTAATGTTTAGTATAGAGAAGAGAAAATGAGAAATGCTATTTGTACAGGGACAGATGAGTACTTGATTCTACAAGATTTGGGTACTAAAAGATTTTTGGAATTTTGAAATATTTTGGCTCGCCCCTCAGGCCCCAGGGGGGTGGAGACCATATAATTTACAGTTTGAGTTTGCTTTTGGCTGTGGAAGGTTTCTGCCAAGTTTCATTGAAATCAGTAAAGGAGTCTCTCAGAAGAAGTAAAAAATGTAAGAAGTTTACAGATAGATACTGGAAGACAGACAAAAGGTTATCACAACAGGTCACCATGAGACTTTGTCTCAGGTGGTCAAAACACAATGTTGAAAACTGACACAGATAAAAGATAAAGTAGTTGATAGACATAAATTCAGTAAAACAACTTAATTACAAACCCAAAATCTAAATTTGCTCAAAAAAAAAAATTATCAGTTTTAGTTTATTACAAAATCTTGGGTCAATATTTGCTACAGCAATGAAATAAGTTTTAGTTGAGTTTGTAATAAATATTGATTTACTGTTCCACTAGGTAGCTACTAAAAGAAATCAGATAGTACTGGTAAGGTTTTGTCAATCTTGAAAATTTACTGGACAGTTTGGAGAAAATAATTGAGTGCAAAACATTATGAACCGTATTCTGAAATTTTGTTAGGATTTCATATTGGGGAGTTTTCAAATTGATGTAGCAAGCAAGTGTTTTTAAAAACAGTCACTGCTAAAGAACAAGTATATAAGAATGTTCGGCGTTCTCCAATGAGAAATATATCCAAAACATCAGAAATTACTTTATCTGGACAAGAGTATCAGTGGAAATGAAGAATGCTCCCCAAAACACCATAATTGGGGGCTTATTCCATCTATGAATACTGTATTTGGTTATTTTAATGACACATACCTGCAGAAATGTTAAAATTAAGTGAATACTAATGTTTTAATGTACATGTATTTGTGACTGATGAAAAGATGATACTGAACATTTAGAAAAGAGTGAATGGGTGAATATTTGTAACGGCAAAATATACCCAAGTTCTAACTTATGAATATTTGTTAACAATTGACAAGAACCTCGTACATCTGGATTCTGTATATTCTTGGGTCTTGGTTGATAACGTTTATTTTTTAATATTCATGATTAACATCTAACTATACAATAAATTTGAATTATGTCCTCAAATTTAAGAAAATTAATGTAGAAAAGCAGGCTAAGTTGGCTATGGTAACAGTTAAGTAAATACATGATAAAGCTGGCATATGTTTACGTACATATATTTACGTGATTAGAAAATAAGTACATGATGTATATATATCTGTATACACAACACGTTACAGGATAAATTTATACAACTCAGGCAGATAAGAAATGTGACAAGCAGATATGCCAATGATAACACTTTTTTTTTCTTTTTTTTCCCCTTACTTTTTCTACTTTAAGTCCACACAGGTACTGATAAAAAATAATATCTAAAGTATTATAAAATATCTTCTTTTTTCAGCATTATTTGTTATCTTACTTCAATACAAACCATCTTATTTACTATTTCAAGATAATCATGGTGGTTAGATAATAAGGGGAGGTAACTCTCCTAAATTTTAAACAAGAGATCCCAGAGGGATCTTGGCGCCCACCATTTGAGGATCTGTTTTCAGTTCTTGAAGATTTGTTTATTTTTTTTGTTTTTGTTACAGGTGTTGTCAATGTTCATGAACTGGTCTTCATTGAATGTACTCAATGATGGCACAAGATATTTGTATTAAGCACCTATTAGCAAATATCATTTGAAAAAGATCCCAAAGTATTATTAGATATCAGTCAGTTACAGGTGGATAATGGACATGGTCTTGAATCAATATGATAGAATATCGAAGAAAATATGCTTGTGCTGTATTACTGTCAACATCCAAGAAGGCTGCCTGTGGGCCACCTTGATTTCAAATCAGTCCAAAAAAGGTACAATGCACAACTAGGGACCAAGGGAAACCAATACCTATGAAATATCAGAAGGATCCATCCAGTACTTCCTCAGAAACAGTGGTAACAAGATTTTACTCTAAAAATCCAAGATAGCCGCCTGTCAGCCATCTTGATTTCGAATCAGTCCAAAAAAGGTACACTGCACAACTAGGGACCAAGGGGAAGCTCCCTATGAAATCTGACAAAGATCCATCCAGTACTTTCTCAGAAATAGCTGTACCAAATTTTTCTTTTTATAATAAAAGAAGGCCGACAAGTGGTCATCTTGAATTCGGATCAGTCCGAAAAGGTACAATGCACAACTAGGGACCAAGGGGAAACTGCATATGAAATTTGAGAAAGATCCATCCAGTACTTTCCAAGAAAGAGCAGTAACAAACTTTTACTTCCAAAATCCAAGATGGCCGCCTGTCAGCCATCTTGAATTCGAATCAGTCCAAAAAAGGTACAATGCACAACTAGGGACAAAGGGGAAACTGCATATGAAATTGAGAAAGAACCATCCAGAACTTTTCCAGAAAAAGCGGTAACAAACGTTTACTTTCAAACTACAAGATGGATGCCTGTCGGCCATCTTGAATTCGAATTAGTCAAAAAAAGGTACATTGCACAACTAGGGACCAAGGGGAACCTGCATATGAAATTTGAGAAAGATCCATATAATACTTTTCCATAAATAGCGGTAACAAGAATTGTTTACGGATGGACGGACAGCTCGACGGACGACGGACAGCTCGACAGACGGACCACGGACGCAGGGCAATTTGAATAGCCCACCAGCTGATGATGGTGGGCTAAAAAAAACAATTTTTCTATGGAAATTAATTTTTCTAAAAATACATTTTTTAATTAAATTTAATTAACACAGAAACAGCCGGGTTATATAAATCTAGCGACAGGTATGAAGACTTCAGTCTGATGCTGTTGAAGTGGAAGTGCTGACAGAGGGGGCAACGATAAGGAACAGACAACATGTCATGTCAGGTGTGGACATATAGTTATAATCTGTGCTGGCTTTAATGAATGAATGTAGACAACTGCACTGAGCCTTAATTTTATGATGTATATGTTAAGTCTAAGAATCTCTTTAGGCTTAAACACTTAACTCCTTAAATCCTCACAAGGAATGTGCATGCCACATTTATAAATCTAATTAAAAAAACTCCAGCTTGAGGACTTGACCAAGAACTTGTTATAACATTAATGTATTTTTATACACTCTGCTGGCATGCCTTACATGTTGACGAGAGAGTGTGTTTATATATGAAAAACATGTATCAAATTAACATTTATTTTAACTTTGACACAATGTAGTAAACTGTATAGTGATGTAGAAAGACATGTCAGCCTACATGTGCATGTATTCCATAACAGTTGAGAAACGTATGTAATATAGACTAATGAAGGTAACCAAACATTAATGATGTACCAGGTATGTGTTATCTATAGCCAGAATGTATTATCTTATTGATTAAATTTATATTTCAAGGTCATCCAAGGCCACAGGTCCTCGTCGGATAAACACAATAGCTATACCTAAAATAAATGTTTACATTCATTCAACAGTGGGCCCAAGTCCCCAGTTAATAATGATTGTTGCCGGAGATCTTTTAAACAAGGTCACACAACAACAACGACATTTGTGTAAGCCTGAAAATACTTAGGGCTAACCCAGAATGGCCGGATGTATACAGACACATCACTGATATACAGTAAACTCTTGAGACTTTATGAAGCACACGAGGAGTTTTTAACTAGGCATTTATTATGTTCATTACCATTCTGATGTTAAAAATCTTAATGTTGTGTAAATTCTTTTTTTTTTTTTTTAAATATGATAATTGTCATTATATGACCTAGTTATTGCACAAAAACTAACTGTATCAAATCTTCTAATGAATCTGATGACTGGTACAGGAATCCAGTCACTTCCGACACAATTGTTCCCAGCAAAAATCTTTCAGATTGTAAGTTTTCTGAACTACAAATTTTACCAAAACAAATGTTCAAAATTGAGTTACTATCCCTAGTACTATAAATGAATAAGGAAAACAATTCTGTTTATTTAATGGGACACAAGATGTGAATTCACTACACATGTGAAAACTTCCTACAGTCTATGATACAACATGGAAAATGTTAACAAAGGGCCATAACTCTGTTTTAGATGACATAAAATTCATAAAATGTGGTCTTGTTTGCGGTGTGATTATTAAGATACAAATATCTTTTACACATTATATTTGGGGGAGTAAAAGTAGTATTAGTCTCCTATTGATATTTACATCGTTTTTACAGCAAGATGATAAAAGTTACCTGGTATATGCTCAGTATGCTGAGGTAGTGAGAAGTTGATGGCAGACAGAGAAATGATTGTATTCATCAGATAATACAGGCATAATTTCTATCCCAGACACATTGAACCAGTGGATAATGACAACATTACAGGTTTTGCTTTCTCTGTTTGAGAAATGATATTTTGTATTTATTACTATGTGATTACATTAAGAAATCAGACCGATACCGCACTGCAGTGATATCTTTAATAACATATTGCCTCTTGGTGCTGAAAATTTATCAAGAAAACTGCTGTGACAGATGATACAATATCAAGCCAAATCACATGATCCTTTCTCAGGAAAATTATTCAGAATTTTTATTATTTTTTTTGCAATTATGCATTAACATGAACTTTTCCTGTGTGATGAACCTTTACATTGCTTTTCTCTACATGAAAATATATCATTAAGTTATTAGGAGTGTTTCTGAAATTGGTGCCAGGATCTCAGAAATGTTTTATGAGAAGAAAATCTTAAACCCACACATACATCTACTGGCAGATCTCTGACTTTAAATTCACTGGTAAAGTATATAGTAAACATCATCCACAGCTTCAGTGTATCTAACAGTAAGCCTTAATCTTAAAATATGTTCAAAAGTTTTCACTGATTTACAACTTGCATACAACAGAGAAAAAAATGTATAAACTTTAAGACTATTCAAACAGAGGTGATATGTTGTAGCTAGCTTTCTTTATCGTCTTATTGCTGAGAAAGCAGCAGATTTGGATACATATTACAATTTAAGACAAAAAATAAAATAAATACAAGGAGTTTACACTGTTTTTGTTGAAGCCTGATACAATGGGAACTTTACAAGCTGGTCAGGTGAGGTTAGTACAGCACAAAAAAAACTATGGTGAGGAAAGTAGATCACAGCTACAACAGCTACAACATTTAGAGGTTGTTATACAAGGTCAGACACACGGTGTCCACTAATGGCGAGTATACCTATATCTGCCATACTGGATAACACATTTCCAAACTGTTGAGCAAAACGTAATTGATTCTCGTTGATTTGCGTCCATGGCGACTCTTCTTCGTAGTCTGGTAAAGGTGTCTCTGGGGTGACTAAGGGATGACGAGGAGGAGGAGAAAAGCAAGCAAGGTCATCACATGCATGAAGGTCACATAAAAAGGGTAATTCATTCTAAGAACATCCAAGTTATACTGAGACAATACTAGCATACGTTCTAAATTTCAAGGAGTTTAAGCTATAAACTTAAAGGGAAAAAAATACTGCAAACATTCTTAATCTCAAAAAGCTTATGCTATAAAGTTAAAGGGATAAAAAAAATCTAGGATATTTTCTAAATCTTGCAAAGTTTCAACTTAATGGGGCTAAACAGATGCTGGAAATATTCTAAAACTCATGAAGTCAATTATCAAATTAAAGAAAAACACACACGTGTGTTAATCATAAATATCATAAATATATATTTATCCTAAATATCATAAATATATTTATCACAAATCAATTTTTGTAAATGTATTTATCGTAAATGTATTTATTGTAAAATCTGATCAACCCATGTAAACTCGAGGATTGAAACATCTACAGCTAAAACAAAGGAATTTCAACAATAAATTACAGTGTTAAGCCTACATTAATCTCATATATTCAGAATAATTCAAAGCCTAACTTGCTCCCACCTATCACTGGAACATAAGCAGGTGCTTGTTTAGTGATAGTAATATCTTACCAGGTCACCAGAATGTATTTATTAGTCAGGAACTATAAAGAGCTGGACAATAAATCGATCTAGAATTAAACTGTACACAAACAGATGACATAACCAGTTTACTGTTGTTCTTACACATAAAGAGGACAACTCGAAATTAATTTCATATTATTAAAAAAAATTTTAACATTTTATGACAAAATACATAGTAATTTGTTGTTTCTTTGTAGGTTAAATTTCCTAGAACAGTGTTTCAATCCTTTGACACCAGCCATATATCTTCAAGGACTTAATGGTGTCACTTAATTCATCAGTAACTTTAAATTCAGAAAATAAATAAAAAAAGAACTTCAATATTTGAGAACGGTAATGAAAATATTGGCTGTAGATACAGGTACACAGGCAAGACCATCATGTCCTAATGTTAATTCAACTCTCATGCCTGTTATTTTTTTGGACCTTTGAAAACAAATGCAAAACATTTGATAAAACTTTTTGTGTATTATTCATTTGCAAATATTGTATATGTGGATAACTTCCTGGTAGATCAGATTTTAATCACAGTTAATACCTGGTGACTGGTGATTCGCAGCATTCTGCATGTTGGTGAACTTCCGCAGTGATTCCTCTCTTTGACTCTGTAAAGGAAATAAAAAAGTATGATTTTAACTTTTCCTGAAGCACTTACAATCATTACGTAATCGTAAAACCCATAAAAATTGTTTTTTTGTAATTATGAAACTCTACACAGGAAGTGCTGTTCGTCGTGTGACCCTCAAACACTGATAATTAACTGTTAATAGGAATGAACTATTAACCAGCCCCTAGCTGATACCGTTCAAGTGTGTTTGAAGTACATATGTATATGGGGAATATAAATCATCCTACTTTTCTCCAGCAATCACATGCATCACCATCAAACCAGTAAATATGCTGCATAGAAACATTTTGATGAACTTCTATATAGTATCAGGCATGTACTATTACCATCCTCATCACATCTACATCTGACATCCTTCAGGACATATGAAATTGCCCCGTTGGGGTTCGGTCAACACATCCACAATGAATTGAGGAAAACCCTTATAGCCTAAAGACTCACCAAACTGCCCTGTTAGGTAGTATATCTTAAGTAGCTGGTACACAATAATTAGCCAAGAAATTGACAATTATTTCTATATTTTTACATTTTCACTTATAGACATCACATATATGATAAAAATAACTGAAAACCTATTGAACAGAAAAGCAATCTTTCCTTCAATGAACAAGCAGTGTGTGGATTATAACAATAATCTACAGTTTAGTCAAAATCAAACACAAGCTGTTGCAAAAAATCTAGGTTGTAAAAACTACTGTTAAACACAGCATCAAAGGTCAAAGAGTTCATTTATCAGAAGGAGAGAAGCTCAAAGATCCAGACTATATAGCAGTATTGGACATATATCTTATTTTTGTTATTGTCAGATTATCAAGGGATAGAGCCTGAAAGCCTCATAGTCTTGTGTCATCTACAGATTTCTACATAGTTGACCATACAGAGAGAAGAAACCATTCCTGTGTCAGTAATTTGTTGTGAAGACTCCAATATTTCTGTTGTTTTAATGTTAGTGTGTCATTGATAATTTTGTTATCAGGGGAGACAACCCTGTTTTCTATGTCTGCATGTCAGAGATTTATATAGTACTGTCAACATGGAATACAACCCTATTTTCTGTATTGGTATACCATTGAGAGACAATCCTACTTTTCATATCAGTATGTCATTGATTATATAACTGTCACAAGGGAAGGAAATCCGGTCATTTTTCGTCACATACTGTCATCAAGGGAGACAATCCTGCCCCTTTTCATTTCACAAAGTCATTGATTATAAACCATATATATTTTCACAGTGTTTAATTTTCTTGTTTTTTTCAAAAACTTCCTATTTTGTAGAAACTTGATTTTATGGATAGATATATCTACTTGTACTATTTTGAACAATTTGTGGACATGTTAATTCATGGGTTAAAAACATCACCAAATCAATGAAAATAAATCAAGGGCAGACAACTCTGTTATTTTCATGTCAAGATGTCATTGATGATACTTTCGTCGAGGGGAGGTAACCTTTTGTGTTTGGTATTTTTACCACTGTCATTAGTCGACTGGGCTGCCATATTTCACAAGAGCTTCTATAAAGTCAATAATTCCCTAGTTGTGATATAAATTTGAGAATGTAAATTCAATTTGACTTTTGTACTCAGTAACAGAATCAGGGTTTAATGATAACAGCTTAACACATAAGAAATTCTTTGCTCCCAAACCTCAGGAGGGAGTTATTTAGGTGAACTTTACTAGACGTAACAGGAATCTCACAAACAATACACTATTTGGTCTGTTATCACAAACCTAGACTTCCTGGTACAAAGAAATCGCCAGATAAAAGCAGAACCATCACATGTTAACATGACCTTATTTTACATTCTAAGATTTCATTATGTTCTCACTATACAAATATAGTATAGAATTTTTAGTGTAGTAGTATATAAACTGAAACATGGCTTGATAAAAAAACAATACCTTCACACAGGGATCCTTTATAGCCTCAGAGAATGTACTGAAAATAATCTCTAGCAACCATGCAGACACAAACATATATATTTACAATGAGTCTTTGTTTTCATAACGGTTCGTCTGAATATATGCTTGACTGATCCGAATGCACTAATGTACATCTGTATTAGCATAAGAAGTAAGGCTCAGGACGATTTCCTCTGGAAGTATACATTGCTATATAGAAAGGTTATTTTTATGTGTGAGTAATAATCGTCATGAAACTTAGAGTCATGGCTCAGGTTAATCATGCATTAAACATCTGCATCTCTGAAATATTGATCACAACTTGTCTTCAGTATCTTATCAAATTCAACTTTTCTGCGGAACATATGAATAAATAGTAAAAAATTCCTTTCATTAGGGGAAGTATTAGCATACAAACTGTAGCATTCTATTACCGGGATATCAAAGATACTGTATATAATATACCCCGACAGCCATTCAACAGACAACACAGAGTTACGAGGTCGTACCTGTACAATCACACAGGTAAATGGAGTACTTATCATGTACATATACACACAGCTGTCCACCCGGGATCTATAAACATCTGCACTGACCATTCATAAAGATATATCAATCCAGTTGATTTAGGTCTGACTAACACTGACCATCACTGACTATTCCAGACAGTCTCAGTGAGGTATGTTTATATACCCAGTATGTGAGGAATTTCCCTTAGGAAATCCTCTGTTAAACACAAACTTCCGCATAATGTACTCACCTGTATTGCAGCTGTATAAGGCAATTTTACCTATCAGTTATCAAAATAGAAACCACTTATATCCCAGCCGTACAGGTGCTAACGAACTGCCAGGTGTACCTGGGTAAGGAGTGTACATGTAAAACAAGAAAGGGTTCATACACTAGGGTACTGCGATGAATTCCTTGATGGTCTCCTCATATCTGTGTCACATAACGACACGGATGAATGACCATGCATAACTTTACCTACTGTTCAACGACTGTCAAAACCCACGGGTTGTGTATTTCAGACAACACATACTACACATTGTCCATACATCAGATTTATCATATATGTGTACACGGGTGTGTATAGTATTAATCAAGTCTATTTCACTGGGAATATCATTTTATGTCAAATCATGTGTCGTACCTGCGTTTTGCTTTTGGTTCAGTGACACCTGTTTTTACATAGAAGTGTGATACATCACCATCTACATGACATAAATTAAGCTTAAAGCAGGACATAAGTGAAATCATGTATGAGCTACATACTTATATATATATAGTCAATATTTACATGTCCTACTTCTTGGAAAATTCTTTCAATATTGTCACATTATATATGTATGACCCATGATATTCAGATAACTGATTCACTAAAATAAAAATGTCATTTCCATATTCAGAATATTAACATATTTTTCAAGTTGATTAATTTAACAACCAAAATTTATACTGTCATGTTAAATTATTCTAAAAATAACATTACTGCATAATTTACCTTATTTATAGTAAGAATCAACATCACGTGACATTATATTTTAAAGAGACAAATTTGTAAAAGAAAACAAAAATAATAACAATTTCAATTATTGAAACTGCAGTATTTAAATTCTCACATGAAAATAAAATGAAAAAATAACAGTTAAAATAGACCCAGGAAAAACCCGCTGAGCCAGATTAGTGGTATAGAATATAGATCAATGTCAGGATGATCTCTCGCATTCTAATTAACGTAAATCTTACATGTTTTTGCCAATATTGTACTCATAGCAGTGTCAAAATCGTATTATACTGTAGATACTTAATTACCTGTAATCATGTAAAAGTTTATACATTGTAATGCCATAGGGGAGATTAAGTGTCTGCTACCGCCAACAAAAGACTAGATAAGGTAGGACAGCCGACATATTCTTTAGTTTTCAGTACTAGTACCTCTTATATTGACTGTGATGATCAAACTTATTTGAATTTGAATTGAAATAAATAGAGTAATTTTTTTTCATTTCTCAAAATGATGTTTATATAATAAAAATAAAATAATATGATATACGGGTAAAGCATCAACAATTTACAACTGATTAATAACTAAAAAAAAAAACATTTAAATTTTTTTCTACTATCATCAACTCATTAAAAAACTTTCATGACTTTCATCAATTTAATTGGAATTTGACTGATGATCTATTCATGATATTTTGAAGTGGTGTACTTTCGGTTTTAGACATTTCACTATAAAGAATTAAAAGCTATGAGAAATTCTGATTTTGAAAAAAAGGCTCCATTCTGAACGAAAAAAAGGCCCAGAGTGTTCAGACTGTAAGTTAGGCTTTAAAACTCTAGTACACATCCTGTAATATAATTCAGACTAGTATTCAAACTTACCTGTGGTTAAAGATTAATATCCTATACATTTCTTCTTCCCTTCGATTTGGTCACATTTCAAAACTAAAAGTCGAGGACATCACATTTACTTAAAGATGAAATATTTATACTACTATTGAGTCCATCATGGGAAAACATTTAAAAAATATTATCATAAACTGACAAAAAGAAATATGGCTGAATCTGACTTTTACATATTAGGTATGAAAGTTAACATAAAAATTACTTATTGGTTACAGACACTACACACATTTCAATTTTTATACAAACCATGATAACTTTTATCTTGTACATGCCGACTCTCGTGTTTTCTCTCTCTGAAACTGGACCAGTTGGTCTTAAGTACTACAGTTTCTTATATAGGAATTCTACAGAAGAAAACCCATCCGGAACACCTCAGCCACTTTATTCAAAGCAAAATCTTATGGAAACACCCAAGGTCTCCCAAATGAAAAAGAGCCGTTAAAAGCTTGTTTCTTTGGCATTTTCTTCTAATTACAAAATAATGTTTATTTTCCATTTGGCTAAGAGGAAACAATTAGCAAATGTAATTTGTTTATTTTTCCCAAACATTCGAAACAAAGAAAGATTTGAATGTCACTGAGGATAGTTAATGATCTAACAATTTGATTGTCCAGATTTGAAAGGTTAAGGAACCAGCAAAAAACAATTGTTTCTTCAAAGA